TCCAGGTTTTCGTCCCCCTCCGGGAATTTTAAAACAGGGGCATTGATGAGCGCTTCTTTTAATCTTTCAAATGCGGTATTTGCTTCCGCTGTCCACGTAAATTTACTTTTCTTTCTTTTAATTACTAACAGTGGTTCAACAATATTAGCGAAATCTTTTATGAAAGACCGATAGTAAGAACATAACCCAAGGAAAGAAGAAAGTTTCTTGGCGGTGTTGGGCGGTGGGAAATTCTTGATGGCTTTTATTTTTGAATCTTGCGTTTCTATACCCTTTTGCGAAATTTTATAACCGAGATATTTAAGTTCTTTAGTTGCGAACTTGCATTTTGAGGCGTTAATTGTAAGACCGGCCTCTTTTAATAATTTAAAAACTTCTAGATCTTTAATATGTTGTTCCAACGTACTACTCGTTATAATTATATCATCTAGATAGATTAAAGTTGATTTTCCTAGGACAGGCTTTAGAACAATGTCCATAGCTCTCTGGAATATTGATGGGGCCCCACACAACCCAAAGGGCATGCGTAAAAATGCATAAGTGCCCGATTTTGTTATAAACGCGGTTTTATGTATGTCTTCGGGTCTCATAGCTATTTGATAGTAGCCAGACGTTAAGTCCAAAGTAGTCATATATCTAGTAGATTTGATCTTTCTAATAATTTCCTCTATAACCGGCAAAGGGTAAACTGGGAATTTAGTAATACTATTTAGTTTTCTGTAATCGATAGCAAACCTCCAAGCCCTTTTATCCGAAGGAGGAAACTCGTTCTTTTTCCTACATAGTACGACTGGACTCGCGTACTCACTATTTATGGGCGTTATTATTTTATTCTTTAACATCTCCTGAATATGTTCTTCGATGATTACGTCTTTTTGTTTATCATAACGATACGGTTTAGTCCTACAAGGTTTTTCGGCAGTTAACTGTATCTGATGCGTAACTATTTGACAGCTTACCAGGCTTTTCTGAAAACAAGTTAGAAAAATTACTCACCACTTGCTGGATTGCTTGACTTTCATGGTCATTCAAATGGCTAAGGTCCAACTTGCGGTTGTTCCACAGGTTCCACCACCCTCTGGTCCATCTCCAGCACAACGGAACTGTCTTGAAAATTCAATTTGGCCCTCGCGGCCCTTAAAAACTCCATACCTAAAATAAGAGGATTTTGCAGATTTTCACTACAAAAATTAATACTTTGAGGCTTTCCTCTTTTACCTGTATGTTTAATGATAATTTTCCCGATGCAGTGACAGGTTTTTCCTTGCGCCGCTATAATTTCCGGTATTTTTTGGTTTTAAATAATCGTAACCTATAAAAATTCTTTTTGAAGAAATTTCACTCATAAAATTACCTTCTGCTCCTGTATCGATGAGGGCTTCTACTGGTACATCGCCAACCAGGACTTGTATAATTGGTAGCTGTGAGTTTTTTACGATGACCGTATTTAAATGTCTTTTTGAGGGTTTTTTTAAAACTTCCGGGGTCTGGACCCTCGCTTTCACAGGCCCCTCTACTCGTTTAAAGCTTTCCTTTCAACTTCTGCCTTCTGGGTACGCGGATGGTTGTTTTCAAATTTCCTTTTTGGGCCTTGACCTTCGAGGTTCGATGAGTTAGCTTGATAGCTCTTTCCCCCATAAGAGCGATTTGCCATTTCTGGTTTGCTCATTTGAAGATTGCCTTCGGGTACTTTGAGAATACGATGCCCCTCTAGCTTTTTCCGCTATTCTGCGATTTTGAAACTTCACCGCCAATTCGAAGAGCTTCCTGCAATGTGCTTGGGTTTCTAATTTCGAAGTAGTCTTGAACAGCAGGTAACAATCTTGGTAAGATTATTTCAATAATCTCCGCGTCGGGTTTCTTCCCATACAGCATATCCGTCAGCTTAATTTTTCGCAGAATAAAGTCCGTCAACTCTTCTATATCCCGTTGATAGAAAAACTATATAGTTCGGCTTCTAGCCTTGCTCGATCTTTCACTATGGGGAAGGCCTTTACTAACGATTTTTTGAAATTTTCAAATGTATATGTCTGGCTTCCAAATTCCCCTAATAAAAAATTTGCCTATATTTTTCCACCATAGCGCGGCCTGTCCTCTTAGTGCAGATGTGGCGATGGCAACTTTTTGTCTTTCAGGCACAGGGTAGAGCTGAATGAAAGTGATTTTCTAGGCCTTCTAGAAATATCGCCACCGAATTTTTTCCGTCGAAATTGACGTTTGGCTTGATTGACGCTCTCAAAGTCTGGACCAGGTATCCAAATCCTTCCAATTGGCTTGCCATTTCTTGGTTGTTGTCCAGCGGCTTCCATCCAATTTTCGGCCATTTCAGTTCGACAAGTGTTCGGGCGCCAATGTAACGTTGCGCGCCTCCAACCTGCACGCAACCAAGAGGTGACTGTTGAAACTGGAAAAGACAGAGTCTTGTAAGGGTTTAAGTCCCTTTTTATTCAACTTAAGAAATTACAATTGCGTGCTCTTGACGCTCACAAACTACGCCGACCCGGCGGTAAAATAAAAATAAGAACCTGAAAAGAAATAATAAACAAGACTCTAACTACGAGGCTCTCTAAACGTAACTAACCTCACCGCGTTTTACAATACCGCTGCTAATTCAGCAAACTTTGAATATCACGTTGAACGATTAACAATTCTCCGAGGCAAGCACACAGGCCGAAACGCGGGGGTTCTTCAATTTCTAGCTAACTACCTCCGCGCTCGTGAAGTAAGAACAGCACACCTCGAACTCGTTTCCATTCTATTTAACTCAGAATACTTCCGCTGATAATTTGAATCCTTGCGCGTTCTACTAAAATTTACATACTCTGGCATTGGCAGTTCCAGGGGAAAGTAAGGCTTGACAGGAAAGATAGTTTAAACTTAAAATAAATGTTAGTTAAAATAAATATAAACCCTACAAGTTAATGACATTTATTCCAAGACAGTCCTTCCTCATTCCGCCATTTTCAGAATTCTAGTATCTAGTATCTGGTTTTTCACATTTCATCACTATTTTCTTCAACAGATGATGCTATGTGCTCAGTTTGTTTCAGTATAAAAATGAAACGGTCATTGCTCCTTCCATTTTGCTAAAATGTTTATGCTGCGGCTGCCAAAGAAAAGGGATCCATGTCTGATGACCCTGGGAATCAATAAAGTTTCATTCTAAGTCTATGCCAAAATATGGTTGCTTTTTTGCCTAATTTTAAAAATAAAATATGTGGTTCCGTTTTCTAATGTGATTGTACAGAAAGGGCTATAAATTACCATTACATACATTCATTTTGGCTGTTATCATATATGTTTACATTTCCAACAAGTTCCTTTTTAAATCATTGATTCATAAAAAATAATAAATCATTGTTTAGCTTAAATTTTTATTTGATAGTTTCCTTCTATTTTTAGCATTCTAACATATTGTAATTATGAAAAGTGATTTCAGCCTCCAAATTTAAGTTTACTGCTTAATTATTATAATAGTTCAAAAAAAAAATATTTGCCAAATAGCTATCATATTATGGCCTCATCATCACTATGCAAGCAGAAGTAAGGTTGAGTTATTGACAATACATTTCAGGCTCAAAAATTTGTATAAATGAAAATTTTGTTTTGAGCTCAATTGGTCAGTATTGCTGAAAGATAGCACATGTGCATGAATATGAAAAACACTGAATTATCATCTCTAGACTTTGGATCGCCATGTTGCTGAAGCCGCAAGACTTTTGGATTAGTTGTAACTCTGAAAAATTATCTAAAATAATCAAAACAAGCTAGAGATTTCTCTAAATGCCTATGCTAACTATGGTTCACTATTGAAAGACCGGCAAGATGCAAATAAGGAATATTGGATCATTTGTTATTAGAATAAGATCCCTTGGCCTGATTAATATCATTTTCCTTTGCAGCTTATGAACAAGTGAGTTTATCTGTATCATCTACATAAAAATATCTTGGACTCTCCAGACTTATATGCAGATAAATTTACAACTTATTTAAATATCAACAAAACCAGAAAGTATATCTTCTGATCATGAAAATGTTTCTTTTTTTAATTACTATCATAACTGTCATCATCTTAGAATCCTCCACAGAATAATCACAATACCATACTACAGAAAGTAATGAGGAATAAATCGAAAGAACATAAGAAAATGTTCAAGGTTAAATTTTGGCATCCAAACTGCCTAGACATCACTATGATTAAAGATCTGTGGAATATGTTGAAAAGCACTTCTGGAATAAAATGCAGAACATAAGAAAATGTTGCAGGTTTAAATTCTGTCATCCAAACTGCCCTGAAATCACATAATTAAATATCTGTGGAATTTGTTGAAACACTTCTGGCATGGAGTAACTCAAATTAACATTAAGGAGTTAAAGGAACTGCTGATAACGTCTTGGTATAAGATACCATGAAATTCTTTTTTAGAAATCTTGTAACATTTGTATGCGGATGGATGACTTAGTGGTGGATAACTTGTATCATGAGAGACAGCAATACCATAATTAGAGAGTTATGAAAATGTTTTGATTTTTTATGTCTAATGTATTTTTTTATCAAACAGTCTTGCAAAATATGTTGAATTTTGCATATTTTGATTAGCCAGTTTTGTAGACCGGATTGGATTTAATTCTTTAATTAAGGCAAGCCATATGAGGGCTGTATGCTTCAGCAGAAGTTTCATAGGACATACTTTTAAGATTTATAACCATCTAATTAAATACTATCTAATCTATCCATCTATCTAATTAAATTCATCATTTATGTTGATTACTGAATATTTTGCTTTATGTCAAGGATTTTTAAATATTGTCAAAGAAATCCGTATAATGCGCAATTAATTATTACATAATCTACTTTATTTCTAGTATGACATAAATTGTTATGTAGCTAATACTTTACTGGATATATTCTTGCTTTGCGGTACTAATTCTTTTATGAGTTTATACCTTAATTTTTCTGTACTTTTTGTTATAAGTTGTACTGAATTATCTGTTTCCAGAGAACTTTTTCTTGGCCAACTAATGGAATACATGAAGACTGTGCAGAAGGATTTTTTAATGTGCTCTGCAGGAGAAAAAGAAATGCCCTCTTCGAATCTTGTTCCAGAACTAATTAACAATATTACATGGATAAAGCAGTTAAACAGCAAAGTTTGTACATCTTTTCTACCCAATATACTTGTATTTTTAACGTTATTTTTAATTAAAAGCAGCAGCTTTTCTTTTTTTCTACGCTTCCCCTATTCCATTCTTTTAGTAGAATGGGAAATAAAGGGTAACAACTATCTACTTCCCATTACAGTTAGAAAACACTTTTTGCTTCATTAGGAATTGATTTTTTTTTTTTTTTTTTTTTTTTTTTTCGTTTTTAGATTTTAGGAAGAAAAATCTGTTTCAGGCACATGCACTTTTTTTTTTTTTTTTTTAATTTTGGTTACACTTTGGCCAAATTATATTAAAACTGATGAAATTATGATATTTTCAAACTGTTTTAATTTAATATTCGAATTTTGAAATAATCAAAACTTATAGATAATGAATTTTGATTAATTCTATAAAATACTTTTCTCAAAAAAAATTTTTTTTAATATTCTCTAAATACTAAATATTTCGCCACTTGTCCACGTATTTTCGGACAGCTGGAACCTCGACATACAAGTTTAATTCGTTCCAGCACTGAAATCCTATAGCGAATTTCTCGTATCTAGAACTAACTTCTTCATTGAAAAATAATGGAAATCTAGTTAATCCATTCCACATCCGCAAAAATCTCATTACCATCTCATCTTCAGTCGACGTACCTGGTGTTTTTCGGAGAAGGTCCAAGTACGGATTCTTAGCGTTAGCGCAAGTGATAGCTTCCGACACCGAATCGCCTTTTAACTGCTTCTCATTAATCCACACCAACAACGGCTTCTCAACATCTAGGAGTTTTGGACGGTGCTTGGAAATAACGGTAACTCCTTTGGCCACATCAAGTTTCTTAATTTTTTCCTTCTTCTTCAGAATAGTGCAGATCGTCGATGTCGAACGGCCGTAAGTCTTTGCCAATTCTGTCACTCTTACACCACGCTTATGTGTATCTGTGATTTCTTTAATTTCAAAGGCCTTTGCTTCCTTCTTTTTCTTCGCAGCACTATCTGAGGCAACAATCTTCTTCGGAGGCGTCGTGAAATAATTATTTTCACGTTAAATGTAAAAAAAACAATTAACTCACAAGCGTACAAACACGTAGATCAAAGAACACCGAGTGATCTGACGAGGGTATTCTCTGAGTCGAGCCGGACCGGGGAACGCGCCACGCATACAAATAGCCTGGCTTGTTGTTCGTTACTCGAGTCAGTGCTCGTATTTAGAGACGAATTTTTCGCTCAAACTTTCCTCGTATCTCGAATTTCTCGTATATAGATGTGCTCGTATCTCGAGGTTCCACTGTATAGAGAAATTGTTGAAATGAGTTGAACTATCTTAACCATTAAGTTTCTGTGGTTAGAAGCCTTAGTACATTAAGTAAATAGAAAACTTGATGAATATTCCTCGCCGAATATGAATTTGTAAAATAAAAGTTATATTATTATTGCTTAAAAATTCTTTTGTTTTGAATCCAAAACAGTGAAAAATTAATTTTTTCTTATTATCTTTCCTTCATAAAGGTATTTTCTTTATGTGAAACTTTCATAATATACCATTTAGCTATATGTGGAATTTAGAAACCTATCGCTGCATTATTGGTTTTATATAATAGATAAAATTGTTAAATTTTTAAGTACTATATTTACATTTTGAATGTTAAATTTAATTTTCCAATATTGGTTGTAATTTCTATAATAATGGTGGTAGACTGTAATTTTCTGAAATTTTTGACCCGAATTCTAGTCTTGTGTAAAATCTTATATTACTATGTTAAAGTAATTATATTCAATTAAATATTTTGTGTCAATGCATTAAAAATATTGCATTCATGTAAAATGTTATGTATTTAAGTAAGAGAGTTCAGTTTAAAAGTTTTCAAAGTTTCAGAGTTCTGCTGTCAATATGAATATTACAAAAAGATTTCAAATTGTATTAGATTGTGAAAGCAAGAACATGAATGTGTGAAGATTTTATTTCAGATTCTCAAATTATCCGAAATTTTCTGTGCAAAGCTGAATACAAGGACAGATTTGGAATTTTTAAGTGATTTTGTATGATAAAGATTATGTTATTTTTTGAAGCAGCTATAACATTTGTCCCCTATCACTTGATGGTGGTTTCAAACATGAAATCATTTTCTTCTTCTTTGTTAATTTTTGTAATTGTCTGATGTACTGAAGATTTTATCTTTGTTATTTTTGAAAAGGGATTAAGTGTAGATAGAATTTGTTTGATTGAGAACTTGATGCAAAATAGCAGAATATGACTAAGAATTTGTTTTGATTTTACAAATTACGATATCATGCAAGCAAAGCATTTAAATTAAGTAAACTTGTAAGTTCCATAGCCTTTACCAACTATCTATTTTGACCCATTTTCTTTTAGTTATTTTCATAGTTTAAAGTGCATTTTCTTTCAGGATTTTTCTCACATTTCTTCTTCATCTCATTTTTCTGCTTGTTCTCTTCATTTTCATGAGTCTGATGTCTCCAGATTTTCTCGTATTTGCTTACTTTTCCATACTGTTTTTTCCCTATATTTGATTTGTATGCAAGAATAATTCATTCTTCTTCTTTTCAAAATCTTTTTGAAATTTAAATTGTACTTTCTTTTAGGTTCTTTGATGGTAACATTCGCTCGTATATCGATGGTATTATTGAAAGGAATGCCATTGATATTTTCCATGACGAAGAGTCCATTTTGCCGCCACTCATTGCAGAAATCTGAAGCGCTTTAAAATAGGGCTGCTCATTATCTGGCAAACTCAGCCACGTGAGATGGCCGCGAATTAGTTTTCCACCTTCTTCCTCGGAGCGGTCTTAGCTTCCGTTCCTTTGGGGTGTTCTGCAGTTCCTTCGTACGTGGCTTTCAGTGCCGCAGTTTCAGCACTTTAGTGTCGATTTGTTGCCACTCATATTCCGCGTCAAGGCATTGACTTGCTTGATTAAATCGTCTAGACGAGGAGTCAGTTGATTCACTGGCATCTGGGCATGAGCAGCTTTGATTGGGTGACGGTCTCTACGAGTTGCTTGCTGGACCCATTTAAAAATGCGACTTGGTTATAATTATTTGAAAAAACGAACGATGCACATTGAAAAAAGGGAATGGAAAATAGGTTACTGTAAATTAAGAATTTCGCCAAATGAATTAGTCTTGGCGCAAATTGAAAAGAGAGCCCTGAGATAAATTTTTAAATGTTTACCATCATACTTAGTTGCTTACTATAAATACAGAATCTGTACTAGTTTTCACCCAGTCGTCGAAAAATCTTTTGTAAGTTTCCTTTCTCGAAATAACTGGAAGGCATATGAGTGCCGGATACGGTTGCAGTTACATAAAAATCAATTAGAGTTATTAAATTGCAGTTAAACAGAAACCGGACATGTCACTTTTGGCTGTTTCTCGCCAAATCCATCGCCAGTAGCCATTTATTCAACATTAAATAGACTTAGCCCTGTATTCTTACTTTTCCGGCAAAGTTTCGTTTTTTAGATCTTCATTTAGCGTTATAGCCCCCCTGCAGTTTCACTTATAATTTCACAAAACTCATTTACATATATACAGAATTAGTAACAGTGTTTAAATTTGGAATTTTTTAAAATTGTAATTGAATTATTTTGTAAAGTTTAGGCTAACATATCGAACATTTCTGCTGTTGTAATTTAATTATCCCTTTTCTAAAGTAAATTCAGTGGCGCAACAGCCCTAGTGGGCCAAGGGCCTGCAGTGCCCGAAAATCTGGTTTCTTGACCGTAGGCCCCGGGGTTCGTGAGCATATGTCTTAAACGAGTGGTTATTCCCTTTCTAAGGCATTAATTAAAATGATTTTTTATGCGGTAATGTTACATTCATTAAGAAATTAAATTACAGCACTAAATTTTAAACAGAAAATGTTACTAATTATTTTTTATCAGGCCATTTAAATTAACTGTTAGGTTATTTAAATGCTTTTTTCCATCTGATAAGTAATTCAGCTAATTGCTAAAAGCTAATACTTTTGTCATTTTAAATAAAATTGGTGATTAAAATCAATAATTAATTTTAAAATGCTTTCGTTTCATTAACTTTTTTAGTTTATTGTATTTTGTCAAAGAGACATAGTTTAAGGTCATATTTAAGTTGTTATTAAAACTGTGTGTATTCTTAAAAACAGTATACATTTACTTTTTAATCTGATAATTTTATTCTAAAATTCAAAAGCTGATAACTAATTTTAATTTTTTATTGCCTATTTTTTAAATTTCAGGTAAAAGAAATTGCAAAAGTAAGCAAGTCTCTTCTTGATGATCTAGATGGTTATCAAAACTTAGATAGGGATATAAAAAATATTCTTGATGATTTTCATACATATGACAAAGAGAAATTTGACAATTGGTCCCAAGAACTGATTGATGGATTACAAACAAGAACCCTTGGGTATTTTATTCTTGATGTGAATAATGATCTTATAATTAAATTATTTTAGTTTTAACTTCTTGATTCAATTTTGGGGTATATGCAAAAGCACTGAAGGCTACTCATGTAGTAAATAAGGAATCACTAAAGATTTAATCATTTTATGCTTATAAATTATGATTCCATTGTTATTTAATGGAAATGTCTGCACTGCAGAATTCTGAAATTATTATAAGTAAATTAATATAATCCTTTTATTTTCTTTATTATTTGGTTATGAGCAGCAGAAGGAATAGGAATGTTTAAAATATAATTTTTTCTGACATTTTAGCCAAATAACTCTTGCTTTCTGAAAAATTATAAAAGTGTTTAGAAGATTAGCAGTATTGCATTGCTGCAATGGTTATCTAAATTGCATCAGAAATATGTGCTGCATCAGATTGATATAAAAGGTTCAAAATATTTCTACTTTGGTGAAACACAGGCTTAGCTCTAAATTGCTACAAATCAATAATTTCAAAATACTACTGATACTGAGGCAGGATGACAATTTAAAACCAATTTTCCACAACAAAAATAGAATTTTTTTTAAACCTGTTTTTTATTTTATGCCTGATATTTTCTGAAATTCATGCATATTATTCACTGTACTTGAAAAATAATCCATGTCTGTTGCTTTTGCTAAAAATTTAAACAAAATGAGGAAAAGGCATGTAAAATATTCTTACATATACTACAGACAAGCATTTCCATAAGAGAGAAAGTTTTTAAATAGTACATAAAGCAATATTTTGTAGAATCTAATGTAGTAATGAAGCTCACTTTTAAAATTAGTGGAATAGGGAGAGGCTGGGGGGGGAAAGAAAAAAAAAAGATAAATCTTTAGTTTAGTAGTGATAAGATTCAATTCATTATTCAAATAATTATTATAATTTCTATGGTGTTTTTGCATGTTAAAATTAATTATTTTTTCCATTTGTTATTCGAAGTTCAGATTTTGAGCGTGAAGGTGCAGTTGCCCCTCGCTCCCTATTTTTAACTTCGCTAATTCTTTGTCCTTTGTGTTACATGTTTGATCAGATAGCCTGGCTCAGTAAAAGTAGGCGGCCAGTGTAACTCTGATTAAAAATCCGGTTATAACCACGTGCAGTGCTGATAAGGACCACGTGTTTTTGAGACTCCTTCCGCTTTAGTTTTCTTCTTTCTAGGTATTTCTTTCTCCTGAAGAGGAGGGGCCTTTAGCTGCCCTCGAAATCGATTGAGTGTTTCAATATACTTACACTAAATACAAGGTTGATTTTTACCATTAGCTTGAAAAATGGTATCTGTATCTAAACTTAAAAGTGCATTGCAAAACTAAGATGTCTTGTAATCAAAATTATAGTGCTTATTATTTGTTTGAAGTAATCTTTAATACTGTTTCAAGATAGAAAAATGTTGAATTCAAATGCTTAAGTTTCACTTTTTGAAATGTATTTACAAATATTGTTCTTATTGAAAGTGAGCTTGCATTCTTAGCTGTTGTAACTTTTAAAATAAAGTCTTCCAAATTTCAGAGATATGTTTACTGTAGCAAATTGTTACAGTTTCTAAAATGTAATTCTGGTGATTGTTAAGTTTTATGAAATTTTATAGCACTGGTAGTTTAATTAAAAAGAGATTTTACAGTTACGTCATTTGATTAGAAATGGCATAAATTAAATATTTATGTCATTTTATTCCAGTGATATATTTGTGCTACAAGTCAGTAAGAAGTAAACTATGAATCTTTCTGCTTTTGTATCAGTAAGGGATTGCACTCGGATATCATTCATTTTTAATGATTACCCTATGGGGATTTATTTATTGCATCAAATCCAGTGAAAAAATAAAACACTGGAAAATAATAAACGCAATACAGTCAAAAGTCGTTAATCCGGACTCGTCGGGACTTCGGCGATTCCGGATTATCGATTTTTACGGATTATAGATCATCAGTTTAAATCTGGTAAGATGGCATGCAGAAATTATAAAATTAAAAATATGAAACCGTAATTTATGAAATAAAGAGCAATTATGATCTAAAGGGTATCAAAATTTACAAAAAGAAAAAGCTTAATATTTATTTGTTTACTTTATTAAACATTTCTTTCAATGTAAGTTGTTTAAGTTGCTTCGTTTCATGTCATAATACTGTAATGTTGCGCGCTCCCAACCTGCACGCAACAATAGTGGTGACTGCAATGAACTCGAAAGTACACAAAGTCTTGAGAAGGGTTTAAATCCCTTTTTATTCAACTTTAGAAATTACAGATGCGTGCTCTTGACGCTCACAAACTACGCCGACCCGGCGATAAAATAAAAATAAGAAACTAAAAATGAATAATAACAAGTGACTACCTACGAGGCTCTCTAAAACATAACTAACCTAACCGCGTTCTAAAATACCACTGATAATTCAGCAAACTTCTGAATATTACGTTGAAAGATTTAACTATCTACCGAGGCAAGCACACAGGCCGAAATGCGTGGTTCTTCAATTTCTACCAAGCCACCTCCACGCTCGTGAAGCAAGAAAACACACTTTCGAACTCGTTTACCTTCTATTTAACTCAGATTACTTCCGCTGACAATTTTGAATACTTTGCGCGTTCTACTAAAATTTACATATTCTGGCATTGGCAATTCCAGGGGAAAGTAAGGCTTGACAGGAAAGATAGTTTAAGCTTAAAATAAATGTTAGTTAAAATAAATATAAACCCTACAATACTTTCTCTTTAATTCTATTAAACAGACATAATTTCTTGTTTATTTACAAAGTTCCTCTGTTCAAGTCCTATAATTGCTGTTTCGAGAATACCGACTAATTTTGTCAATCGAAATTTTTTCGTTTTCAATAACCTCTGTCACTTTCTTCGCTATCGGAAGCGAATTATAATGACGAGGCATTTGATTTAAATCATATCAAAGACGGAGTACATCGAGAGGAAATACCACACTTAGTAAGCAATTATAAGCCAAATAAAATAAAAACATCTGCCCTGAAGATAAGGATAGTGCTGACAGATCAACTTCCAATTAACTGCGCGCCGCGTCGTTTCCCTTCCCCTGCAGAGCAGCGTGAAATTGATAAACATATTTCGGAATGATTAGATAATCAAAGGATATGCCTTTATCCATTTTTTGCAGCAATTCCACTTTCTGTTTAATGGACTTCGAAACATACTTTCGCTTTGTAGATCCTTTACATATTAGTAAATATATATCGGAAATTCTATTTGACAGAATCGAAAGTTCATGTTTACTTTTATAAAATTGCTCTAACAGTTTGCAAAAAAATAATAAGCCGGATCCAATTCGAAGATTAAGGAACAACGCAATCTGCAACATTAACTGAATTAGATAATTTTAGCTTAGCTTAAACCGTCCGTTATACATTAAACGCGCATGCGTAAACGTACTATGCGCCTGCGCACACGCATATTCGCAGCCGTAGAGGTTTTACGCGCATGCGTAAACGCCTATGCGCATGCGCATAAAGTTTGTAGCTTTGAGGTCCGAATTATGGATCATTCCAGATTAAGGGCGTCCGAATTAACGACTTTTGACTGTAATAGAATTTAAAATTAGAGAAAATTCAGCCTTAAGCTGATACTTTTTTAAAAGGATTGTGTGCATTTCCAGAGAAACTGATACTAGTTCGTTTTCTTCAAGGAGGGAAGGAAAAAAGATTAAAATTAATATCTTTTTAAAAACAATGTACTTATTTTATTTCTTTTATCGTGTCTTCCAAAAAGACTGGCATGGGTTCCATTTCTTCAAGGAGCAAAAAAGCAAAAGCGTTTAAAGGAATGACTCTTTTAATATCATTATTGTTGTTTATGGGGTACTGAGAGAGATTATATAGTAGGATATGTGGCAGCCTACTGAAGGAGAATATTGAATGTAAGTGAATAAAATATTTTAATCGGTAGTTTCCTTAAATTTAACAGAAGAGATGAAAAATCCTTGTTGACCTATGACATGAAAAAAGTATAAGATGCATAAGAGGTAATAACTTTACAATGATAACTTTTGCAATGTATTGGTTCTACTTTGCCATTATATTTGTTGTCAGCTACTTGATTATAATATGTTGCATTGCTCCATAGTAGATACTATCCAGGACTTGAATCTCATAATCTGCTGGATTGCTATTCCTATTCCTGTCTTTAACAGCTACAGCAATGTTAGCATAATATGTACATTACAACATTGCACCACAATGGGGAGAACTAGAGCTACAGGGATAGGCCACGAGGGCAATAACAGGATGACACACAGCTCTAGCTTCCACTGTAAATTAAATAATGTTGCACTTCTTATCTTCTTCAGCACTGCGTAGATGCAAGAGGAAATGCTAATTTCCTGACAGATATACTTCTTCCATTGTTTCTCCAATACCAGTGTATGTTTTTTCATAAAAATCTGTCTTGAAGATATACAGGGTGCGTCAGAAAATTGTATACACAGTTTGAAATGTCGTAAAAAATTTAGTTTCCAACTGAAAAGGTTAAATTTCTGGAAGAAGTAGGGCTACAGTCCAGTATGAAAAATAAGTATACTTTCTAGTCAAACTGAATGTTCCAAATGGTGTTTAAGTAAATTTTCAAAATGGTGGTCTTCAACAGCGGTACATTTCTGAGTTCGAGTCCCGACTGATTTTAATGTTTCTGGGGTAAACCAAGTAACCTTGACAGACTTTGGGATGAGATTCAAGTGATGTGAACAGAAATCCCATTGACATTTTGGTTTAAATGCGGAATCAGTCCTGATTCGTACTCAGAAATGTATTGATGCTGAAGATTACCGTTTGAACACCATTTAGAACATTCACTTTGAGCAGAAAGTACACTTATTTTTCAAATTGGAGTATAACCTTACTATTCCAAGAAATTTAACTTTGTAGGTTGGAAAATAAATTTTCCATGAGAGATCAAAGTGTGTATACAATTTTTTGACGCACCCTGTATAACCTGCTGTTACTAACGGACTATTCATTGGATTTCTTGAGCCAAACTGAGGAACACAAAATGTGGAAATATTGCTGTTGCCTAAGCAAGCTCCACCATACATGTCTACCATTTCTTTGGGAATTTAAATTAATTTTCGATCTAGCCCACAAAAACAATATCATTGATCGATCATTATTGGGCAACAGATCATTGATCTTCGGTAATAGATGATACTATTAAGACTAAAATAAGAGTAATATTTTTATGTTATAGTTCGTATTTCTCCTGCCAAGATGGCAGTGTTCTAGCAAAATTGATTTGTGTGCCATAATTAGATTAGTTGCTTGTTAACTAATGTCCTATTACATGTAAATCTTGAATAAGAAAAAAATTCTGTATTGCTTTCCAATCTTCCACATATTTTTATGTGAAATAAAATTTTCTTTTCCCATATGCTACAAAATTTGTCATTGTATTGATGAAAATGGCTTAACTTCAACAATGAGATTACCCTTTTTACTTCTTCGTACGAAGTAAAAAGGAAGTATTGTAATCGCGAAAAGTTTCAGGCAGCATATTTCAACGAAAATATCCATTTTGACCGCTATCGAATGCAATTTAACGATTTTTTACGTGATATCTGTACCTAAGGACAGAATAAAATACTCTTTTCCTTCAAAAAAATTATAAAACTGCTTTAAAATGAATTCTGAAGAGAATTTTTCGTGGCGTCTGTACGAACGTATGTACGTACGTGCGTGCGTACGTACGTACGCGCATAACTCGCAAAAACTCAAAAACGAGTAGCCTCAGAACGTTGAAATTTTGTATATAGGACTGCTATAACATGTAGATGTGCACCTCGTATTTTGGTTGCAATCGGCCGCACCAAACGTATATAAATATATTTATATATCAACTCTGTTACCCGGCTCAGTGATCTCAGTTTCTTTACTCTTATATGTTTGTAAATTGTAAATTTTTTGCTTTAAAAATGATTGAATTATGTTGTTTTTATCTTCCGGTTAAGGATTTTATGCCTTTAGTAAATCTGCATGCAATATTTTTAGAATTATCAGCAATTTTAAAGTTGTCTAAGTGCCGCTAAGCCTTTTTTTTATGGCGGCCATTGATGTTTACATTTGAAACAGAAGACTAGTGGATTTGTTGCCAATCTAGAGAAACTTAGCTGGGCAACAACAAAGACAACGCATTCATTTATTATTGCCAATTAAATCATGCTTAATTCTTTCTGAAATTTTTTCGAGGAAATAAGTGTTTAAGATTTACTTCATAATTTTTAATATGGATATTTTGAGTTTTTATGTATTTTTGCCTTCTCGCGAAATGAGAACTGAATTAATTAAATGAGAAATACTCAATCGTCTGTGAAAATTTTTTTTTTTTTTTGTTTACTTAATTTCTTTTATACATCATTCTAGCTTTATTGTAGTATTTGAATAGAACATGTGGCAACGACCAGATAATTCTATTCTTAATAATGTTAATGTGTAATAAATGTTATAAATGTTATAATATGTGTAATAAATGTTATAAATTTTGTGCATTATGAGTTATAATATGAACGAAATTTTAAGTTAACTCTTATATATATTGGATTATATAACAGTTAGTTTCTGTTATATTGGATTATATAACAGTTATTGGTTATATATTATTATATAAGTTAACTCTTGTATAATTATTAATACTGTTAAGTGAATCTAGCGCCAGAGTGTCGCTATGGTAAACAAATACTAGAGTAAATTTTAAAGAATGAATTTATTCTATTGTGGTTTATGCGCTGTCCGCGAAGTAGATTTAATTCAATCCAATAAGTTTAAATGAAATGCAAGAAAAAATGAGTATAATTTTATATTCCGTACAAGGAAGTCATGTGGTGTACACATCAGATTTTTTATCAAGGAAGTAAATGCTTAACAGCAAGGAATGTTGGTATTTTATATTAGTTTATATTTATTTTCTAAAAAAATCAATACCTTGATATATGGTTATTTTCCTTTTATTAAGAATTCAAAAAATAAACTTGAGCATTAAATCTTTGAATATTTTCTTTTTTTATGTTATTATATGTAGGTTAGATACAGGAAGACCAGTTATTTCTTTAGATGCAAAAGGACAGCCTCAAGTCAGTTACAGTTCACGCCTTGTCACTTTGATGCGGGAAGTGAGACAGTTGAGAGTTCTTGGTTATAGTATCCCTAATAAAATTTTGGATTTGGAAGAAAAGGCCAAGAAACATTATTCACAAGCAAAAACACTTCAGCAGGTAAAAGAGATTTTGAATATAATACTTGACTATCTGGCTAAGTTTTTTGTTTTGCTTAGTATAATATCTGCATTTACACTGAAGGTTTTAACAGAGTAATGATAATAAATATTTAACAGAAGTATGTAATAAAAATTTAATAATTTTGAACTTATCTCTGAGGACAAAATATGGGATTCTAATGTAAATATGCTACAGTACAAAGTTTTGCAATTAAGCTGGCTCCTTTTGTTATTATGATCACGAAATAAGTAAAGAAGCAGTTCATTTGCAGGCAAAATATTGTTCAGCTATTCAGTCATACTTCTGCTATTTACGGTCTGATATTTTTTACAGTTTAGCTTACATTTTATTTTCTAATATGTTTGTTTTCCCTCATTTTAAATCTCATTGTATTTATATATAATCATTTTAATTTTCCTGCACAAAATTTGTTTGAGAACGATTCTGTGATTTCTTTCACATTGATTTGCTATTCTGTTTATATGGCCTTGCATGCTTCATGATTTTTTTTTTTTTTTTCCATTTTTGTCAAATTAGTTGACATTTGAACAGAATTTACGTTCTTCAAAAAACTTTTAATATTGCAAATTTATAAAAAATAAGTTTGAAATTAAGCAATACTTTTTATCTTGCTGCAAAACTTTACTAAAATTAGTTAACATTCTTTTGTTTCTTGTCAGTTATTCACTTAACCTTCTAATTTATCTTAATGTCAATATTTTAACATTTCCTATTCAATTGACTTTACATTATTTATACTGAAGAAAGCACCTTCAGTGCATATAATTATTGGATTGTATAACAGTTAACTTAGTTTCCGTTATATAATTATTATATAAGTTAACTCTTATATAATTATTAATACTGTTAAGTGAATCTAGCGCCAGAGTGTCGCTATGGTAAACAAATACATATGCGTATTAAATTTTGTTATTATTGCGATTTTTATTCAATTTCTTTTTCATTTACTTTATAATTTAAATAATAACTCTCAGATCAATTAAATGAGTTCTTTTTTTAATTTTACTTAGTTATTCATAAATTATCATACTGTAAATATATAGATTACCGTACGTCCAAAATTATCCTGGACAGCCTAAAATTTAAATTTATATCCAGAGTTGTGTCAGGGAATTTAAATGAGAGTAATTGTATTAGCCACTAAATGCATCAATTCCAAAAATATTTCTCTAGCTATGCAATATTTAAAACATTTGTTCTCAAAAACAGAGGTCAGTTAAAAGTATCAACAGCAGAGTAAATTAAAAATTTGAAAATGAATTCCAAAGATTCATATGATGATATTTATAACCATAAAAAATCCAATAGAGAATTTCAAAGTATAGTACCATCTAATGAAAAATATGCAAGAAAGAAAAGAATGGCAGCCATCCACATCATTTTTAGGGCAGACATGCTTAAAAAGGTGTAAAATCTACTTTTTAATATCTTGAATATTTTACTTTTTTTTTTTCTTCGGGCTTTTGGTGATGTTGAGAGTATTTGCACAGTGTAAACATCATTGTCTATCAAAAGAGCATACTTGATGTAAGTGAAACATAAGTTTTTATGGGCTTTTTTCTTGAGCTTTATAAAAACAGGATATATATCAACATATGACACGAGAAAAATATAACATGATGAATGGCAGTCGATTAACTGAACTGTTATGTCGGCAGGTACTTGACTGCAACAATTCCATGTGAAACTATATAAATGCTGTCTGGGATTCTCTGCTAGATTTAAATTCTTATTCTAGTGTCCAAGAGCTGTATTCCATGTCAGGATTGCATGCGTCTCACTGCCATACCATGCTGGAGAGAATCACAGCCACTGACCACATCAATAACCAGAAAGACATACACCTCAACAGGGACATCAGGAGAAAACACAGTCTTTACACGTTTCTTGGCTTCTACCGGGGGGGGGGGGTTATGTATTGTTGAACTTTTCACCTCTTGAGCACTGCACAGTTCCGAGAAAGAATGCAAATTTCTCAACACTTTTATTGCATGATTTCTTTTTAGCCTTTCATATCAACTTTTATTTATCATGCAGGCTTCTATATAATTAAAAAGCATACGTAAAGTCATGCAGGCGTTTGAATTAATCTTTTATATAGTGACCAAAACGTGGACATCTACAGAAAAATTTTCAGGGTAGGGAACTGGAGACATATAAATGTATCGATATTTTTTTATTTGATTTTTTAATTTGGGGTGACATTAGCAGATTATAGAATATGTTATTGCATTAATACAAAAACACTGCTATACATATATACTGGTGGGAAAATTAAAAGGAGTAATGCTAAAAATCCGTGGACCTTAAAATGATTTTGCAGCTGGGAATATCGAACTTATATAAAATGTTAATTTTGTCATGCTTGACATATCTTTAAAGTACAGAATTGCTTATTTCTGCTCCCTCCCCCCCCCCCCCCCAAAAAAAAACACACACACACACAGGGAAATGTAATATAAACTAGGATGGGGAAATATTGATGTTACAGATTTTTGAATATTCATAGAAATAAATAAAGTGTGTAGTCACCCCCACAAAAATAGCAAGATTTACTGTGATTTTCCATGTTATGTGTTAGATTGTCCAGGAGTTCCTGCATTAAGAAAGTTTAATTCCCCATGAATAGCGCCTTAAAGGTTCTGGTGTGATTTAAGTCGGCATTTTAGTGTATCCCACGTATGTTCTATCGTATTTAAGTGCAAAATATGCAGAACGCTTGAACTTCTGGATTTTTTCGCCCTCAAGATAATCGGTTTTTAGTACAGCACGATGGACATGAGCATTATCGTCTATTGGGAGGAAGGTATTATCGATTCCATTTATAAATAACTTGATATAAGAATCAAGAACCTCATCTTTGTATGTTTCAGCATTCATAGTTGCACTGGTAAAATTGTGTAAGTCAGTGCAGCCTTTCAAATGATAGATGTTTTCAGGCTTATTAAGCATATTTTGCTTTCTTCTGATTGCAACACATCTTGAATCATTCTCCTAACAAATTGCATCTTGCATTAGTGGGGCACAAATCATGCGTTTCCTTGCATGTAATTCCTCTTTTATGCAGTCTTTTGATCATGGTACATATGGATAATCGAGTTTTTGCAGTTGAGAACTCTCTTGTAAGCTGTAATAGCATCAGTTGTCCATTTCCTTGAGCAATCGCTGCCAAATGGCAGTCCTGAGAGTCTGTTGTGACACATTTTCGATCTTTTAACCTAGTTGTCTGCGTACATCACCGGTGTCTTTAAACCGTTTCCAGATTCCTGACATGATAATTTTGGGTCTTTACAGATCTGTATCATTGTTTGAGCTGCTTCTAGTCGCTCAGTCTCACACTATTTCTCACATCCATCAAATGCATTCTCTATGGCATGTTCTATTTTTCACACCCAAGAATTTTATGAAACTTTTGGTTCAATTCTTGAAATCAGAATTTGAATCCCCCATTATAATCTTTTCCATAGGTGTCAAAAGAACTTTCGAAAAATTTTTAATATTTTTGTGTAGCAAATGTGAGTCTCATTGGATTACATCATAACGTTGACTTTGAGCTACCAACCACCATTCACTGTACTTTCATAATAGAATTAACATAAAGCACATCATGTATAGTTTTTCCCTTGATTTTTCCTGTCAATGTAGTTTACATGCGTCATTAACTGCACCCCGTTAAAAAAAAAAAAAAAAAAAAAAAAAAAAAAAAAAAAAAAAAAAAAAACCTTTCCTTAATTCCAGAAAAGATGTATGCCTTCCTCCTGCAGAACCCGTAGCCTGGATTCTCATTCCTGAAATATAGTAACACTGTATAAATAGTTATATCTGTCGTTTCTATCTGTATAATAGTTATAACATCTTCACTATGTTTGAATGTGTTCTTGAATCAATAGTTCAATAAAAACCAAACTTTGATATCACTAAAAATACTGCTGAAAAAGGAAGAAAAGACATGTGCCATCCTCCTACAAAAGCCCATGGTCCTGAATTCTCATTCCTAATGTATAGTAACACTATATAAATAGATATATGTGTCATTTATATATTTATAATTGTTATAACTTCTTCGCAGTGATTTAGTGTGACTCCTAAATTAATAGTTCATTGACAACCAACCTTTGATATCACTAAAAATATTGCTGGGGGGGGAACCCTCTATAAAGCAAAATAAGCTCAATAATTGTGTTTAAAGATATTGTTACGGTTTTTGTATTTATTTAGCTATGTTTAGAAGAATTAATTAAAATTGCTTTATATCCCTGTGCAATGTATCATGAGACTTATTTGAAGAGAAAGCTATGCCGAAAAAGTTAAAAGACAGGAGCACGCGCATTTAATAAATAGATATCTCGTTATTGTACTCTTTTGTTTTCCAGAAAACTTGAGAAACTACGAGACTCGTGATAGATTAAAAAGCTTATAAAAGGTGGAGGAAAACATCTCAGTTCAGTTGTTTACTTATTGTTTATTGTAACGAATTCGCGGTGAGATCGGGTTAGCTTTCTCAGTATTTTGAATTGAGTTCTGTTCAACGTTTTGGTAGTTTAAAATGTTTAAAATATAACTACTGTGAGATATTGCGATATTGTACGAATATCTCTGAAGAAATTTAAGCATTTTGTATTTATTTGTTGTAATAAGAATAAATTTTATTTACTTTTCATCGGTTTTGTGCATTCAATTTATTACGAAACCGTACGCACGCAACAATATTTTCGTTGAATCAATAATTCTACGAGGAAAATAATTTAAAAACATGTCATAAAAATATTCAGTGCTGGATTACAAAAAACACATGGTAATATGACATCTCATGCTAAAATCACATGCAAGATTCTTTCAGTGAATTAATGATAAACTCAACAAAAGTGTGTACCATTTTAATTTATCATGATTTAATGTCCCAAAATATTACTGTTACAAGAAATGTAATGAAATGCGTTTTATTCTTTTCAGACTTATCAAATATCACTTGAAAAAATATTCATACATTTACTCTTGTTTTCCTTCCTTCTTTTAGATTGTGAATTTTTATAAAACTATAGCAGATCATATGATTTTAAGCCAACAACCATTAATGCTAGAAGCAGCCAGAGCCTTCACGAGAGTTGTTGATGAAAAAAATGCAGTGACATGGAATGACGAAGCAAGCCTAGATGCCTACATCAGCAGGTTACAGCAGTCTGTAGAGCGACTGTCCAAAGAAAATAGAATGCTTCGGAAACAACATTTTGTTGTTGCAGAAATGGTCAGTATTTGCATTATATTAACTATTGTGTTAATTATTCTACATCTAATCATGTTAGAAATTAACAATTTCAGTTATTTTCATCTAAATCAGAATTTTTGTTTAAATACACTGCTCGACATTGAAAATGCAACACCAAGAAGGAGTGGTCAGGAAGTGATGAAATTTGGAAAAACGACAGAGACAGCATGCAGCAATAAGTGATTTATTTCAAAATGATAGTCAGAATACAGAGCGAGAATGACGTCGGCTCAGTAGGATGTAGGACCACCACAGACAGCGATGCAAAAAAAAAAACACATTTAGGCATAGAGTCAATAAGAGTGTGGATGGTGTCCTGAGGGATGGCTCTCCATTCCATTTCAACCATTTGACACAGTTCGTCTTCTGAACGAGGCAGGGGCAGAGTCTTTAAACAGTGTCCAATCACATCCCACACATGTTCGATTGGTGACAGGTCAGGAGAGTACGGTGGCTGACACCGTACTATTAACAGATGCGAGCACTGTGTAGTCAGACGCTATCCTGCAGAAAAATTGCATAAGGCAGCCCCTGAAGGTAGGGGATTGCCACCGCCCGCAGTATATTATCCAAGTATCGTTGGGCCGTCATAGTGCTCTAAATACGAGCTAGTGGTGACCTGGAATCGTAGGCAATAGCGCCCCAAACCATTATGCCACGTTGTCGCGCGATGGGGCGTTCCACAGTTACTGCCGGATTAGATCTGTCTCCACGTCGACGCCACACACATATGCGGCGACTGTCACTGGATAAACAGAAGCATGACTCTTCTGAGAACACGACGTTTTGCCATTCTTTCATTGACATCACTCCAGTCCGGCACCATTCTAAACGTTAGCGTCTATGCTGTGGGGTGAATGGCAGTCTTCATAGCGGGTGCCGTGAGTGCAGGCCACGTTCAACCAATTGACGGGAAATGGTTCGGGTCGACACGGGAACATCCAGGGTATCTTGCACATGCTGCAGAATCGCGGTACAAATGACTTGCGTGACCGCCACAGCTTGCCGGCGGATGCGTCGATCCACGCCATGGCCGCCACAACCAGTCCTGGCAAATACTGCATTTTACCACCCTTAATTCTTTCATGGAAGCATAACCTGAAACATAAACTAGCACTGGTAAAATATCAGAAGAAACATTTTCTATAGAAAAATCATTAATTAGTAAATTAATTAGTAAATTAGTAATTAGTAAATTTGATGCTAAAACAAAACACTTGGATAGGCTTCAGAACAGCTACAAATTTTCCCAAACAAATGTAAAAATTAAAAAGATATAAACCAAAATATAGATAAAACTATTATTTACCATTGCATAAAGCTTAAGTTATTTAAAATCACTTAGAATAGCAAAATAATCCACTTACATAACACTATTAGCATAATATATATCCAAAAAATTCACGACCGCAGGTTCGCAATCACACATTACCACAAAAACACATCAACCATCTGGATCACGTGATTTTTGCGTTTCAAGGCCATTATAGAGTTGGCTGTGGATCCACGCGTGCTGACGTTACTCTGGCTGCAGCTGCACCCCACCTTCTTCCCGCATTTCCTTGTTTTTACCATGTTCGCCATAGCTGACACACTGTGCTCGCGTCCATATGGGTATCAGCTGCGATTTGACGTAAGGACCAACCCGCCCTTCTCAGTCCATACCCCTCGTAAAATCGTCTATCTGCTAGAAGTGCCTTCTTTGACGGCAGCCTTTCATTCTCTCCTATTACACGTATCCTCCAGGACAAAAACCAACTTTCTTTGATAATTCATCTGGCAAAAATAACGACACGACACGAATATTGCCCATTCTGCACGTTCCTTCCCTTATATCTTACTTCACGTGCGTTGGAGAGCTGCGCATTTCACATCATTCGCATTACTCAGTGATGTGCGTCTACTCTAAAATTTGCATAAATTTCTGACCATTCCTTCTTGGTGCTGCATTTTCAATGTCGAGCAGTGTAGTTTGATAATTATATGTTGAAGTAGTTTATTTCTTTAACACGTTATTTATCTTTTACCAGAAATTTATTTTATGACTAATCTATTTCATAATTATAATTTTTTGAGCAATAAAATATATTATTAAGAATTTTTACAAACTAATATATTGAAATGTGTGTTAGGTTCTGAAGCTCATGAATACAGATCTTTTGAGATTGCAACAGCGATGGAAAGACTCTCTAACAGAAATTCGGAGTATTTTTGTAAAGCTTCAAGAACAGGTTTGCTATTTCTTTTTTGCTGTAAAATGTTTTCAGGGTGATGCTTCTTAACTATAATGAATTTAAATATACTGGTTTCCATTAATTAAGGAATAGTTCACAAAATTTGAGATAACTTTCCAAAATATAGTATGCAGGTTATCTCATATTTACAGCATAAATAAAAAAAAAAACTGTTGTGGACACTACATAACTTCCTTGTGTGGCCTATTAAATTATACTCACATTTTCTGCACTTCATTTACTTATTTTCCTGAATTGTTCTAACTTAATTAACCGATCTCTCAACGCAAGTTGAAAATGACATAAAAATTTGCAAATTTTGAAATTAAATATCATGGTCAATTTCTGTGGTACGGGAATCAAACTTTTTACAATTTTATTTTTCATAAAGAGTATAAAACTTTCCCAAATATAAGTATGAGAAACGGTAGATCCCAATAAAAGTTAAATTTCATTATTTGTCGACAATTAATTTTTCTTATTTTACATTGCCAAAACATGAATATTTTCATTATTAAAAACAAATTTACAATCGGAAGTATATGACTGCAACCAACAATTGCAAACATAAAGTCCGGATAAGGACTTTTAAGCCAGGTAAGAGGGGTGGGTATGTGTATATACTTTTGTATATATACTTTTGGTACTGCCAGTTGCAATAAAAAAAGGTGATGCACAACTAGATGTTATAGTAGCCTCGTATACAAAATTTTGACATTCTATGGCTAATCGTTTCTGAGTTATGAGAGATACATACGCCACAAAAAAAAATCTCTGTTGAACCCATTTAACTCTATTTTACTATCGGTTTTGGGAAAAAGAATTGTCCTGTCCGTACATACAGATGTCATGAAAAAAAAAGAAAAAAAAAAAAAAAGTTTAAATGGGTTCAGAAAAAGGATCAAAATCGATATTTCCGTTGAAATACAATACCCAAAATTTTTCACAATTGCAATGCTTCCTTTACTTTGTACAAGAAAGAAATTATAATAGTTATTTTTTACAAAAAGTTTTGATGAATCATTTTCCAAATATATTGTAGAAAAATATTATTGACTAGCTACATACATTGTAGATGCTTGATGACTGAATGTGGGCATTTTTATGATTTATTAATTTGGAATCAATTTCTAAACATGCAGTATTCCTACCAGTTCTATCAAATAAATCATAGTGGCATTGTAAAAGACAAATATATGTGATTAACTTTAAGACATAGTAAGATTTTATTATACTTTTCTTTTATATAATCTATCATCTGTATCGCTAGTCTCAAACTGCTGACCCTGAAGCAGTTTTATGTAACCTACATGTGCATTTCAACTGCATACCTGTCGCAAATGTGGTTTTAAGATTGTGGCCTTCAAGATTTTAGTTATTTGCAGTCCATATTTATATTATTTTCATTACCATTAAAACCCAGCATGAATAGCTCTCTAAAAAATCTATAAATGAAGCTAATTAATTTTCTAAGCTAATAGAGCGATAAAAATCTTATTCAAAGACTTGAATTTACAGACTTTATTAACTTGTATTTGCACATATCAAAAAATAAATAAGCTGAGTTACAAATTTTTTCACTAAGAATTCTTGCTTTGTTTCGAAATACATTTATATGTGAATGAGGTTCCCCCCCCCTCTACAGTTGAAAATTAATAAAAGAAAGAATCCAGTTGACTGACAAGCATCGCAATCCATGATGAAACTAATTTCTAGTAATTTCTGTCCAAGGCTTCCAACTTTATTAGAATCATAATGCCATAAAGTGTCAAGCTGTAGTAAAAGATAAAGAAGTTTATAATTATTTACAAATAGACACATGTACGTATTTGTATTTATATTTCAAAAAAATTATTTAATAAAAGAAAAAGACTAGTTTGTTATTATTTATTTTCAAGTTTTGTTCCACTTGTTAGATTTTCTTTGAAAGTTTTCATGATTTGTTTAGTTTAAATTAAAGTAAGTTATTTAATGATTAATTAAGCATGTTAAAATTATTTGAAATAAATGTCATTCTAAAAATGAAGTATTTATCTGTCAGCATATCTGAATTATAAAGTGCAACCAGCAAAGATGTCTTGCAGATACCAAAGTTAAATTTCAGTTTGAATATTAATATAAATTTAATTTTTTCTTTGCAGTATTATTATTATTGTTTATATATGTTTTGATAAAATTTAGGGTGCAAAATTTAATAATTTAAAATTTATTTAAAACATTTTTTTATGTTAATAAAAAAATTTCATTTTGTTTAAAAAAAATGAAGTAATCTGAATCATCCGCTGTTCTCAGACTGTGAATTCAGGCCTTCATGCAATTTCACTTTTGAGACCACTCAGTATAAGCACTCACTTTTGAGCGCTGGGTACAAGTAAATGAGTGCATTAAACACTGTAATAGCTTATAACATTATATGCATTTTAATACATTAACTAAGCCATTTTTAAATAATAATTTATCTCTATAACCGCTAAAAATAAATATTGTCTGTAAAAACTTTTCTATGTTGTATGCTTTTTATCACCCTATCATCTAAAGTGTATCATGTTTTTACAATGCTAATATTTTTAAGGAATTTTCTCCTAGTGTTTGTGTAAATAACATTTTAAGTAGTTTTTATTTGAGTGTTACTTCCCAAAAGTTGTTCTTTTGTATATGTATTTATTATTAATAATTTATTGCAATTTGCAGTTTCTGAATGCCCAGATTTGGTTTACCCTGTTTAATGTAAGGTTAAAACTAAATTTTTCGAAATAGTATTTTTTAAATCATGTTTGAGTAAAATAATTTCATTAAAAATATATTTATTGTATATTTTTATAAATAAATAAATTTATACATTGTAGATATACTTGTGTTTCCTCTTTAGTCTCTTTTATTTATTTACGTATCAAAATTATATATATGCAATTAGATATTTTCCAATTTAAACTATGTCAAGATATATTAAGCTTGCCTTTTCATGGAAAATAGTACGTCATCTATAAAGTTTGACAATTCCTTTGTATGTTTCTTTTTAAAGTGAAAGCTGGCAAGGTTAGAGACATCAGTTTGGCTCCCTAATTCATGAAAAATAAATTTAAAAGATTATATGGACGGTTCATGTAACCAATGAATAGTGAAAGATTTCTGTAAATTTCACAGAATTTAATAAAAGCAGCTTTCTTGAGAATAAAATGATGAAAACAATATGTATATCTAATATAGGTACATTTCTTTATCTGATTGCATTTCTTTACCTGTTAAGCTGTATAATAATCATTTACGATTTCCTTTCAGCATATGTGGGAAACTGATAATTTCATCTTCTCTGGGTTAAAATATTTATTTTCCATGTTATTGAATTGCACTTGATTTTAAAAAAGTATAACATTATTCTGTTTTTAGGGATTTTCAGTTGAGAATATGAGACCATGGCGAGCTCATTGGGACCGTCAGTTGTATAAAGCTTTGGAATACCAATATGAACTTGGATTAGAAGTTCTGAATGAACATTTACCTGAAATGAAAATAGATTTAATCTATCGGTACATAAATTAATTCATTTCTCTGCATAATTGATGAAATTTTTATTAGATGAACATACTTATTTGATGTGCGTTTAATTAACATTTGTTAATTAATAAGAATGAATTTTGTCATGATGTTAATTATATCTTTGATGTGTACTTTGCTAATTAAATAGATTCAGACTTCTTATTTTTGTTAATTTTGATGAAGAGGATAAGAAAATTTGACTTTTAATAATTAAATGTGAATTTTAAGCTATAAAAATGGGGAGGTATCCTGTTCGGGTCTAGGACTTTTTGCTATCGCCGTTTCACCGTGGCCATTTCTCCGTCAAGACATATTTATTTTACATGACTGTATTTTATCTTGCCGTATTAAACTCATATTAAATTTATTTAATTTAATAATTCTGCTTACCTTTTGTATACTTTGGTTGCTTTTAATATATACAGTTATTTACAAGTATGAGATTTAAAGAAATTACACATAGTTAGTTAGAAAATTATGTCAGTATCAAAGAGAACTGGGGCTAAACTTCTGATATAACAGAAGTTATATTATCGATTTTAAAATTATGCGAGTACAATATTTACATGATTCATCAAAATTTCTTGAAATTTTAATCGGCTAGTTCAGAGAAATCACTCATATATGCAGGAAAATCACATTTTCATGAAATCTGAATGAAAAACGGGATTATTTTGGAATCTTGTCAGCACCTTACACTCTTAAAATTAATATGCCATGTGTAAAGGTATATTTGCATAAAACTGTACATGAAAACAATTTTGTATATTATTTTATATAAAATATTTATTAAATTAAATTATTAAACTAAAGAGAGTTATTAATTTAAATCGATATAATATGGCAAGATATAATGCAGTCGTGTAAAGAAAAATATGTCTTGACGGCTAAGTGGCCCGATGGCGAAACGGCCAGATCGGATAATCCCATTCCTCTCCTGTTCTACTGGGCCATTTGACAAAATTTAACTTGCGTTTTCATGTCTTGAAAGTGCGACTTTAGGGTATATATTAGATTCATGTAGTATTATTGAAATATAGATATTTTGATACACAGTTTTGAAAGATTTTAGCTCCTCAATGTTAACTGAATTTGGTATATATTTATTAATATCTCTTTTTTTTTATTAAATTTATTTGATTACTTCTTTCACAATTCGAAATCTATGTTCAGTTTAAATAAGATTCGCTGCTATTTTCTGATTTGTTTTTTTAATTTGTATTTTCTAGTAATGTTTTGTTAATTTTTCGAAAAAGTTTTTGAATTACAACGTACCAAAATTTTATCATCATCTTAAAATATATTAATAAGCATCCTTAAGTAGATTGTTTAACATACCTGCAAAAAATTTGAGTTTTTCATTCAAAATTTCCAAAGATGTACGTGAATTTATGTATTGTCGAGTTTTGAAATTTGGCATATTTGTTTTATATGATAATAACCCCAAATGTTCACTTTGTTAAATTTATTTGAAAGAATGAACGATGGTCTTTTTTTCTGCTCGTGCACAATGAAAAAAGGAAATAGGTTGTTATAAATTAAGAATGTCACCAAGTGAATAATTCTTGACGAAAAGTGAAAGAAGTGCGCCAAGATAAATTTTTTAATTTTTCGCTATGTTTCTCATCAGATTTTACAAAATTTAAAATTTCAGCGTGATTTGAGTCGTATAATTGAACTATGAAAAAGAATCGGCATGTTATTACAGAAAAAGACCGATTTTGTGTTAAAATTACTATATTAGAATATTGCTATATATAAATCTGATACACAACCTAAGTTGTTCTTTCAAGGCATAAAAAACGCAAGTTAAATTTCGTCAGTTGCCCCAGTAAAACGAGAGATGTAGAACTTTTTTTTTTTTTTTTTGTAACGTCTACATTTTAGTATATTAAATATACGTATTAATGTTTTGAATTTTCAACATCTATTTTAAGCATACGTCTTGGTAAATCATTCTTGTTCTCTCAAAATTTGGTATTACAGATTGCTCTCTCGAAGAATATCAGAATACTTTGCTCATTGAAAAAGAAAAATCTAGTATTAGATTTTCTAAAAAAGTCTAAAGAATTTCTTTAAAATTTGCCTTATTTTTTTGATAAAATGAAGACTCTATTATTAAAGTTTTGCAAAGCTTTGAGCAAGCTGATATTAGTTATATTTTTTAGGAATGGATGTTTGCAGTTTCGACCTCCTATTGAAGAAGTTCGGGCAAAATATTACAACCAAATGAAAAAGTTTATTTCTATTCCTATATTATTTAAAGGAGTGAATGATGTTCAAGATAACTTAATTTTCCCTATCATTTTAGACAGGAATGCACATAGCTTTCTTGATCTGTATAAGAAAACAGAAGCTTTATTTGAACGTGTTGAAGATGCAAAGCATAAATTTCAAGTAATGATGTCAGTTTTATATTCATGTATTTTAACCTTGAAAAATGCATTGCTGTTATGTCCTTCAAAAAGTTCAAAAAGTTTAGTTTAAATAGTTTGCAGAAATTATTCATAAAGCAGTTTTATTCAAAAAAAAAAAAAAAAATATTCTCCAGTCTTCTTTGAAGCACAGAAAATATTAAGCCTTCAACCCATCTTGATCTTGATCAGAGAGAAAGCAATTAAAAATTACAAGATGTGAGATTTGGTGAGTATGGTAGTTCTGGTTTAATAGAGATTTGTTCCTGCACTAAGAATTTCTTAAATGACAGGAACATGTACCCGGGAATTTTGTTATGATGACCTGGGCTTTCAATCCATTCATGTTACAGTATGAATTCTACTGAGAAAAAGTTCCAGGTAATGTTATGTCACACATTTCTCTAATGGAACATATACCTACACCAAATTTTAGTATTATAAGTTCGGCTATGTCATATGACTTTTCTGCAAACTTTTTAACACATAGAATTTTTTATTATTTTGTATAAATAATGTAATAAAAAGTTTAACTATCTTCAAAGTTGGTAAAAGTTATAAGTAATATTTATCGTCGTTTAAGCTTTTATAAGTAAATAAAGTAGATATTATTATAAATAGATTTTGTTTTATTATTAGCTATCTAGTTGATATGTATTTTTTATTTTTTTAGAACTGGGTTGTTTTCGGTTCTGTGAATTTGGAGGAATTTATCTTTCAACATTGCAAAACAGCAGAAGATTGGAAAAGAAACTTCAAAGCAATTAAAGCTAAAAGTCAAGAATTTAGTAAAATCTCTTTGTAAGTTATAGAGAGATGATGTCATGAAATTCATTCTTGTTAACATTTAAGTCAGTTACGAATTCATTAATGTTTATTTAAAATAAATGTATGTATGTATATAATATGCTATAAAAATCAGTTATTATTTTATAATTCTCACAGATGGTTAGTGGAAATTTTAAAAAGAGGAGTTAATAATTATTTTTATTGTTGTAAGAAAAGAATATTTTGTCTTCATTCTTAATTTTTCAAATAATTTTTAAATTACTTATTTTCCTCCTTTTTTTTCCAAACATCCTCATTTTTTTTTCAAAACTTATCGCTGATTTCATTGTAGTATTATCAATGCAAAGTATTATGGGTTTTTAATAATCATATTTTAATTGGGTCCAGGTTATTTTAGCGAAATCTTTGTCTCTTCCTAATGGTGTACATATATTTCTTTCTTGCAGCAAAGATTATTAAGATTGCTATATAAGGCCAATATACTTTTTATAACCCATTGAAACATAATCAAGACATATGAAATAAGTTTTTTATCTATTAAAAATATTCTAAAACTTTACTTGAGATCATTCACTCTAAATGATTAGGAAAATGTACTAAAATTACTGACCAAAATAATGCTGTCTCTTGGTATTCAAATAAAAATTTAAAAAAAAAAAAAAAAAAAAAAGCCTCCTCAGCTGCTGATTAGTTATGATGTTCAGAAAGAAAATCAGCTTATTCCGGAGTACATATTGTATGGCTGTACAATTCTGCGAAAGCTTCTTTAAGCAGGTCATAAAGTTGTTGAAACTTAGAAAAAGCTGATTTTGAAAACTCAAATGGAGAAAATTAATTTGGTGTGGTGTGGTGGTGTATTTAATTAAGGTAAAGCTCACTAGGGCTATCTGCCTAAGGGGAGGGGTGCCTTCGTAGAGGACTTTCTAAGAAAAACTGACTCGTATACACGTTACACATGGGGAAAACCACGAAAACACCCATGCAGCCAGCCCGTTCGTGGGATTCGAACCTCGGACCGAACTACCAGTGTTCAGCGACTTTACCGCTCGGGAAAAATAATTTGATTTAGCAAAATTATTCAGTGAGGAACAAAATGATTGGTAAAATGTTCTTTTTTTAAAAAATAAGATTGATTTGGAAGTTTTGATTTCTGATATGCAGGAAAATTATCCGTGAAGGTGTTTTATTAAAGAGAATCATTTTAAGTCTCATAAAAATACAACACGATACAAATGGAATTTTTCAAGAAGACCTTACACAATATAAATTCAAGAAAATTTTGAGCATTTTTAAGAATTAAATCCATGCCCTTGAATAGCCAGGAACTCATCTGACTTAAATCTTGTTGAGAATATTTGGTCGGTTGTAAAAGAAGAGTAAAAACAAAACATAATATCTCAATAAATCTGTTAATTTTTAATATTATCAGAGTGCCAAAAGATATGGGAAAAAATGGCTATACTTTATATTAAGTTTACTGTTAACTTTCCTAAATGCAGATTACATAAAAGTTACACTTATATTTTATGCATTCAAATTAATTTGCCTACTATTTTGTTTATATACAAGTAATATTATAAACAAAGCAATTTACATTAGTACATTTATAAAGGACTTTTTTGGGGGGGGAGTAGCATAAACTAGTATCAAAACTCCTAGCAGACTTGTAGTGAATTATTGCTGAGTCTGAAGATAACGATAGTCTTGAGAAGGTTAAAAATTAACCTTTTTTTTTTTTTTTTTTTTTATTATTAAATCAGAAATTTAACAGAAGAGCACATCTTGTGCTTGACAAAACTCAACCAACACTTGTAGTGAAATTACTTTAAAGTAACTGTTAGTTTAAAATTTAAATGAGCTAGCAGTCAAGGATTGCAAATTTCAGTTTAATGCAAAATTGGATCACAAATTTAATCGACACTTCAAATATTCAAACACTTGACAGCAAGTAATGCAGAGTCAGGTTATTTGTCTGTCAGAACCAGGAGCAATGTAATGTACACGCATACCCAGCAGAAACATGTGCTGTCTTACAATCTAAAAACCTCAGCTTTAATACTTGTTCTAATTTACATTCTGGTATGAATGAAAAGAGAAATTACAATAAAGATCTTAATCATAAAATAGCTGGTTATCCTAAATAGTAATAGCCTTACACATTTCAAAATTAAAATAAAAAACTTTGCTTATGCTGAATGATTATTTTTTGTGTCAAATAGATGCTAAACTCGTTTTAAAACAAAGATTTCCCAAAAATAGATTTTTCTGATTGTGAGAGAATAAATAGGAATAGCTATATGTTAAAAGCTGTGACAGTGCACTTAACCAAATATTGTCTTTACTAGAGTTAATTAATGAATTTTATACTATTATCATTAAAAAAAAGTAAGAAAAAAGAGTTTTATTCATTTTATATTATAATGGATATAGCATTGTGCTTTAGACTCACATCACATGCAGTTGATATTTAAGGGTTAGAAAGATAGGAATTTTTAAAGATGATTTAAATTTGGACTGAGTTTTAATGCATAGATTTAAAAGTTAATTCCATAATGTGTGTAGAATGAATTTGCATGTTATTTTCATCTCTTGATTCTGTAGTAGAAAAATGTATTTGAAGTTACCTTTTTGCAATAAAATTTTAAAAGCAAATAGATGTTTGAAAGTATTTCTCTGTATTTTGAGTTCAAGTGACCAATGATAATTTTATTCCTTTTTAATTAAAAAATTCTACATGGGAGAGCCTCTATATTTGGATATCAAATAGGTTTTAAGCAAACTGTATAGAATGTATTAGGTGTCTTTCAGACCAGGAAAGGTGAAAAATCAGCAACACCCTCGCCAGAATTCGAACTCTGGACTTCCTTACTGCTTGGCAGATATGCTTACCAGTTACACCATGAAAACACGTGGTAAATAAAGAGTTAGAAAATTATTTACAAGTGAACATAATAAAAAGAATGTTTGAAAGTCAAATGAAAGGGAATTGAAATGAGAAATTAGCTTTCTTTTGTATTTTAGTTACATGCATATTCTCTTTATGGAACAAAGAGTCACTTATCTAACTTATGTAAAAATTCTATTATTTAAAGCTTATCTAAATCATCTAGAAAGGTCAAAATTTTCTAGAAGTCTATCTAAATCAGCTAGAAAGGTAATACTTTCAATGAATTAATATTTATATTATATTGTAATAATGATGTCATTTAAGAAATTTATTTTGTTATGATAAAAATGTTTTTTAAAACATATTTTATTTCCTTGGAAATTAATTTAGTTTTAAATTATGTTTAAAGGTTAATATGTAGTACTGAAAATTTGGAAATCCTGAAATTTCAAATATGAATAATTGTTAATCAATTCAGGTAATCATTAGACAATGATGATATAGTATTAAAGAGAAGTTAATTCATACCACAGGAATGGAAGTTAATACATAACATCAGTATCTGATTAAAGCTGTATTTAGAGTTAATCATAATCATGTGTGTTATTTGAGTTTTTATTTGTGTTGCATAAGTAATAAATATACAATTTGGTTGTCAAATATTAAAATATGATTATATGGTTACCATATGTTAGAAAACACATAAAAAGTTATTTTTGTTTTAGTTATAAATCATTTTGATAAATTTAACTATTTATTTTATTCATGTAAAATTTATACATCCTAAAAACCTAATGTAGATTTTATGTGTGGTAAAGAATGTTCAATAAATGCTGTGTACACGATAGGTAAGGAAACACTCTACATTGCTAACTAACAAAATATTTCTATTCATAATAAAATTTATTAGTTTTTTTTTTTCCCTTTTTATACAGATTATTTTAATATTAATTTTTATATTTATATTTTATACATTATTTATTTTATTTTATATTATTTATATTGTTATAATTATATAGATTTTAATTATATTGATTATTTTAATTTTATATTAAAACTTTAATGCTGAATTTTTATTTTTCCTCTTCTGTTTAAGGGATGAGGAGAAATTTGACTGTATAGTGGTGAGTTATGCCCCAACAAAAGCATATGTGGATTATTTGATATCAGAATTGGAAAATACAATGATAAGGTGCTTACAGAAGTCTATTGCAACATCAATATCTTCTATACAAGAATTTTTAAATGAGGCTACTGAAATGCTAACAAAGCATCCTCAGTCCATTGAAGATATTGCTCTTGTTAAAGGAAAATATGAGGAATTTTTACAAAGGAGAGAACTTGTGAGTTAAGCTTTTATTTTTTTGATGTTGTTAATATGAATTTAGAAATTTCAAATTCTAAATTTGAATTGTGTACTTTTACTTTTTAGGTGTTGGCTGAATGTAAGGAATTGGAAGCAAAAAATGATTTTCTTGGTAAATGGTCAAAGCATTCCGTTTTTGATCTTGGAGGAATAAAAATACTTTGGGAAACTTTTGAGCATACATTATCTGATCATCAAGATATTGTGGAACAGCAAGTTAGTGCTTATTGTAAACAATATTTTTTCTTAATTATGTTATTTTATAATGCCTAGTTCCCATGTAATTTAATTAATTAATTCTCTGGTATTAAATAGATTATGTAACATTTATGCTTGCCTCTAAACAGATTAAAAATCTTTTTTTTTTTTAGAGTATCTTTTTTTTTTTTTCCTAATTACAGAGTAAATCTTTCATAAACAAATTTTAAAATGTATATTATTTTCAACCAGATTGCACATAAACTTACATTTAAAAATTTAATCAGAAGAAAGTTAACTTTTTACATGCTGCAGCAGAAAGTGTGAATTTTTTTTTTTTTTTTTTTTTTTTTTTTTTTTTTAATCTGTTGTATTTGCATAACAGGTATAAGAGAACTTCAGCTCAAAATTTAAAATTGGATAGATTCAGTTTGTAATTTATGTTCATTTTAGAGAACTATTTTGTGAAATTTGACGCTGTCCAATTCTTTAGAAGGCAAAATTATTCTATATTTAACTGAACAGTTTTTCTTTCTGGGGAGGGGGGAAGGACAAGAGAAAGAGAGACCAGATATTTAGATTATCCAGAAATACACATAATATTCTTCTAAAACTGATGCTGAATTTAGACTAAGCTTAAAAATATTTATATAACGGCTCATCTCTTCCTTCAGTTTTTCTAAAAAAGAATGTTTTTTTATTACTACTAGTGATAAAATTTGAATATCTAAATTATCGTATAAAAGAAAGTATTATTTCTACCAAACCATGATCAAACATAAAAAATATATTTGGATACTCAGTTAAAAAAAGAAAGACATATTTATTATTAAAAAATGCCAGAATTCAACAGTATGCAAGATATAGAATATGATCAAACTGAAAACTCAGTTAGATAATAATGAATTATGACCAAGCAAATAAAGCTGTCTGAATGAAACTGATTTTACAGAGGAGATCAGCTTTTACTTATTTCTTACATATGAGCCATAAATGTACAAAATATAAAACTAAACACGATGAGACTTAAGTGCCATTAATGTATTATTTTATCTATTTTAGTTATTATTTGTCTAATGGGATGGGTACAAAAAATGGAAGTAATTTGTAATGATTGAATTATTAGGAACTTTTTTCAATACTCTTACATTCTAGCCCAGATCTATAAAATCTAAAAATAATAAATCTATAAAAATATCTAATGATCTAATAGTTTTATGTGAAACTAGACATACATACATATATATATATATATATGTGTGTGTGTGTGTGTGTGTGTGTGTGTGTATATTTGTGTGTTTGCATGAGAATGGGTGATTCTAAATGACTGCTCAGAAAGGTGCTTAAAATTTGGAAGTTTAAAATGTTAAAATGTGAAGTTTATGGCATCCTTTTAAACTAAAAAATGTTTTTGCAGATGCAAATTCTTAAAGAAAGAGTTTCAGGACAATTAAAAAGTTATCAGCAAGAAGAAGAACGTTTTTATGCACGTTGGCATCAGTTAAAACCTCGAAGTGATTTAGAAATAGAAGACCCCCAACAAATTCAAGACATTGTCAAGTTTTTGAAAGAGAAGCGCATTGAATTTGATGCATTAACTGAATCCAATAGGAAGCTTTTGTAACTATCTTTTATGCTAATCTCATGTTTAAAAAAAATGTGTAATTATTCTAATTTAATGTATTAAAGTTTATCATTTGTAGGGTTTATTATAAATATTACTTTATTCTATTTTTAATTTTTAATCATTATCTTTGGTTAACTTTGGTTTATTATAAATTCATCTGTAATAAAATATTAGCATGTACTTGATTTAAGTTATTTGTTAACTTAAAAAAGCATATGTTTTAAATAGTTATTAAGTATATTTTTTTCATCCAAAAGGAAATGTATAATAAATTTTAAATTTAAAATTTGGAAAAGAAAGCTGCCTTAGTTTTGCATATATTTTTTATAAAACTGTATCACTTTAATGGGTATTAGATATGATTTCCTCTTCTTCCTTCAGTTCCCTTCAGAAGAAAACCGAGGTGGCTCTTTTTACCTAAGTTTTACATAACTGTTTCTTTTCCATCTAAAATCACAAATTATTCAACAGGGAATATATTTTTTTTCGCTTTGAGATATTGTTTAACTTAACTTTCTGCACTGTGGTGTGGCTAAGAAAAAAATTAGGTATTCATTAAATAAAATAAAATTTTGAGTTTCCCTCCTGAGTGCATAAAATTAGTTTATTATTTATAAATTTCAGGTTTATATTTAAAACCACTGTGAGAAAAAAAGCTTGGGAAAGGATTTTTTTTAAAGTGTTTATATAATACCTAAATTTTTTGGGGAGGTGGAGGAGGGTTGGTGAGAATACACATGTATGATCATTTTTCAGAGAAAATGACAACGGATGAAAATAAGAAACTGCTGTGAGTTCATGCACCATGAAATCTTCAGTGTATGCAAGTCTCTGAAAAACAGTATATACATCTTCATCTATGATTCTTTTTCACAAGAAGATTAGCAGTTGCTTATTTATTGGACTGTTATTGGATTTCTGAAGAGATTTTATTGTAATCTGCAAAAGAAAGATAACTTTTATGAAGATTAGTTTTTTATTAATATTCATATTATTATTAAAGTTCAGAAAGATGTTTCTTATGCCACATATTTATGCACCTCAGTGATAGAATTCCGTTCTATATTCTACCTGCATTCAAGCATCTAAATGAAAGTAAAATTTGATGATGATTATAAATTTATATACGTATATACGGATTTCAAACATTTGTATAATTTTCTCTTGTTACTTTAATTGAAATCATCATGATTTTATTTTATTAGATGATTAGCAATGACTATTATATTTTATAAATAGACCTGGAGAGGGAAATGTCATGGAAAATCTTTGGTATTGTGTATGAAAGCTCAAAACATTACACTACTTAATATCTAGATAGTGTAAATTAGTTTCAACATTTTACTTAAAAAATATGTTTGAATTGATTTGAAATATTAAAAAAAATAAATTCAGATATATGCCAAAAATCTTATATTTTTTTAATAATGCACTGAAGTCCTTCTTCTCAGTTTCCTGCTAAAAATCTAAAATTTGGGAATAAAACAATACCATCATTAGTGAAGATATTTAATTATTCTTTTTCTCCTGTATGGCACTAAAAGGCTACATAGGTTTTCAAAGACTGATAATCAGTTTTTTGTAATGTGATCCTTTGAAAAAATAATAATATTCTTGAAGAGAATGTGATCAGAAGGGAACACTTTTAAAAACATTTTTAGTTTGTATATTTTTCTATTTATTCATTTCAAATTAGTTTCAAACTGACAATAACAAAAGATAAATTCATAACAGAATACAAAAGATAAATTTTAATTGGACAGAGTCCAAATAAAGCAGCCTGAAACCCTAGGCATAACGTTTTTTCATGAGCTCTCAAAGCCCACTTTCTTCACCTTTAAAAAGAAGAAAACGGAAATTAAGAGGCAGTCCAGGACAAATTTGGGGCCACCTAAATTCTGGGACTATAAGCCCAGACCTTTTGGGTCTAGGTAATCAATCCTTGCCCCTGGATTCTAATATTGTTCATGAAATAATGATATTGCTTTTTTTTTTTTTTTCTTTAGTCCAAAGGGGCTTTGTCCCTGAAGGACTATTGTTTTCGTTTTGCGATTTTGCGTTGGTTCACTATAAATGTCCGTTTCACTTTTCAAACTGTAGCCACCAAATGTTAGAGTCCTGCATTATATTTGCAGAAATTAAATAATGAAAAATCTGCATAAATGTATGTCTATTTCTTGCATTGTTATAAAACAATGATACATAGAAGCATCAAACTTTGAATAACATAATCCTTCTACGAATATGGGCACGTGGAAGACCAAATTTGAAATTTGGAATTTGTTTTATTATCGATTTAATATTTTGTAAAACTTTAACGAATTTCTGAGTAACAAACTCAAGGATTTCAAAGCGAGCAATGGCAACACTCTACCCGGGGAAAAAAACCTTTTTATCTCCAGCGCGCGGAACTGTGTATCCGAAATTCTAAAGATAGGCTCATTTTAAAATTATTTTGTGACATTGCTATTGAATTGAATTTTATGCTTTAAGTGCAAAGAACATGATATTTAATAAATAAAGGTAACCCATAAAATGTTAAAAAAACGCCCCGTATAACGAAAAACGCCCCTTTGGATGTAATTTAAAATCTGAAACATTTCAGATTTTTTTTTTCAGTAATATACATAAATTTTAACTGGTTACTTTTTTCCTATGATTTGCTGAATTGTGATATTTTTTTTTTTTTTTTTTTTTTTTTTTTTTTACTTTATAACAGTACAGTACCTTTTTTACTTTATAACCAGAAGTGAGGTTTCATCACCAAAGTTTAAAAAAAATTGTCACTAATCGAAGGGGCACCCAATTCTACACTAGAGCCCATATCAGAATCATCAGTCGTAGTCATTTTTATTTGTTATCTCTCATTACAATATCCCTTTTTGTTCTCCAGAGCTGATATTCATCACTTTGGTTTACCTGAACCAAATTTTCTTCTTGAAGAGTTGAAAACAGATATTGAAAAAACTGAAGAAGTATGGTTATTATTTGACCAATTCCATAATGATTTACAACAGTTTGCTAAAGAGGAATGGATAGTATTTAGGTGAGTAAAAGGCTGCTTTTCATTTTGTGCAAGTAGAATACAGTTTTTATTATTAAAATTTCATAGAAATCATATAAATGTTATAATATATATATATATAACTGAGAAATATATATATATATAATGATTAATTAAATTGATTACTTAAATTGTTACTTTACTTGTAAAACTTTTGTCAATATACACTGCATCTACAAAACTCCTCATCCAGCCTTTATTTTAGCTATCATTGTTCATAGATATATGTAAGATAAAAATATATGAATCAAAATTATAATTTAAACTAACAGTAAACTCTTTCATTCTTCCTCTATGTTTTAAAAATCGTAATAACTTCTCTGGATTGCATCATTTCTAGATCATTCAATTTTGCATGGCCTGCACAGCGCTGATGAAATAATAATTGGGAACTGAAACTTTTAACTCAAACCAAAACCTTTCTTTTTGTGTGCTTACATATCGGATAACTATGCACTTCAGCTTCGCTTTTGCAAAAGTATCAAAAATGTAAATGTTCTTGAACAGGCACGACTAGAGTGCCATGTGATCGTGGCCACAGAAGTCAGTTGGAAATAAAAATGGAATTAAAACTGCCTCAACTGCCAAGTTTCTTAGATATTATGAACTCAACATGTTAGCAGGCCCGTGCCGAAATTAGGTACAGGGTCATGCGGCGCACAACGGCTCTGTCAGAACAGGAAAATTCTAGCCTCTCGCTGACCTAATCCGACATAGACCTCCTCGTGGCCATGCTGGTAACCAGATTCGCCTGGGCTAACTATGTTCGGATGACCACTCCTGGGGATCAACTGGGACAGGCATTTTCAGCATACTGGCTAGATCAATAGCTAGATAGCTTCGAATTCTAGGATAAATAAACTGTCTTCACAGTGACACAACCATCGTTTGGTCGGTGGTAGGTTCAGGTTTGGCAGGGACCGGACTGGTACTCTCTTGTCTGCCCCTTTGTTGTGGGGGCGTTACATGATTAGATATCGAAGGTTACTTTTGGAGGATGGGCTCCTGTTGGTCAAAACTGGGGGACGGACGATGTCTAACTATGACCATGTTCTGTGTGAAACATTTAAGTTTCCCTGCTTAGACCGGGGGGGGGGATGGTGCCTCCTCAGATGTACTGCAGGGAATGGGGCGATTTAACCATGTAAAGGCTGCCTTATGCATGCCAGGTCTGGATGCCCCTTCCTTCTGGTGCACTGTCTTATTTTACCCCCCTCCCGGGAGTTGACTCAGGTAAAACCTGGGATGCTACTGGTTATAATCTGTACCTAGGTAGTCTTGGCCGCAGGGATATAAAATCAGTCTTTACAAGAGTCATCGCTGGCAATTACTAGTTCAGGCTCAGCAGTACCATGCGGTACTGACTTGTCCGTTCTGTTGTTTGTGGCGAAGCTATATAGTCAGATATTCATGGTTGTCCGGGAAGAAACACCCCCATCGGTGGAGTCGGTGAGTTCAGCCCTGGAGCTTCAAAATGGCATATTTGTATCCTCTCTTGGTTCCCGCCTGAAACCGATTTCTGTTTACCATGACATAGGGTTAACAGGACAGGTTGGTGGCCCGGTCTGTCTGATAGTGTTCAAGTGACTTTGTTCTGCGTCCGGGGTTGGGACTCTTGTTGATGGCAGATGTTTTTACCTTCCCTCCAGAACGGAGATGTGGAATCTGAGTTGCTGAGTATTCTTGTCGACTCAGTCTTGGTTCGTCGGCTGAATCGATAGGTTAGTTGCCCTTGGACCTCCTCTAGGGGTTGGGAAGTTTAACTGTGTTAAGGCTGCCTCGAGCTTGCCAGGTCTGTGTGCCCTTTCCTCCTAGCACACTCTCTTATTTGAACGAAAGGTTATAACCAGGGCAAAAGTTAGTCTCTGGTGTTCTCTTATGTCTTAATGGATGTGAAAATCCGAGATGTCGATGCTTATGTAAAGGTAGATGCCAGCACCGTAGACACGTTCGATAAATTGCTTAATCCTTATTTTGTGTATACTGTTGCAATCGTAGCAATTTGTGCAACATTTATCTTTTTTGTGATTTTCTTTTGCTTATTGCTTGTTGTTACTGTTATTTTACATAACAAAAGGTAATCACAGTTACATATTATGTTAAACTTAGCTTAAATTTTTAATTCAGATAAACAATGGTTTGAGCATAATTACTCGAAAAATGTTTACCTCTCATTTTTGAACCATTGTCATATCCTTGCATGCGTAAATTACTAATGTCTAAACTATTTTTCTGTAAAGTCTTTAATAAAAATTGGTATCTGCTCTGCTATCTAAAACTGATATCTGCTCTTGATGGCTGGCATCAACGGTACAATCAAGTAAAATGGAAAAATACTTTGCCTGTTTGATCTTATTTAAAATAATTTGTTTTATGTTATCCCATAATATGTTAATTATTTCATTTTGAATTTCATCTCCAAGGTAATGAGGCATATTGTTTATAGTTTCATTAATCTACAGACATGATAGGGGCAAATTTTGCGATCATTTCTATGCACTTTCAAAAAATCATTATTTCTTTCGAATTATTTATTTCTGAAACCATGAAAGGCTAAGTTTCGTTCATATATAATACAAGATCAGCTCATCGTATGTCAAAAACTGCAAAAAGCATTAAATAACAGAAAAGAGTTTTGGACATCAACCCTAGAGCATTTTTTGTGCCCTACCGTAATTACAGTTCAAACCTTGTCATAAACCATTGTCATAAACGACGCTGTGAACAACAACTTATTTGGTGCAAACTTATTAGATATGTAATTTTTTTTTTTAATTTTAAGAAAATAGTGTTAAGCAGTATATTTGTTATTCAATGCGTTTAGTGTATATTATTTCGCTTCGCTTGCAATTTTATTTTTTATTATAATTCTTCAATAAATATGTTTGAGTGAATGTTTTCAGAAAACACAAAACATTTTCACATTTAGAAAAATTAAAAGAGAAAATGTAATTTTTTTGTTGTTATGTTAATAATACTTCACTAAGTGTTAACCATAAGCAGTTTCTCTTTAATATCATCACTGCATAAAGGTGCTTGCTAGACATTTGCACGACGCCGCCGATTAGGCTTGGCACATGCCTGCATGTTAGCATACTAGGCAATCGGAATGCTTCCTCTTCAATATGGATTTACGATCTATAATATCCAGGCATTATGCATTGACACTGCTCTGTCTTTTCCTTGCTATTATTACATATATATACAGACATTTGTACATAAATGAAAACAAAATATCACTTTGAAAGAGGTTTTTGATGTTAAAAGATTATGTGATGAAATATATGCAGATTATTGTGAAAACTATTGATCAAAATAATTTTTTTTTTTTTTTTCAAAATGGAGATCTTTTGTACAGGATCTTATAGAATATGTGTTGCAGAAAATGCTAATAACCTTCAGTAATTGACATGTAGCCAACTCATTATATTATTTGCATTAATTAAAAGTAAAAAATATTTGTACTTTAATGAATTTTTTAAGATTACCAGATTATGATTCTAAATTTATAAAAATTCATGAGAATACAAATAATATATATTTAGATTTTGAAAATGTTTAAATTACTTTTGTGAAAATTCTTTCAGCATGCCGGATGTACAAATTTATAAATAAAGACATTAGTAAATCGCAAAAGAATATCATTTATTTATGTATTTATTATTTTATTCGAAATTATTTTTTTTATTTTAAAAATATGAAAACATGAATCTATGCATTATTTAAAACATTTTTGTAATTGGAAATATATATTTATGACCAACGGCTGTCAAAATAAAGGCCAGGTAATACCTGTAGCTGGCCTTTATTGTGAATATGGTGTATATAAAATGCTTTTTTATGTCACCAGAAATAAAATTCATCTGTTTGAATCTTTCCTGAATGATTGGATGTCAAAACTAAGAGGAGATGATGGGCCAAGTGATAACACTGCTGTGTCATTACGTTTACATCAAGATCTTAATGATTACTTGGTAAATAATTTAGGCTCTAGCTAAAATTTATTAATTCATTTTTAACTGTAATATATGCTGTTTAATAATCTAATACTGATTTCACTTAATTAATTAAAGTTTGTTATTATAAGAGAAAACAGTAGGTATTTGTTTGAGCTATTTATATCTTAATCTAACTATGCACATTTAATTTTTAAAAAGTATTAAAGATCTCAATATGACAAGCATTTCATTTGTATAATATGCAAGCTAAGTTGTGCTTCCAGTTTAATATGTGGAATACTAACACCGAAGATTACGTAAAGAAAAGCCGTTGGATTACTTGGTGAAATTATGAATGTTATTTATATGCAAAATTGAGAAAACTTTAAAATATGATGATTGTATTATTAAAGTTATGTAGTATGCTGCAAAATTTGTTGAATAATCAAGAGGTTTTAATTAAATCCTAATTAAATCATAAAAGGGCTGTGTTGTTTTTGTTTTAGTTTTGATTTGATTATTTTTTGTTGGAAAGTTGCCCCCTTTCCTGATTTAATTTTGACTTAATTATTATCTTTTTTTGTTTATACATATAATTAAAAGACACAAAGAAGATATGAATAAGTAATACATGTTTCCTTTCATCTTGAAATTAGGTGTTTTCTTGTCTGGTAGAAATTTTTATATGCTTCCTTAGGAAAAGTCAGGCATTTTAAACATCATAATTGTGTCCCTCAGATAATTAGTTAATATTAATTTTTTTGTATAATTTTGCATATTAAAACTATGTATCTTTGTTAGCATTTTCTGGTTTGTCTTATTTTTAGAACACTATTTACTTACATCTGACATGCTGCTTTCCTTTATAATTTAAAATTTGTATTTTTTAAGGATTGTTTCCTCAATAATGTTATAGTAATTTATTTTTTATTATATATTATAACTTTTTGAAGGTATTTTTATGATTATTATTCATTTGAATAAAATATTCTTGAAATAAATCTTTATTTATGTATAATTATTTTAAATATCAGTTTTTAAAATTTATTTCTGAGTTTTTTTATTTTACTGTTGTTTACAGCAATGGTTTGAATAATATTCATGTTCTCTAGTCACACAGAATATATGTTTATGTTTATGAAGCTTTACTTTATATTCAACTTTTTTTTTAGTATCTAATAATATTTTAATGTTACTGAAATGCAATCAGGAATCCTGTAAAGTTGCTTGATTTATAATGCCTTAATTGAATTAGCTTGTAAAATATGTATTAAAATTTTAACAAGCATAAAAGAAGGATTTTTGTGAAAATAATATGATTATTCTAAGGAATTCTCATATATCATCATGGCTAGAAATTTTATCTTTTAAAAGTGGTTCAACACTCTCATCATGTCAGTGCATTGCTGAATTTTCATGTAGAAATTCTTGCTTGTGAATACAGTACACAGTCTGTAATCTGGACGTTCATTATCCGGAATGATGTATAATTCGGACCTCAAAGCCACAAACTTTTATATTGTATGCTTTACGCATGCGCGTTTAATATTTACGCATGTGCATTTAATATTTACGCATGCGCGTTTAATGTTTATGCATGCACGTTTAGCACAAAAAACAAAGCAACTTAAACAACATACATTAAAAGAAATGTTTAATAAAGTAAACAAATAAATATTAAGCCTTTTTTTTTTTTGTAAATTTTGATACCCTTTAAATCAAAATTGCTCTTTATTTCATAAATTACGGTTTCATATTTTTAATTGTATAATTTCTGCATGCCATCTTACCAGATTTAAATTGATGATCTATAATCCGGAATCGCCGAAGTCCTGAAAAGTCCAGATTACGGACTTTGTACTGAAATGCTAAAGAAAAAAGGTCACTAAAAATAATGCGTATTTCAAATTTTTTAAAATACCTTTTTTATTTCACAAAGTTTTAATGCATTGCACGTTAAAATAAAAAAAGAGGGTTTCTTCCTGCATTTAGCGAAACTCAGATTTCACAGACAAATATAAGTTTCTATTTTTTTTTTTTTTTTTCCCATGAAAACTGCTCATGCTGATAAAAATTATTTGTTACATTCGTATTGTTTCTCCCCCTTCGAACTTCAGCATCCAGTAGAAATGTTGTGTTTTTTGAAAATACTTGTATATATATATATGTTAATAGCCAACTATGCATGATACATGATAATAACAACTGTGCATGTGTGCACCACACACATGTATGAATACCCATAGATTTGCTTCTTTCTTTTAAAGTTTTTGTTTTTATAAGAATGTTTATGAGAAACAAACATTTTGTAATATTTCTTATAATGTGCTTATAAACCCCTTGCTTATCATATATGCTTTTTATATTATTATTATTTATCAGCAGATCAGTATCTGTGAGCTGTAAAGATAAGCAAATGAAAGTTTTGCACTGATTCATAAAGTCACCAATGACCTTGCAGCTTTTTGTTGGAATGTGGGTAATCAGAAAGTGCTAATTATTCTTATCAAAATTTGGAAGTTTTTAATAATACAGTGATATATGTGTTTTATTGTAATACTGCATAGAAAATGTATAAAATTTGCTGCATTTTCTATGTGTTTGTGAATGATTTGATACTCATATGCTTTTATTGTTTTGGGAATTAAGTTACCCATCATTTATTCAGACTGAAAAAAAATCTTTGTTATTGCCATCAAGGTATTCAGAATACTTATCTTTGTTTTTAATTTATTATTACAGGATGTTCTTCCATTATTAAGATACTGCCGTGGTGACACTTTCTCTACTCAACACTGGGGAGAACTTTTCAGAATACTAGATATTCCTGCTGTGTCTGTTGATCAATTAGAATTTGGACATTTTCTTAAAGCTAGAACTGCTGTTAAAAAAAGTGCTGAAGCTTTAAAAGTAAGATATAGTATTTTGGGGGGATGTTACCCTCTTGATAAGTTGTCTATTTCAAGGGAGTTATATATTTCTTTTTTTGAATGCATAAAACATTTTATTCCTATCTTTCCTGTTTAGCATGGCATCACTGAAGATGGACAATCTAATTTTCTTTTTTTTTTTTTTAGAATCTATAAGTTTGCTTCCATCCAACATTGATATTTGAAGTTTGTGTGTGTATATGATAAACTCATATTTTTGTGTTAAATATAATATAATATAATATATGGATTATTATTATTCCTTTAAATTAGAGTAAACCTTAAGCAATTTTTTTATAACAAAGAAAAAATAATTAATCTGTACTCTATATTTAAGAACATTTGTTTGTTTACTGTGTAAAATATTTTCATCTGCATTGATTTAAATCTTATTGATGTAGGTTTGCTTTTATAGAAATATTTATAATTTAGTTAATAGGTTTCATATGATAATTTATGTGCAACTAACCATGCAAGTGACTGCAACAAAAAAAATATTATTACTGAAGATATGGAATTTTATTGGATAAAATTACTGCTGTTACTATATTCAAGTATTTGTTCATGATTTCAGACTTTAAATAAAAAATATTCACCCAAAAATTTGTGAGCATAAATCAAGTAATCTTTAAACCATGTTATACCTAGTTCTACTTGTAAATAAAAAATATTTTGAATGAAATTATATTTCATGTGTTTTACATTATTTGAAAATATTCAGTTATTAAATAAATACAAATAGAAAATCAATTTTATTAATTTTGGCACTTCTTGGATAAAAATTAAGAATGGTCTGTGTATGAATGATAAATATAACATAATGTAATATAACAATTTAATATTTAGGGAAATACTTTGCTGAAGAAATTTCTAATGTCATTTATTTTATACTACTTTTCCTTTTTAATCTGTAAATAAAATGAAACAATTTTAGGATTTAAATGACAGAGCCCAAGGAGAAGTGACAATAAGAGAGGCTTTAAATGAGTTAGATCTTTGGGGAGCTAAAGCACGATTTTCTCTCACAGAACATCAAGATTCATCTGGAATCACCATCATGCTTATTAAGGAATGGAAAGATGTCTTGAATAAGGTAATGATAATAATTTATGTACATACATATATATATATTACTATGTCTTTGCCTTTAGTCATATTTCAAAATATTTAATTATTTTTAGGTATTTGTCTTTGAATAGGAGGTGAAGTTTTTTTTTTTTTTTTTTAATAATAAATGATTTGGATTACCCTTCTTATTATAATAAAATAATAGTTATCTTAAAAATATCATGTAATAGAATTACAGATATATGAGTAATGATAAACATGTGTGTGTGTGTATATATATATATATATATATATATAATCACTGCTTAAATTGCACCGGAGCCCACTGGAGCCCAGCTACGGTACTTCTCAATTTTTAAGATAAATTACAATTTTAGCCGGAGCACACCGGAGCCCTAAATAAGATGAGCTCCGGTACTTCTTTTTATAAAATTAACCACAATTTAAAGGGAAAAAATTATAATTTCTAACGTTTTAGTTTAAAAATAAGCAGACCTTGCAATACTTTTTTCCCCTAGAAATACGAACTCATGAGAACATGAGACGTTCAAGTAAAGTCCCCTCACTCACATGCGGAAACCTCTCCCTTTAAGAAGGGCAATAAATTTGGGGGGGGTTGTTTAGGAATGCGTAAATTTCTCGCCATGCCATCATAGCTACTGTATTGTTATCGATGCTTACAGTTAGTTGTTCTCGTTGGAAGGAAAATTTGTGTTCTTAAATGTGCGTTAAGTGGCAGCGAGTACAATAAGAGTGAAATACTGAGATAAACTGCTCAAGCACGTCCTATACATCGTCTTCCCACAGTATCCACTAATGGGGGGGAAGCATAAACAGCAACTTTACATTCATCCTTAGGAGTCAGATTCAGGACTCATTTTACCCCTGACACACATCTGCTTGATGGCTATAATTATATTAGTGGACAGCCGTGGTTAAAGAGAATGTTCTCTCACCAAAATTCTCATCATTTTTTGTTTCCACCCACTCATACCCTCATTCTGTTTCACCCTGGAATTTTCATCAGCTATACTTTAAGTATATTTAATTTTTGTGATGATAAAAGAACTCCCCCCCCCTACAATTAGAGCTTAAATTGGGCTGGAGCCCATCGGATATCGGCTCCGTTACTTCTTAGTTTTTGTAATAAATCATAATTCTAGCCGGAACGCACCAAATAAGAAGCCCTGAACAAGAAGGCTGCGTCACTTCTTTTATGTAATTGAATAACAATTTCAGTAGGAATTTTATCTCTAAAATTTTATTTTAACAATAAAATTATATTAAAAATCGCTTATTAAATTTCAATTTATCTCTTACATTTATTTAATTTTTAATTATTTAATTATTTCAATAAATAATAATTAATTATCTAATAATTATCGATTAAATTATAATTAATTTACTATCTAATAATTATCAATTAAATTATAATTAATTTATATAATAATTATTGATTAAATAACAATTTATAAGCATTAATTAAATAGCTATTAATTAATTTGGTAGTAATTAACTATTTAATTAAAAATTCTTAATGAGTTTAATAGTCATTTTATTTATTTATTTACTCTTGGTTCTCTTTGCTGACAGTCTTCCATAGTGCTCTGGCACTTCTAATCTTAGAAATTAAGCCCTGATATATATATATATATATAATACTATGTTCTTTTAAATGTGTGTTATATGAAGGCAATTAAAAAAGTAAAGTTACAAACCTTTCAGAGATAAACTTTATTCCAAAGGCAGATATAGGGAACATAGTAGTAAGGCACTGGTAACCATCCCTTTTTAATGAAATTACCATATTTGTCTAAATATTTGCTCTAACTGTACACCAGAGCATCAGTGTTAAATCCCTGAAGCCTCATCATAGCAGTTTGCTCTAAGTCCACATAGGTTTTTAACACCTACCACCTAAGTTTCATTCACGAGTCTGCTGAGATAAAAATCGTTGATGGGTGCATGATGATTCAAATGCATGAAAGATTATTCCATTTCCACAGCTTTGTTATCATCTGAGAGCTGCTTAGGAACCCTGAATACATTTTTTGGTAGCTTAGTTGCTCATAAACAATATTTAATATTGTTGAGCCTAGTTGCTCATAAATAATATTGAGATTTGAGTTCCTCATCAGTATTACTAAGTCAAATGTGATGATTGTCTTGAATAAGAAGTTTATCGAAGCAGACATTGTCATATGTGGAGGGAGCTCTTGGCTCATTCTAATAAAATTGTTTTGCATGCAAGCTATGTGAATCAAACTTATGAAGCAGTCTGCATTTAGCTTATGGTATCCAATACTTATTTGTAGTTTTTTATAAGCATTTTACTAAAAAAATTAAAAATTTCATTGTAGTGTTTGAGAAAATATAAAATTTATGAATTTCACATTAATGCATATCAGACATATCTATGTGGAATTTTTGCTTTATGTTGATTTATATTTATTTGATCTTTGTATGATTATAGGTTGGAGAGAATCAATGCCTTCTTCAGTCCCTTAAAGATACTGCCTTTTATGAACACTTTAAAGATCGTGCCTCTATCTGGGACTCAAGATTAACTCTTTTAGATCATTCACTTCATCAATTGAATCTCATTCAAAGGAAATGGGTGTATTTAGAACCTATATTTGGACGTGGCTCCTTGCCATCAGAAAAAACTCGCTTTCTTGCTATCTGCAAAGAATTCAGGTACCTCTATAAATAATTTTATAATTCTGTATAAGATTTTTTTTTAACTATAGAGAATTAGAGTAAGCTTGTAACTAATAGAAGGAAAATATATGGTGATATAAAAATTGTTGGAAATGCATTTAGTAAGTAAATATTGCTTATAGTGGTAAAGTAAATTTTCAAAGCTTAATAATTAATGAAAGGGAAAACACCCATCTGTTTTGTAACAACAGGTATTAAAGAACTGAGAACCTAATTAAGTCTAGACTGGTCGGATTAAAAGTTAAAAATCACAATAACAATAAAATTATAAAAAAAAATGGTAGAAGAAATTTTTTTTTCTTTTAACTCTTCTTTCTGGGGTGTTATAAATGAGAAGAATTTTTCATAGACTGTAGCACTGAAATTAAGTTTACTATGTGTTATTAGGATGTAGGACAAAAGATAGATATAAAATGATTCAATTTCAAAAATGACTAGAATGGCGGAGTGAATAGAATTTCTAATTAATAATATATTTTTAATATATATCATCTTTCTTGTCACCAGAGAGTGCTAATTTTTAACAAACAGAATAAGCTTAAAATTTAAGTATATATTTTTCATGTTTACATATTATATAAAACATCTTTCTATGTTTATAACATTTTTATACTTTGTCATATAATAAAAAGGATCACATTAAAATAATAAAGAAAGGTAAGAGATTTCTTTAATTTTTAATGTTTATATTTCACCTAAATGATTCTGGTTGAATTTATGTGTTATAATCTCAAAGTAAGAAGTGTAAGTAGCTAGAAACACACATTCAAAGAGTCAAAAATGTTTTTGCTTTTAAATAATGTAAGCATGCTTTATACATACTAGCTCTTCACCTTTTCAAAAATCATTATGATAGTTCAATTTGAAAATTATTGATTAGATGATATTTTTTCTGATTATTTAATCATATTTTTACAGATTTGTGATGAATAGTATTGCTCAAGATGATCGTGTGATCTCATTAATATCAATTTCAGGATTGCCTAACATCTTGGATAATCTTAAAGATCAACTTATTCGTTGCCAAAAAGCTCTGAATAAATTTCTAGAAGTAATGTTTTCTTTCCTCTTATTTTATGCATGACATGTTTTCATCTATAATGAAACCTAAAATAATACAAAAAGTGTATATCATGATTGAAAGAACAGTAACTTAATTGTTAAATACAATTTACAAAAATTATTAAACTAATTATTGCAAAAATGATATCCTAGCATTGATTAGTAGTATGGATTATTGATTTGCAAACACGATGTTATAAATGTCAGATTTCTATTATCATCGAAGTTTTTAAATAAAATAAACCAAGCTAAAGTTAATTATGCCTTGCACTATAACTTTTTAATTTGGTTAATTTATCCATAAGTAGGCAAAATCTATAGTTTTTATGAAAGCAAAAATTTAAATAGCATTTAAAAATATAGATCAACATCATTCATTAAGCTGGGTCCTTTTAAAATGGTTTGTGGTTACTCTTGATTGTAACCAAAACCAGATCAGACTCAGGAATGTTACCATGTTTAGGGCAAAGTTTGATTAAGACCTTTGAAGGCCCTACCTGCTTAAAAGGTTTTGGTACCTGTCCCACGTATATTACAATATACCTCTTATTATTTAAATTGCAACTTTTCGAACTGACTGAATATCACAGTTTTAAGATTAAACCACAAATCAGAATAAATAGATAGGATTTAAAATGTTAAAATTGGTGAACATGGTTAATAATTAAAGTGGATTATATGGTAATGAATATCAAAAATGCAAAAACAGTTATGGTGAAACTGAAAACTGACTAGTTAATCATCTCTGCAAATAAGCTTCAATATAAAATTTTAAACAATTATAAGATCATATTGTCAATCCAAATTGAAAAAGAAATCTAAGGTAACTAAAACAATTGCTATAATGATTCTGTAGACTCACAAAATATTAATGGCAAATAAACTTGAAGATGATATACTTTTCTCATCTGCTATATTTTGAATACATGAAGAACTATTTCAGTGCAACATGTTCTGTTTCATAGACCATGAATATGTATATCAATCAGTATCATGAAAGCAATTTAGATATAATCTCACACGATGATAAGGAAAAATTCTTGTATTTAAGTCAAATTCATGAAATATAACACATCTAATTCTTAAAAATGAGACACTATGATATGTTTCTCTTACTACAAAAATCTGATAATAAGAAATGTGATTTTATCATGAAAAAATCCAAATGTACTTCAAAAATAGTAATTCACTAATAACTTCAATCAGTTTTCTTAATTTCAATAATGTGTTTTGAAACATTACATTTTTAAGCAATTGCATTCAGAAAAGTAGTAGTATTTGGATGACTTTTGGTTTGCACTTCTTAATTGTGAGTCTCTGTTTGATTTATTATTAACTATGTACCTATTTATTTAGCCCTAAATACATATATGTCTCATTTCCTGTGCTTTGTTTTTCTTATTTTCTGTGATCTTTCTTTGATTAGTCTGAAACATTCTTATGCCTCCTTACCTCCCTTTTTGACTCTGTCTTTTCTCATTCCATCAGGATTTTGTATTCTTTTAATTTTATTTAACAAGATTAACTGAAATGACTGAAATTTACTTGTAACTCATGGATCAGTTAATAGCTCATTCTCATGTAAAGAACCAGGAAAGAGTTCTGGTTCACCAAGCTTAACTTCCTTACACAAGTAAATACATAATTATATTGAGAACAGAAATGTGAAAATATATGCTGAAATTTTTAGCTTTTTACTTCTTTATGGATGTAATAGATCTGTTTGATAACAATTTCTGTTCATTTGAAGTTATGAAAACCTTAAATTACATTTTTTGGTTCCAAAGTGCTATGTGAAATATTACAAACTTAATAATTTTAGCCAGTTCATGCAACTAGATGGATAACTTGAAAAATATGTTTCATCTTAATCCATATGTTTTACTTTAATGATTCAAAGATATTATCACCTTGCCATATTCAAATCTAGCTAGGAATCGGTATTTTGCTGCATTCTTCTGTTTTGGTTCTAAAAGTTCAGGCTTCTTCAAACTAATTAATAAAGTTACATGTAAAAATTTGTGAATCACTCAGTCAGCGACCTGTATAGGTACTATATGAGTAACATATATATTGTTCTTAAAACTTAATTGACATCATAATCAGCAACAACTTGTATTATTTATAGTTTGATGGAAATTTACATTTTTGAGGAGAAGTAAAATTTTATTACGTAAATGCATTACTTTTACTATTGATTTTACATGTAAAACTTATGTACAAGTTATAGACTTTCTTTCTAGTTTGCAAATCTTCTACCTGGCTTCTAATCTTTCTACCTTGCAAACTTTACAACTTTCATTTGCTTCTACAGTTGTCTGAGTGCTATTAAAGTTAAACTGTAAATGAAACAAGCTAAGATGCTGAATTCTTGATGATGTGTTTTAAATATGAAAATATGAATTTTATGTCATTTTATTATTTTTTCTTCAGCCTGTGTAATAATTATAGATTTTTTAAAGAATTATCTATTTATTAAATTAAAATAGCATTTTTTTGGCTGATTTTTTGTTCCTCCTTTTTAAAATTTGTTTTTTAGGAAAAACGATCCATGTTTCCTCGTTTCTATTTTTTGGGGGATGAAGACCTACTTGAAATTCTTGGCCAATCTACAAAAGCTATTGTAATTCAATCCCATTTGAAGAAATTGTTTGCTGGTATCCATCATGTTCTGTTTGATGACAGTATGACAAGCATTATTGCTATGGTATCTGTAGAAAATGAAGCTGTAAATTTGCGGAAACCTGTTCTAGTCACATCTGAAATTGAGGTTTCTGATTTTTTTTTCTCATTTACTTTATTCAAGTAATCTTACTTCCCCATAGAGTACAGATATTATAAGTATTTTTCTGTATGTAATTTAAATATTTATACTTCTATGTGTTCATGTTTTATTATCAAATATGTTTTAATTGTATTAGAGTGAAAAAGAGATGTATGCAAATTATTATGAACATAACCTAAAATGTGAATTTCATCTCACAGATAATGGTAAATGTTAATTGAATGAAAGCTTATTTAACTACTGTTGGAAAAGTTCTCTTACAGATATTAGTAAATTTTAAAAAGATGCAAAATTATGCTTTGATTTATGTTCTGTACTGTAAGATGTTCAAATAGAGAAACTTCAGGCTTTATATTTTTAACCTTCTGAGTGACTATGCTTTCTAGATCAGATTATGATCAGCTGTATTTGCACAGCATTTGTTAGCTAGATTTATATATTGGGTCATTTGGGAAGTTCTTTGATTTTTCAAATCAAAGCGTATTTTCTTCTCATTATTTTGTTACTGCTAATAAAAAGTTATCTTGATCAAAGCAGGTGCTTAAATATGGTCTTTTCTGCTCACACTGCATAATTCTAGCACATGTTGTCTGCATAATTTTTGTTTTAGAGCAGCAATAAGAATGGAGAACCCAAAAGTTCATTTTTGTCATGTTAATAACATGTCTTAACAACAACTGTTTTAATTTTTTAAAAAATTTCTAATTAAAAGCACTCGTAAAATTTGTGCTATATATGAACAAAGTGCGGTTTCTGGTGACACAGCTCATAGGTGGTTTAAGCTCGGAAATTTCAGCCTTGAAAATGATGCCAATTCTAAACAACTACCTTCTGTAATCAAGGATCTATTAAAAGAAGGATTTTTATTTATCATCCAAAATCTGTAGAACTTTCTAGATGGCCCAACACTTATTTACGTTACTCTTTGTTCCTTAATTTATTGGGATGATATGATATTCAAAGATTACCTTCAAAGAAAATAAGAAAGAAAATATATTAAATAATAAGGAAAGCTATATATAGTAGTAACAAATCACTTGATCAGATAAAAGCAGTCAGATACAAATTTTTATATGGTCCCCAGTGTAAAATGGATAATTTCCAAAACAAACAACTATTATTTCTTAATTTCTTCTCAAATTTGATTAAAATCTCCTTGAACTGCTTAACGCTAGGCTCTGAAAATGGATCTAAGTCATTAAATTTATTCTTGAATATTTGTACCAGTTTCACATGTAAAGGTATGTGATGTTTTATGTTTAACTTATAAAAGCTTAATGAATATTTAAAAAACTATAAATTTTTATCCCTGGGGCTATAAAAAATATTTAAATTCGATACTGTTAAAGATAGGATATGTCCCACCAACTTCACTGAAACTGTTTTCATAAAATTTTCTGCTTTATTTTGAATAACACTGGAAAATGCATCTTTCTAGATTATATTTTAATAAAAGCTGTAACTATCTTTTTTGAATACTTTGTACAATGACTGTCTAATTTATTTTTTACAGTTTCAGGATTTTCTGCTGAGATAGATTTTAGAAATAAAATTCCTGGTATAGAAAATCCATTCTTTGCATTCTTTTTAAGGAATTTATGATTATTAATATGAGAAGGGTATAAAGCTTGTGTAAATGGGATATAATCTTGATCAATTTATGGATGGTTTTGTCAACTGATATCTATAAGTGAAATGTTTTAACTTATTGGAGGTGCTAAGGCAACAAGAATCAGTGTAAAATCATAATTCTAGCACGTGTTGTCTAAGGTATACTTTAAAATTTGCAATAATTAATAAATTCTCCATTTTCACTTCTGCAGCTGAAGTATAAGTTTCTATATTTAAAACCTTTAAAAAACAGACCTATAAATTTGTGAATATTATGCTGATTCTTGACCCTTAGTAATTCCAATAATCATTATTTGGCATGTGATATGAATTCGGAATGTTTCAGTGTATAAACCTCATTTTTTTTTCATAAAACACAGATTAAAATTTTAATAGGTAGGTGTTTGTCACTTTATATAGAATATTTTTTGTGAGATTTTTTATGATATTTTGGGTAATAAAATTCTTATTTTCAGGTATGGTTAAAGGAACTGGCTGATGAGATGAGAAATACTTTGCAGACTATATTGCTACAATGTTTAGACTTAAGTAAAAGAGGTGGAGAACAAAATATAAATCCACTTGAATTTCCAACTCAAGTATGTAGTCATTTCTTTCACCTGTATTTCATTTCTCCCCTCAGACCCTTATAATAATTTTTTTGACATTTCTGCATTGTAATGTAATACATGCAAAATAAATTAATTTTCACATTGTTTTGGGAATTTATGGATAAATTATAAGTTTTTTGACAACATTTGATTATTTAACGAAAACGTTTTTATTTGTCTATACAAATAAACATTTTAACAAAAATATGCTATTTAAAATGTATTTTGATTGATGAAGTGAATTTATTTTATTGTTAAAATTATTTAGTATTTTCTATATATGTATCAGTGCTCTGTTTTTATTGTAAATGCCTATAGTGAATTTTGACAAATTTGTCGTTTCAAATAAGTCTTACATTTGAATGTAAATTTTACCTTCTTTTAAAATTAATTTTGAGTTTATCTAGTTGACATATGAACTCAGAATTTAGGTTTATATTTTTATTTAAAATTTACTGTGATGCAATAAAGCAAGTGGCTATAAAATTTTACTGAGATGTTTTTATCAGATTGTAAAGTCTGTATATGCTATCATCAAAAACTGCTGTTGCTTATAACCCAATTTACCAAAATAAATATATAATTATTTTATACAAAGTACTTATATCTTAAAAGAAATATATATGTATATATATTCTTTTTGCAGGTATTGTGTTTAAGTGAACAAATCTTATTCACTGAAAGGTGTGAAGAAGCTATATCTCAAAATTCTCTTTCAATGTTTTTGAAAGAACTAAAAACTCAGCTGGATTCCTATACGGATATGAATATGTCATCTAATGCAATGCCATTACTGCGTCTCAAATTGAAGGCCCTGATTCTAGACACAATTTACAATATCAGCATCATTGATGAACTTATTTGAAGAGAAAGTAAGAAATAAAGAAGACTGGTCTTGGCAAAAACGACTAAGGTATACTTTAAAATTATTTATTTACTATTTTTTATAGAAGATAATTTACAGCTTCTAATTTTAAACGTGTGTTCTGAAAGTTCTAAAGATTAAAATACACTAAAAATTTCTGGATTCCAAATTTTTAGGACTTATTATAAATAAGAAATACCAGGAGCCTGGATAGATTCCTTTTGAGTAGCTTCAGAATTCTGATATTCGAGAGTGGTTACTTAATGCATCTGCTATTCTATTATAAAAACATTTATGTTTTAATTAAATTAAAAATGTATTCAAACTATATGAAAATGTTGTTTTGACCAATCTTCTCGTAATACGACAAGATGAAATTTAAGAAGCATTGGGAGAGTATGCAATCACTGTTTACATTCTAAAGTTAAATACTTTATTATCATTTAGATTTTTGAAATTCCTGTTGCATTGGTGAATAAAAATCAGCTTTTAAGGAATTATTAAGAGGAATAAAGGAAATCTATTTATATCTGTAGACTTAATTAGTTACTGGAAGACATATGTTATTGCTATATTGGTACTGCACAAGGTTGGGATCTTTGAAAAAAAAAATATAAGCCATGACAATGAACAAAAATAAAAGATCAAATCTCTTAAGTGATATTTTCTTTTTTAATTATATTCATATTTTAATCTAAACAGTTTTTTTTTTTTTTTTTTTTAGTGGATAAATTACAGTGAAACTTCCCTATGTCAACTGCTGGTCATACTAAAAAATTTCGATCTCTGTGCTCTTCTGTTAAGTTGTTAAGTGAGGTTTAGCACCAAAGTTTATTTCTGCTGTCAGGAATACTGTTCATGCTCAAAGATGATTACCATGAGAACTTTCACTGTATTATACAGTCAAAAGTCGTTAATCCGGTATCTCGTCGGGACTTCGGCGATTCCGGATTATCGATTTTTCCGGATTATAGATCATCAGTTTAAATCTGGTAAGATGGCATGCAGAAATTATAAAATTAAAAATATGAAACCGTAATTTATGAAATAAAGAGCAATTATGATCTAAAGGGTATCAAAATTTACAAAAAGAAAAAGCTTAATATTTATTTGTTTACTTTATTAAACATTTCTTTTAATGTAAGTTAAGTTGCTTCGTTTCATGTCATAATACTTTCTCTTTAATTCTATTAAACAGATATAATTTCTTGTTTAGTTACAAAGTTCCTCTGTTCAAGTCCTATAATTGCTGTGTCGAGAATACCGACTAATTTGTCAATCGAAATTTTTTCGTTTTCAATAACCTCTGTGTCACTTTCTTCACTATCGGAAGCGAATTATAATGACGAGGAGCTTGATTTTAATCATATCAAAGACGGAGTACACCGAGATGAAATACTACATTTAGTAAGGAATTATAAGCCAAATAAAATAAAAACATCTGCCCTGAAGATAAGGATAGTGCTGACAGATCAACTTCCAATTCATTGCGCGCCGCGGCATTCCCCCCCCCCTCCTGCCGCAGAGCAGCGTGAAATTGATAAACAGATTTCAGCATAGTTTTATCTAACCATGCTAAAATCTGTTTATCAATTATTCCTTTATCCATTTTTTGCAGCAAATCCACTTTTTGTTTAATGGACTTCGAAACTTACTTTCGCTTTGTAGATCCTTTACATATTAGTAAATATACGTAGGTAAGTTGAAAAAAAAGCTTCCCCTGTCGACTGTGGTCAGAGTTGTGTATGAAAGTCAAAAACTAGAATGAGACATTAAAAATATGACATATTTTTCCACATAGGTATCAAGTACATTGAGACATTTGTCATATCGCTTGATAAGCTTCAAAAAGCCCTCCAGGAAAAAATCAGGGCTTTGCATATGGAAGAAGCGTTGAACGGCTTGTTCATTTGAGCCCCGGTAGGTATGGAGAGAAGGTGCGTTTTGAATTCGTGGTCAAAGGAGGAAGTTAGAGCGGTTATCCGCTATGAATGGGCAGATGGAGTACAGAACAGAAATTCATAACCGCGCGTGGAGTCTATGGGCCAGGTGTGATGTCAAAGCAAATGGTGCGGAGATAGTGTCGCACATTCAGCAAGTGGACGTCAGCAAGTGGAGGACATACCGAGAGCTGGACGGACGCGCACGGCCACTACAGATGCAAATGTCAGGAAGGTGGATGACATGGTTAGAGCGAACCGGCATATCACCATCGATGAAGTAGCGGAAGAACTTGGAATCTCACATGAGTGAGCTCAAAACATCATCCATGACATTCTTCGATACAGAAAAGTGTCAGCACGATGGGTGCCCTGACAATTGACCTCGACACACAAGGAACAACGCATGGGGGTCAGCCTGGAACATCTCGTGCGTTACCATGAAGATGGCAATGACTTTCTGTTTCGGATTGTGACGGGGGATGAAACCTGGGTCCACCATTTCATGCCAGAATTGAAGGCCGCATCTATGGAGTGGAAACATCCGTCATCACCTGTCCGAAAGAAGTTCAAGACAACTCCCTCTGCAGGTAAAGTGCTCCTCACAGTTTTCTGGGACGCCCAAGGAGTTTTGTTGCTGGACTTTTTGGAGGATGGAAACATCAATGCTACGCGCTACTGTGACACCCTGTCGAAATTGAAAGAGGCGATTCGGAAAAAGCGGCCTGGCCTTCTTACATCTGGCGTTCTGCTGTTGGATGACAATGCCAGACCACATTCAGCGATGGCAATGCAAAACCATATTGCAACTCTTGGTTGGGAGCGCCTACACCATCCGCCATACAGTCCTGATCTCGCACCAAGCGACTTCCATCTGTTTCCGGCTTTAAAGAAAAATCTCGGGGGAAGGCGCTTTGGAAGCAAAATGAAGTGAAAACAAGCCGTTCAACGCTCTTCCATATGCAAAGCCCTGATTTTTTCCTGGAGGGCTTTTTGAAGCTTATCAAGCGATATGACAAATGTCTCAATGTACTTGGTACCTATGTGGAAAAATAAAGGTATGCCATATCTTTAATGTCTCATTCTATTTTTTGACTTTCATGCACAACTCTGACCACAGTCGACAGGGAAAACTTATTTTTCAACTTACCCTCGTATATCGGAAATTCTATTTGACATAATCGAAAGTTCAAGCTTACTTTTATAAAATTGCTCTAACAGTCTGCAAAAAATAATAAGTAAGCAGGATCCAATTCGAAGATTGATTAAGGAACAACCGCAATCTGCAACATTAACTGAATTAGATCATTTTAGCTTAGCTTATACCGTCCGTTATACATTAAATGCGCATGCGTAAATGTATTATGCGCATGCGCACACACATATTCGCAGCCGTAAAGGTCTTACGACGTCAATGCGACGCATGCGCAGAAAGTTTGTAGCTTTGAGGTCCGAATTATAGATCATTCCGGATTATGGGTGTCCGAATTAACGACTTTTGACTGTATTAATTTTGACTTATGGTTTGAATCTAGCAAATAATTTGATGCTTACTTGGAAGTAAGATGAAACACTCTCTTAATTTAGTTGTTGTTAATTGATGGTAGATTGGTTTATTCCCTTGATAAGTCGATTCATCTGTGGTCAATGACAATAACTACTTTTTAATATTTAGGATTTACTTTTGGTTTTTGTATTTTTTGCGATTTAAGATTTTTCTTAGCAGATTTTTAAACAAAAAATTGAAACTATTATTTAAAAGGTCTTTAAATTCTGACTATAATTTTTTTTTTTTTTTTTTTTTTTTTTTTTTGTCATTCTTGCTTTTAAATTGATTTTGAGTGCCTTGGAGATGGAATATGGAAAGTTTTCTTATTATAAATTATTATGAATCATTAGTTTATTACTTTGCAGCTTTAGCACAAGTCATAGGCTTTTTAATTTACTTTTAATTTGAATTTATATTCTTTGTTATTAAACATATTTTAAGATACTACTACTGTTTCTAGATTTTATGTAAACAGCAAAGGTATAGTTGTTTGCAGAATGGTGGATGCTGAGTTTGAATACAGTTATGAATATCAAGGAATTGCTGCAAAGTTAGTTCATACACCATTAACAGATAAATGTTATCTTACGTTAACACAAGGTGAGTTTCTGCTTACATGCCATAGTTATAACAATCATTTTAGAATTTAAAAGGAAAAAAGCATAGTTCTCTAGAGCAATCTTAATTGTCTTATGAATGGAAGAAAAGCATTTGACATTTATCTGCTTAAGATAAAAATCTTGTTTAATTAAAACCTAAATTTAAAATTTGGTCTTTCTTCATGTATTCAAGTTTCTGTTTAAATATTGTTGCAAATATAGGTAAACCGTTTATTACATCTTACAATTATTGTTGAATTAATAAAATGCATTTTTGCTTTATTTGAATATTTTTCTCTCGGTTATTCTATTTTTTCCAGTGACTGCACTAGTTAAGTATTTATTATTATTAGCTGAATCCATTATTCATTAAGTTGTCTCATCATTCGGAATGTTGTCCAAGGTGCACCACATTGGGGGACCATATTACGTCCTCAAAAGACTTGTGGTTCAGCTTTGATGAAGAACGTCACTGAGGGCAGATCCAAGGATTTTTGTCTCCTCTTCTCCTAATTGCAACTTTCCAAGGGGATTTTCAGCTGAACAGTATTTTCAATTCCCCTATGTCACAAAGACACACATGTACACTTACAAACATGCATGCCTTTTCCAGAACTCAGATCAGGGCCCAAGGATATGTGGAGGGCTTTCCTCTACCATGTCAACAGAATGGCTTTTGGCTACACTATACAGTACAAAGTCCGTAATCCGGACTCGTCGGGACTTCAGAGATTCCGGATTAGGGGTTTTTTCAGATTATAGATCATCAATTTAAATCTGGTAAGATGGCATACAGAAAATATACAATTAAAAATATGAAACCGTAATTTATGAAATAAAGAGAAATTATGATCTAAAGGGTATCGAAATAAAAAATAAATAAATAAATAAAAAAGAGGGAGCAGCTTAATATTTATTTGTTTACTTTATTAAACATTTCTTTCAATGCAAGTTGTTTAAGTTGCTTCGTTTTTTTGTGCTAATACTTTCTCTTTAATTCTATAAACAGACATAATTTCTTGTTCAGTTACAAAGTTCCACCTATCGGAAGCGGTATTTTCTGGATCTAGAACCATGCTACAGATTTCGCCATCCGTTAATTGATTGATGGTTGGGGCATTGTCATCGCAATGAAAAACTTCTGTTATATCATCTTCATTAATTACCGCTTCTCCACATTTCTTTACAAAATCCAATAGCTGGAAAATTTCACCTTTAGTTTGCTATGTCCAAAAACCTTCAAATTCGCAGCTATCATCTTCATCATCCTCACAATGGCATATGGCAGCTAGCCATAAATTATGCCAAGCATTTTTTAACATATCTGGAGATACATCCTCCCAACGTGCATGCGTAACATTAAACGCGCATGCGTAGCATTAAACATAAATTTAAAATATGAAGTTAATTTTTTCCCAAAAATTTCTTAAATTGAAAAAGGATATTCTAAATGTTTTAAAGTTAAAATTCAAAATAGAAAGTTAAATTAATTCCATTGAACTTCTTGAATTCCATTTATTTACTTTAATATAAATGCGAGTATATATATTATCTAATACTATCATGGAAATATATTTTATTACATTGAAATGTGGATTCTTTGCAACTAGCTTTTTGTCTAATTTATTATTTTTTTATACGTGATAAATGCATTCTATTTGAGTAAAGAACATAGTATGAAAATTAAAATTACTTTAACATTGCTATTTAAACTGTTAAGTTCGACTTTTAAGTCACTGCAGTTATTGCTTCATTGTACATATTTCTCATTTACTGGAATAAAAGGAAATTAAGATAATTTTTAAATTTTTAAAAGGCGATTTCTGGCAGACGGTTCTCTGCTCTGATATACTTACAAAATGGTTTGATTAATTTAGGTTACTTTTTTTTTTTCAAGATTAATAAAGGCAAACTGCCTATATACTGTTTAGTATTTTTCTTAAAAAATTGCTGCTTCTTCATCCTGTCTTCTCTTTCAGATGTAATAGCTTTATGCTGAATTTTTTTCTGCAGAACTATAATTAATTGATTAATAAATTCATGAGTTATTTACAAAATTTCAGTTAGTAAAAGCTGCATTCAAAACATCAAATGAAGTTTCCAGTTAACGGCTTTAAAAGTTTTAAATTTAACAATTGCAATTCAAATTATAGTTTAATACTTAATTTTTTAAGATATAGAACATAGCAATCATATATTTAAAGCAAGCTTTTCAAATATAACAATATGAAATTGTACAAAAAATTTATGATTACATGTCCCACCAGTGGCCAAGTGATAAAGTCGCTGAACACTGGTAGTTTGACCTGAGTTGAATTGCAGGTGATAGGCTAGCTGCAGGGGCATTTTTGTGGTTTTCTTCATATTTAACTTGAACATAAGCCAGTTTCACTAAGAAAATCCTCCATGAGGTTATCTCTTAAGCAGAATGTTCTCACTGGCTTTGAATCAAATAAAATCTAGCTTTGCTATTATATTATTTCATTATAAATTAATATTATGTAAAGACTTATGCATTTTAATAAAGAAAAGCTTTAATTATTCAAAATGTAGGTATGTATTTTTTTCGTTGGATTCCTTGTACCTGAATCTTGAAAAAAATACATTAAATGGCAATTTCTTTTTCCGAAAACATGAAATCCATGTGCTGAAAATAATAAGTACCTCTTCGATTTACATTGTTTAGTAAAACAAGGTAATGCGAAGCATTAACGATTTCTACTATAATTTTTTATGTAATATGTAAATGTGCAAATAATGTAATCGTAACAAGATCATTTTGGGCTTATTTCTGTCTTTCTTTAATTTGGCTGATTTTTCAACTTATTCTGTTTTTTTTTTTTTTTTTTTTTTTTTTTTTTTTTTTCAGTTGCAATGCGAGCATTCCATTAATGCCGATTTCGTTTTTATTTATCATTTAGGTATGCACATGGGAATGGGAGGTAATCCATACGGGCCAGCAGGCACCGGCAAAACTGAATCTGTGAAAGCACTAGGTTCTTTATTTGGACGACAAGTTTTAGTTTTCAACTGTGATGAAGTAAGTTGATTTATTAATTCAAGCAGCATAAATTGTGATTAAATATGTGAATATGAGATTTTTTCTACTTAAAGCTCTTTCACAGATTTTGAAATGTAAGTGGGATGAAATTTCACTGAAATTTCAGAATGATTATATAGTCAAACACAATAGTAAAGGCAAAGCTGCAAACTACTGAGTTTTATCGGGATATTCCCGATTTTTCATCGCATATCCCGCAAATCATCTTGCTTTTATTTTATATAGATATAAACTATTTCCTTGATATGAAGAAGTAGTTTAGAAGTTTTGAGAGAACTTCTGATAGCTAAGTATCAAAGAAAAAGAAACTTGTGTGAATAAAATTTTGGTAACAAGTTCTTATATTAGGCTAAGGCTTTTATCATGTTTTCATCTTTTAATGACGCTTAAAACTGTGCAAGTTCCATATTTTTTTACCCAAGGTATATTTTTCAGCATAATTTTTCTAACTTTTAAGCAATTTTTTAAGAATCTTAAGAAAGAATTCTTAAGAAAATGCGATTTGTTGCCGCATGTTGAAAACAGCCACCTAAAGGAAATTATTTCAGTAAACTATACACCGGCAATTCGTTTAATATCTAATTTAAAGTAACATGATCAGTATCGTGGCACTTGCCTGCACTTCATATGGATGTTCTATAATATGCCGTTCTATATAACACAAGTTATTTAATATATACATATAGATGAAAATTTAACATAAATTTGTATTTACTATATGTTTAATGCAATTTTGTCCACAATTTATTTAAAATAATAGCATAATTCAAAAGAACTTATTTAATATATATATTAATTATCGCATTTAACACAATTATGTAAGAAATTTATTTAAAATAACATATATAAGTATGCCAGAAAATTATATTTATTATTTTATTTAATACAATTTCATTAGCAGTTTATTAAAAAATACATCATACACTAACGTGAAAAACTTAAAGCAACAAACTCATTTTTCAGCACACAAGTGTAAAATTGTTGAAAGGGGCATTTTGCAATCAATACAGTGAAAAGCCAACTCAGTAGGAAGGTGATGCATGTGCAAATATCAGCGCCATGATGTCAGCGAGTATGTCAGGGCACGCAAAACACGAGGAATCAGCTGGTTCAGTGCAAGGCAACTTATAAAGAAGAAAGGAAGGTGCATTTCCAGGCATTCTGCAAATGAAAGTGAGACTGTACGTGCAGTGTGGCTACAAGAAAACATCAGGGTGCCTTCACGCAGGGTAGAATGATTGGCAAGCTTGAAGAGGAAAGTTTTTTACCCAAGAGTTTGGAAATTTTAAAAGTGTTGTTTCACGAGCTTGGAAAACCTCGCGAACGATTGGTACAACGGTACAACTGTTAAAAAGGTTATAGGTGGTAGGCCAAGAAAAACAACAGTGACTGATGACCGATATACCCAGAGCCAGATTTAGATGTGATAAGGCCCTAAGCTATTTGAGATATGGGGCCCTTTATAAGTCTGTTATAATATATTTTAATACTATTTATACTGTATTTTAATTGGGGGGCTTCCAAGAAAGTGGGGGGGGGCCTTAAGCTATAGCTTCTGTAGCTTATATGTAAATCCGGCCCTGGATATATCGCCGCGCAGGTGAAAAAACATCGAAATCAGACAGTGGGCAGCATTGCTCAGCAGTTGCGCACGTCAATCGGACGTCATGTATACCGGTTTACTGTGGCCAGACGGCCTCATAACAGTGGCCTATTCCTGAACACTGAATCCCACTTACAGCAGCCCATCGGCAGCACTGTTTACCACTGGTATAGAGAACACAGAGACTAGACACCTCATCAATGAAGTCAGATCCTCTTTACCGATGAGAGTCTTTTCAGTCTGACAAACGATTCTAGTCCCCAACCCGGCCTTGATATACAGTGAGGTAGGAGATATGGAGAAAGGTCCAAGTAACATAAGGGAAAGATACCATTGGACTGATCCTGTTGTGCTTGTATAAGGAATCATTTTGAGGAAAGGACGGACGAAGGTCCACATTTTTGACAGAGCTTCACTTACCACAAATCGTTACTGTGATGAAGTCCTCCACATGTGTCTTTTCCGGGACGCAGTTGATCCTGACTGTTTTTGCAGATGACAATGGAGGCCACACAGTATTCATGCTGTTGATTAGCTTCTGGAAAGTGAAGATATCAATAGAAAGAACTGGGCAGCGTGCTTGCTTGATTTAAATCCCACTGAACATGTGTGGGATACTTTAGGGAGATGCCAGTCGGCATGATCTTTCCCTTCGGGGAACACCAGACTAATCAGATGATCAGATGCTTTTTGAAGAATGGTAACTTTTAACCCAAGAATTTTTAGATACTCTGATGTTTATTAACTGCAATGGCTGCGTTGCACCGTCAGTTGATAGTATCAACTGACGGCGCAATGCAGCCATTGCGGTTAGAGGAAGTCATATCCTTTACTAAGGCTTTCTGGCTAGTTCCTCTTGGCCAGACAGTTTTCTGCGGCATTTTTCTATCCCTTCTGTACTTGTTGCATTCTATTCATTTTTTGACTAATATAATTTCCTCATCCTTTAAGTGCTACATTGTGCTTTTGTAGTATGAATTTTATGCCAGCCAAATGATTTTTTGCTTAATTACGGCCAAAATCAGATACTTGCTTAAAATTTGTGCAGTAGTATATCTGGATAATCCATTTTTTATAGATTTTTTCTGGTGGTCACAGTTCAGCAGTTACTGCTATTAATGCCAAAACATCAGCTCTAGTTTCATTTTCCGTTGACGCAAGACTGAAAATAGTAAGCATAATGAAAATTTTGTAACGAAAAACCTCTTTTTGGCATTATTTAATTACGAAAAACAGTTGGATCGTTAATAGTTTGTTTCTCACACATGCGTGGATCGGTAACGTGTTGTTTCTCGCCTGTGCAAAAAGCGCCAAATTCAGTTTTGTGGCAAGGTCGTAACAGTAGAGAAGCGCCGAATTTTCCAACTGGTATTTAGTAGGTAATATTGCTGTTAGACGTAACTAATGTTTAATTGGCAAATATTAATATTTAATTTTTCTTTACATTAGTAAGCTTATCCACATTATTGTATGCATATTAATTGTTAATTTAATTTTGATTGTGTTTAAATTGCATTTTGATAATTAAAAGCTTTCTTTCCTACTTGGAGTTGCATGAGTATAAAATTTTAAGAAATTAAAAAATCGAATGAAGTTAGACTGAAAGCATTAAATTAGAACATAGAATAATAAATTAATTATTAAGTGATTATATTTTAACTCTGAATTATGTTATAATTAGTTTAATAATTTGAGAGGTGTATTATAAAGTAACTCCAAAGTTGTCAGTCTGAAGTTTTTTGAGGTCACATCAGCATGCTGAATGAAAATGCATTCTTTACCTTTTCACGTCTCTCAGTTAGAGCTTATTCTAAAATTAGAAGTGTTCGAGCCCTTTGCAAGACCGTCAGGAAAGAGGAACAAGAATAAATTAATGAATAAAATGGCCATTAAAATGATTAATAATTTAAAAATTAAATAGTTAAATATTACAAGATTAATTGATAATTATGCAATTAATATTAATTATTATTCTTTAATATAATTAAAGATTAAAGTAATGAAATGATTACAATTAAATAAAATTTACTGAGATAAATTAAAATTTAATAAGCGATTTTTAGTATTATTTTATTGCTAAAAATAAAATATCCGAGATCAGATTTCTTCTGAAATTGTTGTTCAGTTACACAGAAGAAGTGCCGGAGCTTTCCTATTTAGTGCTCCGGTTGAGCTCTGTCTAGAATTATGATTTATCTCCAAAACTAAGAGGTACCGGAGCTAGGTTGCGGTGGGTTCCGGTGCGATTTAAGCTCTGCTGTCAGTATTTCATATCAATTGTAATAACAACTCTGATATTTTTACAGGTTTTGAACGATAAACCCTATTTATAAGCTTTTATTTAGTTCACTCGTGGTGTTGCACTGTGAGGCGAATTTTATCATCGATTTTTGACCTATTTTCTGATAAGCTACCGAGTTCAAATTTTAGACACAATGTGAATGACATTACAGTATGGTGAAGCGATTTTTCATTAGTTTTTTTTTTAATTATTATTATTGTTATTATTTTATATAATGTTTAACCGATTTTTCGCGTATACCTTCTTTTAACAAACAATCGAAGCATATCGAATTTTACTGTTGATACCATTGAATAAAGCGGAAAAAAACCTTTGCAATGAAACGTATATGAAAATTTTAGCTTAGTTTCTGAATTTTTTGGCGAATTTTTAAAAACTGCTCAACTTTTAGACTATTTGATATTTGTGATTTTAAAATGTTAACATCTAAAAATGTATGGGATATAGAATTTTCGAAGATTATAAAACAAACTTTTTTTGCCTTCTTTTAAAATAAGAATGATAAAAAATATTAATTGAGCGATTTTCTACATTTTTTAAAAATGTGTGCTGCAGTCTGAAGCAGACGAGAGAAAAATGTCGTTTATTCTGGAAACAATTGCTTTTGAGTGTGCCATTTGGGCGCACTTAAGGGCAAATTGATGATAATTGTTTTTTTCATTTTAGCGTCATTGTTTCAAGTAAAAGGCTCATTGCAATATAGTTATTACATCCAATGTCAGAAACTGCATACTCAAAGAAACTTCTTTATTCTGTGAATGACGCGCAGATACTTTTCTTTATTTCATAATTTTCTTATAGTTTATTGCTTGTGTTTTTAGTAACTAAAAATTTCGTCATTGATAATGTGTTGAGACTAAAAAACAAAAAATAAAATATTTTTTAATATAATAAACTTTTATTTAAAATGGTTATGATAATTTATGCACTAAAAGGAGAAAAATAATTAATTATATAGTTTAATCAAAATAATAGATTAAATAATTATATTTACAGAATTCATTTACAATTTAATAGCATGAATAATAAAAGCATTGGGCACCTAAATAACAAAATCTATTAATTTATTTGCATTGTCAAAAGCCTTTTTTAATTTATCATGGATGTCTCATACTTTTATTATTAGCTATATAAAACTGTAGATGAACTGTATAAATAAAATTATTTAATCTATTATTCTCATTAAAGTATTTGATAAATAATTTTTCTCTTTTAGTGCATTATCATATCCATTTTAAATAAAAGCTTATAGTACGAAAATATTTTTTAGTGTATTTTACTTTAAACAGGAACAAGTTCTTTAATTGTTATTCAAAAATGCTGATTGTACCAGAAATATGAATGGGACAAAAATATGCAAAAATGGTTAGCATCAAACATCAGCAGTTTCGCTAGTAATATCTTTTTCCAAGCTAAAGTGATTTTGACCTATACTATTGCCTATTCACGTACTGAGTCCAGCCTTTTTGGGGTATTCTTGTAAAGCGAGTGTGAAATTTAAAAAAAAAAAAAATTCATTCATCTCTTACTTTTGGCGAGCTTAAAAATTTCTTAGAAGTCTCAAATTTTGTGCTCTTTTACCTAACTGAAATATTTTATTATTAAATATTGAACATTTTTTTATACAAGCTATGATGCAAATTTGGCAACTGATGTCAAATCTCAAAAGTAAAATAATTTATTCACAAGTTTATCATTTGCAGTGAATTTCATGTCAAGCATTCTTACAAAGAAGGGACATTATCTCTGTTGAACAGTGTATTTATGTTATTTTATAGCAACATCGTTTTAATAGGATGATTCTAATTCTTAAGTTTTAGTTTTCATTTGAAGTATGCATGAACCACTGGAAGGAGAAAGTATTGTTTAAATTAATTTCTACTGGTACATACAAAATGACATTCGATTGGTAAACCATATCAAATGAAAAAGAAACATATCAATGTAAAATGTAAAATTAAGAAGGGAAAAAAACTTAGTTTGACATAAGTTTTGAATAAAGCTGAATTTCGTTCAAAATCTACACCAAACTATGGTTGCTTTCCACCCCGCCAGTTTTAAGTTTAATCATGTCTTTAACCTCACTTAACATAGGCTGTATTTACAGGGCATTGATGTAAAATCAATGAGTCGGATTTTTGTTGGATTGGCAAAGTGTGGAGCTTGGGGATGTTTTGATGAATTTAATCGCCTGGAAGAATCTGTGCTTTCAGCTTTATCCGTGCAGATACAGATTATTCAAACTGCATTAAAGGTGAAAACAAAAGAAATTGAATTGGATGGAAAAAAGGTATATTTTAACAAAATTTGAAAAACAAATTAAGTGCAATATTTCAAAGTATTAAATATTAAATGAATTTATGTTTTATTATCAGATTTTTAGTTTTTAAGGGAGCTTTTTTAAAATTTATTTTATTGATTACTGCTGTTGAAACATTTGAAATATTTCAAGAAATTACATTATTTCTATTAATCACGCAGTAGGCAATTTACCTCTTTTAGTTCGCTATTTGTTTTGTAAGTTGGCAGCACTGAAACTGGTCATTGTTTTAATTATTTCTTTTTTTTTTCTGGAGTTTTATCGCAGGTTTGAATTTAAAAATAGTGTTTTTATTGGCGCTATCCAAGAAATAAACAACGAACTAAAAGCAGTAGACCACATTCTACATGATTACCATATTTCTCTTTAAAGAAAAATATGAAAAAAATATAATGATGAAAACTAATTAGATACAATTTTTAGAAGATTGGTTATTTAATTTACATAAATGCTGGTTGAAAAGCATAATGTCAACATTATATTTAAAGTGAAATTTAAGCTACTATAGCTGAAGTGTTGAAATTTTGCAAAATTACTTTAAGAATTTATACCCCAGTTGTATGCGTAAAAGTAGAAAATGTTTTCTCATTGGAAAAATTATATGAAAGGTGCATTCTCATGCAATAAAAGTTACTATAATGCAGGAAAATAAAAGTCCGTAAAATTTCGAGTTCATGCTACTTAGCAAAACAATGAAATAGGAATTTGGCACTTCGTAATTATTTCCAATCACAGCTTTTTGACTTTTTTTTTTTTTTTTTTTTTTTTTTTTTTTTTATCGTAAAAGAGCTACCTTCGTTGGTATATGCATTTATTGCAGCTATAATCTCTAGATTCATCCGTGGCAAATTCTAATTCAGAAACAATAATGAAAGGGTGAAAACATAGAAAAGCAACTCTTCATGCTGAGTTTTTTTGTTGGAGATAGAGAATGAATCTGTCTCCAAAGATAAAATTAAGAGCAAAGAAAAACCTAACAGGTTACAAAGTGCAGAGTTTGTGACTAACTGAGGCCATGGCAGGTAGTAACTGCCAAATATTTAACAAATGCACTATTACGATTGCATTATTTAGTGAATGAGAATGTGAGCAGATACTGAATTGCTATAAATAACTAGTTATATTGTATCCATATTTTTCCATTTTTTGAATATTTTTACAGAAATAAAATTTTTTATGTAATAAAACCTCATTTCAAATGTTTGCAATTTAACTTCTTTAGCGATCTGAGGAATTTAACTCTTATGTTTATGCATACATTTTAAATTTGGATATTAAATTTCTTTATATTGAATTAAAAATTTGAATATCATTACATGTAACAATTTTTTATAGGTAGAGATTGATTTTAATGCTGGTATTTTTATAACAATGAACCCTGCTGGAAAGAAATATGGTGGTAGACAAAAACTTCCTGATAATTTAAAACAGTTATTCCGTCCTGTTGCTATGACTTCACCTGATAATGATCTCATTGCTGAAGTACTTTTATTCTCTGAAGGATATAAACATTCTAAAGAATTAGGTCGTAAAGTTGTAGCTATATTTTGCTTAGCTAGGTATTTTAATAATTTTTGTCACTATTTTAATTATTTGCATTTACACGGAATTCAGTCTGTAGAAATAATTTTTAATATGTAAATGTATTTTTTTTTTTTTTTTTTCCAGGGAACTTTTATCTCAACAGCAGCATTATGACTGGGGTCTTAGAGCACTAAAGACTGTTCTTCAGAGCTGTGGAGAACAGCTGCAAGCAGCAAAACATAATTCCGCTTCAAAAGGTTTTTCTTTTTCTTTCTCTTTCCCTCTCTCTTTTTTTTTAATCTGTTAATTTTTTGAATCTACTGTAGTTTGCTTAAACGGGATGAAAGCAATTATCTCATAGTTTTGTAAACTATTCAAGAAAATTAAATGTTTGCTGGGAAAAATAGCCATTTTCTCTTTAGGGTAGTGGAAGGAACAAAAATATTGGAAAATGGAGTGGGAATGCTCCTTGGATGTTTCGATGTTTTTCAGTGGGAGCATGCTTAAACTAATAAATAACTTTCTCACATTTTAATTTAGTTTCATTTTATTTATTTATTTTTGTCAATGTAAACTTAATGTTAATATCTGATAAGCTGTTTAAACAAATATCAATAAATTATTTGCATTTTGTACAAACAAAGATGTTAATTTTCAAAACTTTAGTTAATAATCAGAAATAAAAGGTAACAGTAAATGTAATTTCATTTTTGGTTGAATAAACTTACCTTAAGCAAAAAGTATTATTTTCAATTTTTAAAAGAAAATTAGCATTTGATATTATTTATGTCTGTGTATAGAATTCTATAAGCAGTTGATACTGTTTAATTCAATCGAAGTTTTTTGTCTGTTAATTTGAATACTTCAGTCATACTGTGTCAGTCTGGTTCTTCGTAATTAAAGTAAATTTTTTTTTTTCATTTTGCAGGTGAAATGGATATATCATTTGAAAATGAATTAGTTGTACAAGCACTTCGGACTAATACTTTGTCTAAACTAACATATGCTGACTGCCATAGGTTTGATTCGCTTATTCATGATCTTTTCCCGGATACTAAGTTTAAAGGCATTGATTATGAAAAATTAGCCCAAGCAGCTAAAGAAGTTATGTCTCAGATGAAACTTGTACAATCTGAGAACCAAGTAAATGCATTTTAAATTAGCTTTACATTATGAAGAATTTTCTTAAATTCACTTTTCTTTAAATTTTTTAATAACTAAGAATGACTAATTTTTCCATTTCTTCTTGTAATTATGAAAAAAATGGTGGTATTTCTCATAATTCATTAGATCTGCTAGTAAAGGTTGCTTCATTTAGTAAACCTTTAACTCCATAAAAGCATACTGTTTTGTTTTCAGCTAATCTTGAGCCTTATAAAATGTGTAGCAGTGATATTTAAAATAATGACTATAAAATGCTATGCAGCCTCTGTGATCATAAAATTTCCTTCTTATTTAGTGATCAAATGATCTTGAAAAGCATGTGGTGATCTTATTTGTCTGATTTAATTTCTATTTTTTTTTTTTTTTTTTTTTTTTTTTTTTTTTTTTTTTTAATGGAGATAACTGAAATATTTTGCTTCTAAAAATAAGGCTTACTTGTTTATAAAAGCAACATTTCTGAAACTGTATTAGCATGCTGTGGAGGGACTCTGATAATAGAGGAGATATTCAGATGTAGCTAGATGTCTGTTTTTTTTTTTTTTTTTTTTTTTTTTTTTTTAAGTCTGTGCAGATTTATTGATTGCTATATTTCATGACACTATTTTTATTGAAGCAAAATCATTATTAAACAAAATTAGAAATCTCGTAATGTGTTGTCAATAAAGTGTTAAATATATGTAAATGAAATTAAGAGCTCATTTGTATATCATCAAATATCCTATAAACTAATTGCTAATAGTGCTGGTGAAAGAGTTTGATATCACAAAAGAATCATATAAAAGTGTTAATAAACTCTTTCTTGGAATCTAAATTTTTGTTGTGACTTTCTTTTTATGAATATAATCTCAATTCATTTTTCAAGTTTCTGTTTTACTTATTTCATAATTTTCTTTCTTAAAAATTTATTATTACTTCTGTGAGATTGGTTATTTTAGTGCTAATTTAGATTATTATTTTACTTATTTCATAATTTTCTTTCTTAAAAATTTATTATTACTTCTGTGAGATTGGTTATTTTAGTGCTAATTTAGAAATTTATCATTCAAAGTGTAATTAAATAATTTAAAGCCCAAAATTTTGATTTTATCATTTTTATTTACAGATATTTTGATTCAAGTTTGTTTAAATAGTTACATAAAATCTACTAAGTCCATTAAAAAACCTGTACCCTTTTTTATGGCACATTATATATATATATTGTTTGCTTTTTGAATGTATATACAACAGCTCATAACATATTTCAGATTTTACATCTACCTACTGTAGAATATATGTAATAATTTAAATACTGGAGACCCAGAAATGGTGAATAAAAAATATTAAAATAATCATAGCCATTTGAACAATTTCATTTATTGTTGATGATTTTTTTTCTTTCGTAATATATATATATATATATATATATATTTTTTTTTACTTAAACAAAAATCGTGCTTATTATCTAACAAATTTTCACATTTTTACAATAAATTCACTTGAAGCAAGCAAGTAAGGGATCAGCTGCAAGCTAGCAGAAAACAGAAGAGGAATATATATTAAAACACTATGTTAGTTAAGATATTCCATTTTGTTCTTATTGGCTAATTCAGATATCAGTTCTTGAAATGTTAAGATTGTGATTAGGTGAAGCATTATGTAAGAATCATATGACATGGATTAATTTTGAAATGATGTAGTTTTTTTAGATTAATTATAAGCATATTATTATTTTTAGTATAAAAAGGGAAAATAATCAAATTAAGAAGGGGAGCTAAGGTACTATTGCAAGTTAGAATTATAAGCATATTATTATTTTTAGTATAAAAAGGGAAAATAATCCAATTAAGAAGAGGAGCTAAGGTACTATTGCAAGTTAGAATTGTATCTAAGTCTTTTATCTTATATGTACATACAGGCATGTGTTTACATATATACATATATATGATCTTAAATTCACTTAGTGCGAAAACGAGTTATTCTACTACATGCACAATTGCTGCAAAGTAAGTTAAGAATAATATGTTTACTAAATAATATTGAATATATTATCTCCTGAGATTAATTTTAGTAGAATTATCTTAAAAGAGTGAAACCATACTTAGTAAGTTCTATTTCGAAAAATGTTTTGAAGTAACTTGAATGTAAATTGTTAAAAATGTTTAACGGGGACTTGAATTAAATCATGAATAACAAAATTTCAATTGCAAAAGGAATAAATTAAAAGCAAGTAATTAAATTAAATGCAAGTAATCACTTCCATTGATCAGAAATTAGTTGACTTGTCAAGGGGAACAAACCAACTTCCGTTCAATGAACTATAATTAAGAAATAAATATGAAGGTGTTTCGTCCTTTACTCGAGCAATAAAGCGATGCCAAACTGGCAATTCAAGCTAGGCCAAAAATTTTCCTGAGTAGAAGGGATTAAGAACCGATGCAGGGAACCAAAGAACTCATTCCGATAAAGCATTTTAGCTAATTCAATTTTGAGTGAAAAGCAATTTCTGCAGTAAAATTGATATTGCTTGAGTAACTGTCCCCTGACACCCTCATGTTTATGCATTTTAGTTCAATATTATTTGTAAAAATTAAACATTGGAAATTTTCATTATGAAATAAAATTCAGAGTAGTTGAAATAAACATTAGAAAATTACAAAATATAAGAAAAATAATGCAATCTTTGTAAAAAATAAATCAAAATTAAAAAATAAAATTTTTTTAAAGATATATAATAAGAAAAGTGAATGTACGGGAAGATATATAGGCCAGAAAAAGCATTAATTAACTTACGTTCTTTCTAGTTGGGAGTGGGCAAAATGTTCTCTTCATGTCTGACTCAGAAGGGTTGTGTTTCAGAAATTCTTTAGCGGGAGCGGGGCTTTGAATTATTAGTCGGTAAGACTTGTGAAGTAATTTATGGTAGTGGGAGGGACTAGGAATTCTTGAGGGACATATGTTGTGGAGCTCTTATGAGTGAAACCATCTGTTAAAATTTTTTTGAAAATACTAGTGAATGGAAATTAATTAATTTCTTGCTAATTGTCATGTCATAATGATTAAGAAAAGGAAAAAGGAATTTTCACTGTCAAAAAGCTATTTGACAGACTAAAGATTATGAAATAGGCCCATTTTTTTAGTAACAGCATAAGTCTGAAGACAATTAGCTTTTTACATTATATACAGCTTAGTAATTACACTATTACACATTATATACAGCTTAGTAATTACACATATAGTATACATATATATGTGTGTATGTCCATTAATAATGTTTATTTGTAAATTTTAGATAAAAAAGGTACTAGAACTTCAAGAACAACTGCAGCAGAGAATGGGTGTTGTAATTGTTGGCCCAAGTGGATCAGGAAAATCAACACTTTGGAAGATACTAATGAAGTCTCTTCTTCACCTTGGACAGCAGATTAAATGTTACATTGTGAATCCAAAATCAATCCCAAAACCACAGGTTTATTAATTTGCTTATGATACTGATTTTGCTGAGAAAATGTGTATTTGTTTATCATAATTCCTCATTATATTTTCTTAATTTTGAATTATGGTATAGGAAGGTTAAGCATATTGCTAAATAAAAAGCAAGAATGATATAGTAAGAACTGCAATTAAATATCTATTTGAAACTGTAATCAATTTATGTAATTAAAATATGTTATAAGCAGCACTGAAATTTTGTAAATTTGTGAAAACTAGAAATAACATCTTTGCATATTTCTAAACATGTGGGTCATCTTTTTCTTTAAAGAATTAGTTTATTAGCCCAGAAGGGTTATTAGTCTTGAAATGGCATTTTCTGTTGAACCACTAAAAGCGTTGAATCACTTTTCAAATTGTTGCCATCAAATATTATCACCCTGTGTTATATTAAAAGAAATTATATGATGAAGAATTTGCATGGATGTATGTATATTTCTCACATTGTGAAAAATCAATGGTAACTAGAGACATCGAATTTTGAATAACATAGTCCTCCACTTCAACATAGGCACCTGGAAGTCTAAGTTTGAACTTTTTTTATTATTTATTTCATATTTTGTAAAACTTTAATGAATTGATTAAAAAAATCAACGATTTCAAAACAAACAGTGGTAACACTGTACAGAATAAAACACATTTATTTCCAGCATGTGAAACTATCTTAAAGTGACCACATTTTCATTGAGACAAAGCAGAACAAATGGAATGAAATGAGAATTGTAATTTAGTTATGAAAGCAGACCGCTAATTGAAAAAAATATATTTTATTGTATTCATTCATATACTTGTCTATAAATATACAAAAATATATTTATTACTAACTATTGGTAACTATAAAAATATTTGTAAAAAACAATAATTTGAATATCATATTTTTTAATTAATTTAAAATTTTATTAAAAAAATAATGATTTTCTTTAACGGTCATATTTTTTATCTGAGTGAATACTTTGCAATAAATTTGGATCGTTTATTAAAATGTCGTGAAATTTCTCACATGAATTGGTCAAATTATATTTTGCACTTAATATAGATTTAAAAGTTTTAATGTTCAACTGCATTTTTTCAATTGTCCATATTTTATTGATACTAGAAAAAGCACGTTTTGTTGCTGCATTTGTTCCTGGAAGGGAGAGCATGTGTTCTACAATTTTCAAAATATTTTCATAAGGAATATTATTCTGTATAAAATGAAGGAATAACTCCGTCCATTTTTTTGTCTGTTTCCACATTTGCAGAGAACCAACATATAATTTTTTCATCAGTAATGTATCTTTTTACCAATGACACCTCATCAAAAAGATCATTTTTGCAAATATTTTTCAGAAAATGGTTTCTAATACTATATTAAAAAGATTTTTCCACATATTCCCTTAAAATCTCCTTTTTTAATGTCACTCAATGAAAATTAATATCCTTGAACTGAACTGTCCGTTATTCAAGATATTCCAAACAGTTATTATAAAAATTTCTGACTTCTTTCAGAAAATCTGGTCGTTTAATGGCAACTTATTCTTCCAACCTAGTGATGTCCTTTCGAATAACTAAAGGAACGTAATCGTTATCAATTCTTTCTTGCAATTTTGTTTTTAAATTATTGATTTCTTTTGTTTTTAAATTTTTGATTTCATTTGACACATCCGTAACTGAAATTTTGTCCCTTTCAATAATTTTCACAGCATTGTGAAATAATGTAGCTTGGTTGTGGATGAACTGAAGCCAAATTTGTGATGTGTCATTTTCAAAAAAGAGCTGCAATATTTTTGGGCATTTATCTTGTGATAAAAAGTATGATTTTATTGGTTGATGTTATTATTTGTTTATTGGTTATGTATAATAAGTTATTGTTATGTATAATCATATATAAGTATGATTTTAAAAATATTTTCTACAGCTGGTAAAAGATCTAGCCATCTTGTTTTGCTGTAAGCAATAATTCTTTTATATTCGATTTCTGTGCTTTCACAAAAATCCTTCAAAATGTCGACACACACAGTATATATACATATAAATACGAATAAATTTTTGCAATAACATTTTCAATATCCACTGAAAGTAAGTCGGATGTTGTTTGAATAGTATTGTGTAGAATGTGGGCTGCACAACCTACTGCAATAATTTTTGGGTTCAAATGTTTATTAAGTTTCATAAAAACGTTATTGATGCTTCTTTTAGCTTTTCCACCAAAATTTGCGTTAGTGTTATCCTCACAATAAGCAATAATTTTATTGTTCAAATTATTCTTTTTTAAAATAGCACTTGTTGAATCACAAATTATTTATGAAGTTTCACCCGGCAACAATTCTGGGAAATAATTTTAAATCTTTGTGGTTAGAAGCATCATAATATAAGGACATAAATGTGTATTTATTTAATTCTTTCTGCAATTGTGAAAACGAATATGATGAAAAACATAATAACTGCTTCGGTTTTATCCTTGCACATGCAAATTTTTCGTCGTACAATGTTTTAAACATATGCGATGTACAATCAGTTGATCTGAAACTTTGATTGTGGTTTATGGTGTGGAAAGCACATAGCCCTTCAGCTAATGCTAGCTGTTCCTCCGTTAACAACACATATTCCTTGATGAGACATAATGACAATGATCAAACACCAGCGAATAAATCTAACTCGTTACATCGCCTAATTTAGTTTACTCTGCATGCATTTTATGTGTTTTTTTATGTATTTTTTATTTCTTTATATTCACTATAATAATTAATATATAATAGGTAATATATGTTTACAGTACATTTAAAATAAGAAATGCAGATGCTTTCTAAATAGCGGGACATTTTTAAAAATCGGCGGGATGTGGGACAATCCTCCAAAAAGCGGGATTGTCCCACCAAAATCAGGACGTGTGGTCACTTTAGACTAGCTGTCAGAAATTCTAAAGATGTACTGTTTTTAGTCCAAAGTGGCATTATCCCAAATGCTCTCGAAACATGCTCGTGTAAATGAAAAAAAAATGCTCCTTTGGGCATAATACAAAATCTCGAGATTTTGTATTATGCCCAAAGGAGATTTTTTTTAAGCCAGTTGTTCTGTGCGATTTCTGGAAAGCTATTTAATATAGACTGGACTCACCAGTAGCCAAACAGTTAAGGGCAATGGATATTGCTCTTAACTATTAACTTAGTTCAACCTTGTTCAGGTTTGATCCCAGGTGAATGGGCTGGCTGTGTGGTTGGTTTTCATGGTTTTCCCCTTGTATGATGTAAATACGATACAGTTCTCAGAAAAACCTCCATAAATGCATCCATTCCCTCAGGCAGACAGGCCTCATGGCTTTGTCATATTTAAATATCATAATTAAATATATCATATTTAAAATAATTGAATCAAATTAATAAAGACTGAAACAAAACTTGTAATTATCTTTAACTGCTTACTGAAATATGATTTAATTTTAAGAATTTTTGTTTTAAATTACCCTGTTTACTCATGTATTCCACCTTTTTTGCTAATTTTACTGTACAAAAATCAAGCATTGAAAATTATGCTAATAATTTAATTTCTGAAGGACACGGTCACAGTAAGACACATGAAAAATTGTCATAGATAAACTACCATTAACTATCACAATATTATTTACTTAAACGAAACCTACATTCTAATGGAATATATAGTAATATTAACATTATAACTATTAAGATACATTCATTTCTACTCCCTTCTATCTTGAATCTTCCCTGCTCTTATAGTCCAGTTCCTAGACCTCAAATCATTCAGTGCTGCTAGGACTATTGTCTGTGTCATCTGCTATACTTGCCAGTTATTGGCATCATCCCTGTTGTCATCAACTTTGTAAGTTGCTGAATATTGGTAGTTCAACTTGTTTGATTCCAGGCAAATGAGGTAGCTGCATGGGCATTTTGGTGGTTTTCCTCATGTGTAATATAGATACAAGCCAGTTTCTCTTATAAAGTCCTCTATAAAAGCATCCATGTCCTTGGAAGATAGCCCTAGAGTGCTCTACCATAATCAAATGAATAAACAAACAAAAATCATCTTTGTCACCATTCAATCTGTTCTACTTGCAATGACCTTCAGAACCATCAGCAGCATTAGATATCTCCATTTTTTTTTTAAACTCTTCCCTATAATTGGTTCATCAGTTATAGGTCCATGCCTCCAAAACCCACAAGCAAATCAGTTTGTAAGATGAAAACAACTGCTGTATCGATGAAAACATTTTAAAATTTAGAGGAGCTTTCCTTCTGAGCACCTTAAAGAAGGAGAAAATAACATGAATATTAAAATAATTTTCAAGATCTTGTGTTAGAAATCCAGGGGAGGATACATGAGTAAATACTGTATATCTTGTAGAATATTTTTGCTATTTTTTACTGTTAAAGTGTAATTTATAATTACATAATTTCCTCTGTTAAAAAGGGTGAACTTTTAAATTTTACATAACATCAGTAATTATATTTTTTAATTTTGATTTAAAATATGCATCAAATGTCATACCCTAAATAAATAGTAATAAAAATTACATCTTATTCATCAAGAATATAATTGTAAAAGTAATCAGTAAATAATTTAATTTAATCAGAAGTAAATTTTAGCAAGCATCTCTTTACATAATTAAAGGTTAATCCAACTTGAGCATTTTGATACTTCGGCAATGAAAAAAAAATTATTTTAATGTAATATTAGAGTAAATTTTATTATGTATCTGAAACACCAAATATTGCAAATTTCAAGTGCTAGATTATTGTATCTTTCAATAAGCTATGATAATTTTAAATATCAAATAATACATTTAAATATGTTTTATAAATATACTCAAGTTTTTAAAGACATGTTCTTTGAAAATGGATTCCTTAATTTTATCATTTGTTTCTCTCCCTCTTCTTCTTCTCCTTTTTTTTTAAACAATAGATCATTTATACAAAAATTAAAAATTTCAGCTATTGGGCTATATTGATTTGGATACTAGAGAATGGCATGATGGTGTATTGACATTTAGTTCAAGACAGGTTATTAAAGAGCCAGAGGGTAATAATGTATTTTCTTTTTAGTAATGTTTAAATGTTTCCTTTATTTATCTAAACTTTTACCTTAATGATTGCTTATTCTTATATGTATATGTGCTTAGTTGCTACTTATTTCATTATATATAAGAATATTTCTTAGAATCTATCACACACTAATTTTACTGATTACAATATAACTATTTTTCTCTGTTGAACTTTTGTACTTAATTAGCTGTAGGCTCTTTTTAGATATTTATTTCAGAAACACTTTCTGTTACTCTTTTGAAATTTACTTTGCATTACCTTCTGATTTAGACTGCAAAATATCTTTATGTCTCTTTCTACAAAATAAAACTTATAGTTTTTACTACATGAATACATATTTAAACTTACTAGTTTAATGTGTGCTTCTCTTTGTTAATCTGAGATTATTTCACATAAAAAATCTGCATTCATATTTAGAATCTTTATAACTGAAGTCTAGTTGTCTATTCTGCTATCCAGTAATTAAAATTATTTTTTGATATTCAGATTAAGACTTCTCAATGTTATTTATGTAGGGAAGTTTTCAGTATGAACTATTACTTTTAAAACTTCTAACATTGTAACAGCAAATACATTTGAAGAAGTTTATATGAATTTCATGCCTGTTTTAGTTCTTTTGGTCATAGATTTAATAAACATAATGCATAGAGCTTCTTTGCATTATGTTTGTATTAAAGTTTCTTGTATTAATGTAATCTTTATATTAAAGTACATTTGAAGAAGTACTTTAAAAGTACTTTTAATTCTTCTTAGGTCTTTTGGTTGTCTATTTAATAAACATAATGCGTAATTTGAGAATTTTAAGCAAAAGAAATGAGGTCATTTGTATCACTTTAGTTGCATTTGGAATTAATCATATTACCTTTTTTATGTATTTGAATACTTTCTTTAGATATTGAATTCTTTCTTAAAATGGAATTAAATAAAAATAATCATCAATAATATGAATTATTAATCAACAGTAATATGAAAAGGCCATGAGAGACTGAAATTGACAAAAGTAAACTGCAGTTATGTTTTTTTTTTTTTTTTTTTTTTTTTTTTTCATTAAATAAAACGAATATATTATTAGAAGACAAGATTTTTATGGAAATACTTAGGTAATTTTTGGTAGAAAAAACTCTTGTATTAAGAATATACCCACAAACACTTCTTTAAAATATCATTGAGAGGAATTCTGTAGCGTATTTGAAAGTGAACAATATAAAAACTTCTCACATTCAAGAAACTATAAAAGGAACTGGTACAGATTAAATTTTAACTGCAATTGAAATTATCAAAGTGAAAAGAACTTTGAGCTGATTAAAATATACTCAAGCACATGCAAGTCATAAACAGATAAACATGTGGCAATGTATTGCAATGAATCAAAAGGGGTGAACAGGGTGCCTTTGATCATTGGCACATTGTTGATGCAAGACATGATTATTCTACCAGTCATAGAACAGGTCCAATACTCAATAGATATCCTAATTTGATCAAAAGATGTTTATGTTAAATAATCTGTAGGAAGGAAAACTGATCACAATAAAAATGCTTGGCTGAATTACATTAATATCTATCAAAAGATGTTTTGGCTGAATTATGTTAAACAGGAATAATCTTTAGGAATGAAAATTGAATGTATTTCAATTTGAATTCAATAAGATTGAAGTTTTATCATGATAGACTAATCAGGACTTTAGTAAAATGCAGAGTTTCATTAATATAGCAATGGAAAAAAATTAATAAAATTGAAATAAGCTAGAGCTAAGTTGCTGAACTGATAAGCAAAGGCATGACTCTATTTGTTTATGAAAAAGTTTAACAGCAGTCCTTACTCTCATCATATCATGGCTTAAGTTGATTTTCTGTCTTGACAAACTCTTTAAGAATTATAATTCTATGTACAATGATTTTGTTCTGAAGTAACAGCAAGTTTTGGACTTTTATGATAATCATGCAAAAGTTTTACTGCAGTCTGCAGTATTAACACTTACTATGTGCCAACCTTAAGGCTATGCTAATGCAGACTGCATCTAGGAACCTCAAGGTATTTCAGGCAGTAGAAGATCTAGCTTACAAAACTCATATGCCCTGCTAACTATGCATGATCAGAGAGAAAATAATACTAAATTATGCTGCCAGATGAATCCTTATTACTACTGTGTCAGACAGATTAAAAAAAAAAAAAAATGTGTTCATGATATCAGTATAACACTAAGACCCATTCTACAAGTTAGTTCTCTTCAAGATAATACTGGGTTTTTGATGGTATATGAAACCATATCTTGGAATAGACTTAAACTTTTAATAAGAGAGAGAGAGAGATCCTCAAGAACTTCATGTTGCCTTAATATACTAGCTAATTCAGTTTTTATTTTTGTTTAATTCTGAATCATTCATTTGAATAGAAATCAACAGGCATATATCATGACATGGCTTAAAAAGCAAATGCTTGAATTCTAGACTATACGAGTGGTGCAGATCTCTTGACTTAAGCTCTGTTGAATTCCTTTGATATCTGATTACTAGACATTCCTGTTGAAAGAAGATAGGTCCTAAAAGTTTGAATAGAATAAACTGATAAATAGTCATTTCCAATTTTTTTTTTTTTTTTTTTTTTTTTGGGGGGGGGTTGAACTTTTTTTCTTTTGCTTTCTCATTATTTAATAGTAAATACATATTTCATAATTTAAACTACTCATTGTGGTTTGTTTATAGGCAATAGCATTGAGATTCAAAATCTATGTTTTTCACATAAGAATTATTTGTATTCATGACAGGTAACATAGGGAAATTCATTAAAAATTGCACAGGTGAAAATCTACTCTATGCTAAAATAATTTTCTTAAACATAAGTAAAATAGAAAAACTGAAAGCATAAGAGATTTTAGTAAATTATTAAAAAGGTGTTGCAGTGAATCCAAAGGTGGTCAGTCTGTAAGGAGTGACATGTTTTTTGCTACTGAATTTCCAAAAGTGGTGGTGGAGGAATTGCCAGATGCCATGTGTACGAATTCTGCCATAAAAGTTTAAACATAAAAGTTTAAACCTTAGTTTTTTTTCTGTGTGAATTAAATAAAGAAAAAAATTAAATAAAAATTTCAAGGTTTAATTTATTTTAACTGTACACAAAAATAACATTTTGATGACAAAATGATGAATGCAGGAATAAATCATTTAAATTTTTTATGGAAACTAGTTTGACAATAAGTTATTGAAAAATATATCTGATTTTTTTTCCAGTTAATTTGGATAAACAAGGTTCTGTTTTCAAATAACCAACATTATTGCAAATATCTTACAAGTTTTTCCATCATTTTATTTTTCACTTTCATTTAGGAACTAGCTTCTTTCACTTTAATTTGGGAACTAGGTCTTAGTTTTTTTTTTTTTTTTTTTTTTTTTTTGTTTCGTTTTTTTAAATAGTACTTACCTATTCATATATGTATACATAAAAGTACATAAGTAATACTGTATAACTTTTTAACAACTAAATAAAAGCACATAAGTAATATTGTACAACTTTTTAACAACTTAATAATCATGTAAATATTATAATACTTTTCTTGTTAATAGTTTTTCTGTTGTACTTTCATTAAAGATGTGTTTTCATGGATTATCTGTGATGGGGATATTGATCCCGAATGGATTGAATCTTTGAATTCAGTATTAGATGACAATAGATTATTGACTATGCCTTCAGGAGAGCGCATTCGCTTTGGATCAAATGTTAACTTCTTGTTTGAAAGCCATGACCTCAGTTGTGCTTCCCCTGCAACGATATCAAGAATGGGCATTATTTTCCTGAGGTAATATTAAGTTTCTCTTTTGAATGAAACTCTCTAGATTCTCTAGAAATTAGGCATAATCTTTCTTTGTCCTCATTGTCAGCAATGAAGATGTTAACATCAAATCTTTAGTAATCTCATGGCTTGAAGAACAAGATGAGGATAATAGATTGACATTGCAAATGTTTATTGATGATCATTTTTATAAAGCATTAGACTGGGTTTTAAAACAGGTAAGTAACTGGATAATGTTATTGTTTTGTTATATTTTAAGCTATTAAAATGCTTTAAATTTCTAAAATAAGGATATTAAGAAAATTTTTATGTTTCTAGAATTTCTTGCAATAATTCATTTTAACATTTTTTTGTCTGTTTGTTTCTTTAATAATGAATACTTCAAAAATGTTTTCATTTCCTGTTGTCTTATTCCTCTATAAAAATAACACATTATTTGTTTAATTTAAACTGATTTATTATGGAAATGTGTGTTGTTGGATGTTCTGGTAAAAATATTTGTTATTCATATAACTGAACTTTTTTAAATGTCTTGTGATTAAAAACTGTACTAATTTTATTTAATATTTATGATGCATAAAAGGCATCTATCACATTGAGAGAGAAGAAATAATTTTAAGACTATATATATATATATGTATATTTATATATGTAAACTAGAACAGAGTTATGAGGATAAAGTTATAAGAGAGTTATGAGGATAAGTTCTACTAAATTGTTTTCAGAATGACTGTTACAAGTAGAAGACATGGAACTGATAAAAGTCATTTTGAGTTTCCATGGATGAAAATGCTTAAATCAAACACAGTTTATATTGTTATCTCAATTTTAGAAAATTCCGTTTGAGAAGTCCAAAATTTCAAATGAAGATATATTCTGCTATTCTACAAAATAGCCCTTTTTTTTTTTTTTTTTTTTTGATTTGTTTATTTTTGCTTTTATTATTATGTCAGCCATTTGTTATGTACACTGCTCTTCAAAATTAAAGACAACCCTCTAAGCATTATGGACATAAAATTCCATACTGAAGGATGATTTTCCAATTCATTACACATGAAAATCTTTGCCTAATTCAAATACCTCCGATTTTAAGTTTAATGTGTATTGAAAGAAAGGATTCAAGGTACAGAGTTAAAGGGTCATTATTAAGTTATAACCAAGTAAATACTATTTATTCATGGCATTTAGGGAAACTTTTAAATTTTAGGAAAAAAACCTGTAATGCCTTAGCATTACAATTAAGGGTTAAAAATAACCTCCCTTGTTTTGGCAACAGACTTTTCTTTAGTATGGTGTATGGTCATTTCTAACAGAAATGCGAACATCATATCCTCATTTCATAAAATTTTCCAAACTTTTGTCAAGTCTTGTGGAATTTCACTCCATTCTGAAAATTCAATTTCAGAATCTGGGTTGTCCAAGTAGGCATTTAATGCCCTGGAATCCTTTGGTCTAAGGCATCTCACACATGCTGAGTCAGGTTTAAGTCTCTTGAGTAAGCTAGTTAAGCCATTTGAGTGGTATTACAAAGTATTCTGACGCCAGAGACGCTTGATGTAGATGAGCATTGATATCCATTAGAAAAAATTAAGGACAACAGTCTTCCTAAACAGCCTTATATAGACTTTGAAGACTTTGCTATGTGACCAATTACAGAACTGCTAATAGAAATATGCAGCTTGGTTTGGCCATTTTTGATAAATCCATCCCACATCATGAAACTGTTTCTCTAAAAATGGGATCTTTCATAAGAAGGGAAGGCAAGTTGCATGTTCCTTGCACCTTCCAGATCAAGATCTTAGTTCAGGCTATCACTATATGGTATATATATTTCTATTCCTCCTGGCTCCACTGAACATGATGATGATAATGTAAGATGTAGTAATTAGGACACAAACCATTCATTTTCGTGCATCAAGACCAACCTCATGAAGCCTTTATGAAGCAGTAAAATGGTTGATTTGAGTTCATGTGGCAACCTGAATGTCCGAATCAAACTACAGTAATTGTCTGATATTTTTTCCCTGTCAACAATGACATTGGATGCTGTTGTTTAACCTGCCTTTGACTATGCTGGCTACAGACTGATTCACTGCTTAAAAATCGGTTACAATGTTACTGTTAAGATTGCCTGCTTTTGACTAAGCTGTCTACAAACTGGTTCACTGCTTAAAAAACAGTTACGAGTTCTTGATATGACACTTTGAGGGATTTTTTAGATCTTGGGCATCTTCCATTTGTGTTTAACCCCCTTGAATCTACAAATTAATTCTCACATTTGCTCTTCACTTAAATAATGCCATTCCTTCGTAACTAAAGAAACTGATGATGTTCAGAAACTATTTTAAACAACACTAAATGCCTCAATTCCTGTATGCGTCCATTGTGCAGCATGTTGTCAATCTTCTGATTTTCATATTTCGTGTGCAGAAGTCCGATTTTGCATTCATCTTTAGAAAATTAATATAAATAATTACATAATTGGACCCTGGTTGAAACTTTTAACCACTGAATCCAAGTACATTTTTTTTTTCAGATTATCCTTTAGTCTTGGCGAGCAGTGTGTGTGTGTGTATCTGTATATATTATAACGAAGTGCATTATAATTTTTTAAAATACATATTACAATAATTTTCTGAATTCTGTTATGCAATAGAATGACTTTGTTTTGGAAACATCTGTGGTGGGCACAGTTAAGACTGCACTTTCTCATCTGAAAGGTACAAAAAATATTTCTCAGTTTGCAATTAATTTAACTAGAGGACTGGGAAGTAATTTGAAGAAAACTACTAAAGAAGCTTTAATGAGAGAGGTAATTAAAATGTTATCAAATTTCTTGATCCTTGTTTGACAATATTTGGGCTTAATAGTATATTAATATAAACGTGTATAGTTATTCGTAATAATGCCTTTATATTTTTAACTTAATTATTGCCATATTTTCATTTGTATGTATTGATAATGAACTTAATTAAGAATGACATTTTTAATAATTGTTATTCTTCAAGCAATTTGAATATGCTATGACTCTCTTATAATATGGTGTTTGAAGTGGATAGATAATTACACTGAATTATCAAATTCTATGTTGTTAGCCTATGAAAAGTTGAGTGACTTAAGCCATGGAATACTAGTTCTATTCCTCGGTTCTAAACCTGGGTACTGATTAGGTTGGTTGCATGGAGTAATATGAATAAAAATCAAGTTTCCATAGAAAGTCCTCCATAAAAAGCATTCCTTTATTTAAGCAGACAGTCATTGAATGTTTTGCCATAATTAAATAACTATTCATTATATCATAAATCATATTATCATAAACACTATATCATATTATCATAAACAAGGAGTAACCTCAAATAAAATAATTCCCTTGCAGTTTTCTAAAATTATGCATGAAGTTTAGCTATGCTACTGACGTATTTGATTCAAGCAGAAGTGTAGTTTATTAGTGGGAATGTGATGCTTATTATTCTTCTCAAAATTTTGACTTGCATATTTATTTTAGAGTGCTGGAAATAATCATCCGAAAATTGTATGGATTTAATGTTATTATCAGATGGCTATCAGGTTAACTTATATCATTTCTTAATTCTCGTTGCTCACTTTGAAAAATGCCTCTGCGGACAAAATAACTCCTGATTACACTTTTTCAAAACTGTGTTTATAGTAGCTTTTTAGAAGTAGACATTTTGAAATTTAAATATTTATTTATGTCTAATTTCAGTTTTCAAATGAAAAAATAAATGTTTCTCTAAATTTTTAATTGTATCATGATCAAAGACTTACAGCTAATAGAGTACAAAACAACTTAATAATGTTACATGTGAAAGTATAAAACCGTGTGCGGAGAATGATATGGGCAAAAATGTTGTTAAGGTATTGAATATAGCAAAACACACATATTTGTATTATATTGTGAACTTTCCAAAGAAAACTGGCATGTATTAAATTACACATGGAGAAAATCATAAAGATCAAACATGCAGCTAGTTCATCCACCTTGATTCAAACCTTGTCAAATTACCAGTAATCAGCAGTATTTAACCACTCGGTCTTTAGTGAAGTGCAAAAATTTGGTACTTGAACAATTAAACATATTTCAGGATATTGTCTTTCTAAGCTATTGTAATTTTCTCTGGGTATACACAAATTTAAAGTTTTAAGTTTCTGATTGCTATGCTTCATCTGTATGGTCTTTATTTGCTTACAAATCATCATAACTTAATTATCTAAGCTAAAACACTAACTTTTTTATCTGTTATTAGGGTTAAACTCGTGACTTATTCTTTCAAAACAGTTTTCTTACTGCTTTCCTTATTTTCTTACTGCTTTCTTATTGCTTATTATACTGTAAGAAAACTGTTTTGAAAGAATATACAGTATACAGTATATATATTGTTACGAAATGTACAGGCGTGGTAAGGTAGCTTCCCCGCAAAGCAGTTTTAGGTTTGCCACATTTGGTGAGAAATCGCCCATTGGCAACAAAATAGGCGATATAGCATGGACAGTTGGAGAACCTTCTGGAATGAATTCTTACCGGTTTAGCCCAGAATGTTCCCGAACACAAGCCGAAAGCTACATAAACCCTGCTGGTCCACAGTCAGTTAGTGTGTGTGCCTCGTCTAGCAAGCTGATAGTCATATTGAGCTAGTATCTCGAAGTCTAGCTCCGAGGTGGTAGTGCAGGTCTTAGGTCGAATACTCGAGTCGTCAGTTCATTGTGTCGGAGAGTCTTGTTGGAGAGTCGTTTCCGAGACACCAAGCGGTAAGATTGGGAGCTGTATGTGCTTTAGTTATTGCTTGACAGTGTGAGGCTGTGTCACGATTGTTCCAACATGTTTATGTAGATCTCCGACGACTGTAAAAAGTGTTATTGGCTTAGGCTGTGTCGCTGACTGTCGAGAGCTATACTCTTATGTATCGTCGAGTTCATTGTGTGGAGAGTCTCGAGAGTACATGGAGTTCGAGAACAACCAAGCAGGTAGTTGGGAGCTGTATTCGGGTGCTTTGCAGTGAAGCTGTCTTCCACCGTTTATTGCCTTGACAGTATGAAGGCTGTGTCACTGATCGTTCCAGCGTGTTTATAGTAGATCTTCCGACGACTGTAAAAAAGTGTTATTGGAGCTGTCCTGATTAACATTGGCTAAATAAAGTGTGTTTCGATGCTTCATCAAGTGTCGTCGTTATTCACTCCAAATCCACAAACCCTGTACAAACGTGAACGAAGAAAATAACGCAACAACTGGTGTGAGAAGAAAGAAAAAACGTAACAATATGTTATATATCATATATATACTGTATACTGCAAATATTTACAGTACACTGTAAATATTTACAGTATATATCAAATATGTACTGTAAAAAATGAATATTGTAACTTTCATGTCAGAAAATAATCCTGTAGAAATTAAAAATTTTTGCCTCCTGCCCATGATAAAAAAATGTAATAGCATTCTAGGGTTCTGAGAGCTTTAAATATAATTTGTTAACATAACTTATATACAGAAAAAGATTAGCATAATGGGAGAAAGCTTCATTTTGCAGTTTAGCGTAGGCATACATTATCAAAAGTTATTTTGATTAAAAAGTGCAGATTAAGAAGAAAATATGAAAGTTAGTAGCATGACTACTTTTAGTATGTCTGTATGTAAACTGAGAGACATAAATATAAAGTTTTTATTTAAGTCTCGCAGATCTGAGGAATTTTGGAAAGCGTTTTGTCTCAAGTTATTTCCGTCAAATAATTTTTTGCATTTAGTAGTATGTGCATTGATTTAAGAAAAGGGGGGAGAAATATTTTTAGGATTTTAGTAATGAGATTACATTGTACAGAATATAATCTCATTAATAAAATCCTAAGAACAGCTTCTGCGTGTGCATCATGTAAGGTACTCGTATACACATCTTCTAACTTAGTTTAAAATAATTATGTTTTACAATGAAAATTAGGGATTGCATATACTCTTTTTCTTATTCATTACCTGAAGTTTTTCTGTAAAGAAATATTAAATACGCATTTGCAAATGTTAATTTCCTTATTTTATGTTTTGATTGTTATAGTAGCACATCTTTAAAGTAAAAAATTCTTTTCCTTATTCATAATAGAGAGTTTATTATGAATGATAAAATTATACTTTTCATGAAAATGTGCCTGTAATCTTAATTTGTTTTGTTCCATCCAGAGTCAAACATAGCTTTTACTACTTTTAATTTGTTTTAATATACCATAATTCAGTTTTAAATAACTTATGAAATTAAATTTCAATTAATTCATTTCAGTTTTCAGCTTTTACATGTTCTAAAAGTATACTGTGTGAAATTTATGACCATTTTATAGTTGCAAGGTTGCAAATGAAGTCATTTAATAGTAGCAATAATGTGTTATAATATATACATTTTAACAATAGTATGTATAATATAAAATCAAATAATTTTATATGTTTTGATATAACTGTGAAAGAATAACAAACACTTTAGCAGCAATTGTAAATATATATATATATATATATATATAATGTATTTTTGTATCAAATTAAAGGCAATAAATTTCTGAGCTTCGTCCATGATGTATTGTTATATACTTTTTCTGCAAAACAAGTGTAAAAAATATTAATACTAATATTCAAATCTGTATACACTAATTGCTGAAGTTAGAAAGCTGCAACTTTCTAAAAATTTAGACCAAAATGCTGAAAATGATGGCATTATGTAAAATGTGTAAATAACATAAGAAATAATGTGTTGATTTATTTTTAATAAAATTATGAATCATCTTTAATGTTAAAGAGTTAAGTCAAGCAAATATGTTAATTAAATAAAGCAGCAAAAAAGAGCTTCTATTTTCAAATCTAATCAATAATTATCAAATGGAAAAGAAACATGCCAATGTAAAATTTAATGCTATGCAAAAAAGAATCTTTAGTGTAGCATAAATTTTAATTAAACCCTCAATTTTGAGAGTGATCAAACACATGTCCTTTTCTTTCCCTAAAGCAAAAATTTACTCCTGAAGAAAACCCATTAGCGGCTCAACGGTAAAATAGCTAAACACTGGCACTTTGGTTGGGGGTTCAGATCCCGGTAAATGGGCTGACAACATGGTTGATTTTCATGGTTTTCCTTATGTGTAATGCACATACATGCCAGTTCACTTAAAAAGTTCTCCACAAAAGCATTCCTTTCCTTAGGAAGGTAGCCCTTGAGAGCTTTCCCATAACCAAATAAACCAGTGCTCCTGAAAAGAGGTAACTGTATCTGATTGTGCTTGAAATCATTGAAGTTGTAATCCAAAAACTAATGCAAAGATTGTCTTTTTGTTGAATATTAAATACCAATAAACATTTTAAAATATTTGTGGTATGTAAAAATGTTTACAATGCTTTTTTAGTGTATAAAGTAAAATTTTAAAAATTTAACTAATATTCTTTAAGTAAGTTATGTAGACGTAAATTTAGGCTTCTTGTAATAATAGGAAAAACATCTCTCAATATATAATGTGTGTGTATATATATGCATGTGTGTGTGTTATGTTTATAAAGAATATCTTGCTTTAGCAGAAAGTTCTGATATATTTGTTTAGTAACCATCTTATGATTTATAAAGTATGTTGATAAAATGTCCTAGAATTAAAAAGAAATGAGTGTATCTCAGTAATTCATTGTTAAATATTTGGAAAGTTGATTTATGATAATAGTAAAGCTTTTAAAGTAATTAAATAAGAATACAGACAATGCAATTGATACCTGAAATATGAAAATGTTGTTTTGTAACATCAATTTTTTTTTTTTTTTTTTTTTTTTTGGGTTTAATTCAAAAAATAAATTAAAAGCTCTACCTTCAAAATAAAGAAAAATAAGTAATTGGATTAGCAATTAATTTTGCATGTTTATTACTTGTGTATGAAGTACATATGCTACTGTCTGGAAGAATGTTGCTCCTTCTTTTCCTACTTCTTTTTTTAGTCCAATGGGGCTTTGTCCCTGAAGGTCTATTGTTTTTGTTTTGCGATTTTGCGGTGAAATACTAATAAATGGCTGTATCACTTTTCAAACTGTTGCCACCAAATATTATCGCCCTGTATTATATTTGAAGAAATTAAATAATGAAGAATCTGCATAAATATGTGCATGTTTCTCGCATCGTGATAAAACAGTGGTTGCTAGAGCCATTGAATTTTGAATGATGTAATCCTACTGAAAATTTGGGCATCTGAAAGCCCAAATTTGAAATTTGGAATTTGTTTTATTACCGATTTCATATTTTGTAAAACTTTAACGAATTGTTGATTAACAAATTCAAGGATTTCAAAGCAAGCCATGGCAACGTTGTACAGAAAAAACATTTTTATCTCCAGCGTGTGAGACTACCTATCGGAAATCCTAAAGATATGCTCTGTTAAATATTTTGTGATATTGCTGTTGAATTGAATTTTATGGTTTAAGTACGAAGAACATGATATATAATAAGTAAAGGTAACACACAAAACGTGGAAAAACGTCTCTTTGGCGTAATATAAAATCTAAAAACTTTCAAAATTTCCTCTTCTCTCTCTCTCTCTCTCTTTTTTTTTTTTTTTTTTTTTTTTTTCATGATTGGGACAGAGATTCTTTAAAGAAATTTTTGCACCATGAGACAAAAGGTTTTAAGGAAATAAATCCTATTTTATTTAATGTAATGTTTAGTAAAGAATGAGAAATAATGAAAAAAAAGTTTTGAGAACAAAAAGAAACAAAAGAATGGGAATCAGGATATATTTAATGCAATGTTTCTGTCTGATTCTTCCAGATTGATTTCTGGCCATCATCTTTAGCGTTAGTCTACAACAGAATTTCTTAAACTGTGGGTCACAAAAATTTTAGAAGTTTTGATATTTCCCTAACTTATTATAATAATTTTACAATTACCAAGTATTTTTACACAATTTTTCTGAAAATAGATAAGGATAAGACGCTGTCATTTCGTCTGTTACTTATTTAAAATTTTCACATTGTTCTATGTCTTAAAATTATAAATTAAAGTAAATGACCTAAAACTGCAATAGAGTACAAGTGAAAAACAACTACAGTACAAGTGAAACAACAAACACAGTACAAGTAAAAAAATTGACAGTTTGATTCACGCGTGTGCGGGATTTGCGCAATACTTACATGGGGTCCCACACAATTTTTATAATATTATGGGGTCCTGGGGGTTGCGAAAAAATCTCAGTGATAAAAAGGGGTTGCGACTGAAAAAAGTTTAAGAAGCCCTGGTCTACAAAATACCTTTTTACGGGGCTAGGATAATGCAAAACTAGTCAAAATGCTATGGAATATTTTGTTTAACTTATTTTATATCAGAATGTAATGCCCATTATTTCTTTCAAATGTCTCCTTTTCAGTATTTAATTCTGAACCTTTTATTAAGAAAATATTAAGTATTTTAACCCTGCATTTTATTTTAGATCTTTGCTTGGACCAATCTTGTCTTCCCAGATCCTAATGTTCCTTTAAATACATATTATAATGAAAGAACTAGTAGATTAGATTCATATCAAATGCAGGTAAGATTTTTTTTACTTAGGCCGTTCAGTATGTAACTATGTATTTTGCACATCAGTCTCTTTAAAACCTTTTGTAACCTTATGAAATTTTCACAGGATGATGAAATCGCGAATTTGGAATATGAAGAGAATAATTTATTACCTATTATTCAAACTGAAGATTGTTTGAGAACTATTGATTATCTTTCACCATGGCTTTTGAGTGAACAAAAGCAACCTTTTCTTCTCGTTGGACCTGATGGATGTGGCAAAAGGTGGTTTTCGTGTATTCCATATTTTATACAAATCTGTTTTTAACTTTATAAATATATATTTTTTTCTAATTGTAATTTTTTTAATCAGCACCCTTCTTCGTAATTGCTTGCTAAAAAATTCATCCATTGCATCAGCTATGGTTCATTGTAATGCCCAAACTAAACCGCATCATGTACTACAGAAGTTGATGTCTGTCTGTACAATAATAGGAGCACAAAGTGGGCGAGTACTCCGTCCTAAAGAACATGAATATATTGTCCTTTACCTCAGAGACCTTAGTTTGCCTAAACCAGATAGATGGGGAACTTCTCAATTACTTGCTTGGTTGCAGCAGGTATGATATTGTTGCATTTCTCTTTTGTGTTTTTAGTAAAGTAACTTTTAATAATAATGTATTAATATCACATAGAACTGTTGTTTGTGGTGATATTAATAATTTTCATATTGTATTAATCTCCTCTTAATTAACCGGCACGTCAAAATAATAATATACTTGCTGGCCATTAAAATTGCTTGAAGGAAACCTGCTAACAGAATCATATCTATATTACAAACAAATTGTAATTTAAGGATAAAATGATATTCAGATAATTTTGAGGTGCAGAACATGCAGAAAAGAGTACCTTAAACATCCGCTTCTGGCAAGAGTAGCAGCTATTATAGTTTTGGACATGAGTGAAACAGACTTTAAATGGCAGTTACGGCAATGCGCCAGTTCTACACCAGATTTCATGTATCATATTATTGGCTGGCAAATGCTGTCTTCATGTAAAGGCGCTGGGGCCACATCGTGAGGATTTTCGTCAGCCCAGTGAATGCGGTTCTTGGAGTTTACGTTTCTAGTTAAGAAGAAATGCAACTCATCTGTTCATGATATCCTCAGCAACCACCCGCTATCTTCTTCATATCTGATGAGGGAATATTTCGCAAAGTCGACACGCTGTTACTCTTCTGCAGTTTGCAGTATATGGACGAGCTGGAATCGTTAAGGAAACATTCGCAGAACAGAGCTCAGAAGCTTGATAACTGTGGTACATTCAATCTGCGGACAACACTTTTTGCAATGTGCTATGGACCCACAGTAATAGTATTATGCTCTTCCGCAACAACTTCAACATGAATACTTAGTCGTCCGGATCACGGTCTATCAAATGTCCGGGCCCACCAGCGGCCGAGCTGTAAAGTCTCTGAACACTGGTAGTTCGATCCAAGGTTCGGATCCCGCGAACGGGCTGGCTGCAGGGGTATTTTCGTGGTTTTCCCCATGTGTAACGTGTATACGAGCCAGTTTACCTTAGAAAGTCCTCCACGAAGGCATCCCTTCCCTTAGGCAGATAGCCCTCGAGGCTTTGCCGTAATTAAATAACCTAACCTATCAAATGTCCGTCCACATTCTTCATTTTTGTTAAACAAATCACGTGCAATTTTTATGGAACGTGGATCTCTTCTTAGCTTATGATTTCACTGATAATCTCGGACTGCTTCGGCAGCACTTTTCCTGTTTAGATAACACAGTTTTATCAGTTCACCTCGTTGTTTTCCTGTGTCATCTTGTCGTGAATACTTAGTAGGTGCTTAGGCTTGTAACTACTAAGATTTTTAACCTATCGATGGTATAACTCAAAGGCCGATGGCGTTAAATAAGTAACAAGTGCATATACGCAGCATGAAAAACAATAATTTTCATGCTAAAAACAGTCTGTGTTCTTTAAACGTGAAGTGCAAATATCGAGAGGACAGACGTCGAATTGGTGATGAGAATCCGCTGGGAGAAGTAGCCTTGGAGCCAACTGGTGAGCAGGCGAGTTATTTCGGTACTTGCTATGCTAAAGAAGAAATGGAGTTTCACACAGCATAAAGGCGAATAGTGTCATCTTGTTAGCACATTCGAACACTTAAGAAATTTTCTCACACTGCTTATTAAAGTTTTTTCACAAGCAATGCTTTGCACATATTGTTCAGTGATTGGTACTTCCACTGTCTATCCCTGTCAGTTATGCAAATTGCGTCAATGGACTTTCTTTCTGTGTTGTCATTGGTCTTTTACAATGCTGTTCTTTGCAAATATTTTACGCTAGCAGTTTTCGTCATATGCGTATCGTTCCAATGCCATTGGGTTTTTCAGTACATTAATGAATTTACCCTGAAAAAAAAAAAAAAAAAAAAATGTCTGTTGCCATTCGAAAATTTCGAAATGTTTTCACTGTAACCGTAACCTGAAAAGTTGTATTGTATTAAATCATCAAAATCTTGAGCGCATACCTTCAAATAATAATGTCTGAAATTTCATTTCGATTAGTTGAGCAGATAGGCCAGTAGGAGTTCATATACTGAAAAATTTTTTATGATCACCCTGTATATATATATAATGTAAGAGATAATATATTTTCAGTTTTTCATAAAGTGTCTCTCTAACGTATTTCGTATTTTTTTTCATCAATTTATAATATGCATGCATTCAAGAAGAGTCTAATTAATTTACCTGCAATGAAAAAACAAGTCATTTTAAGCCATGGCATTCCTCTATAACTCTTTTTTTTTTTTTTTTTTTTTTTGTGGAGTGTCGTTAACTTTATACATTTATCAAAGGCTCCCACACTTTTATTATTCATCGCATAATTATAGATTTCTAACTTAGATTGTAAAGTCTAATTCCAACATCCTGTTAAACTAGAGAGTTTAACAGATTCTTGGAACTTTTGCAATTTGATTTAAATTGAAAAAGTGACTCCCCATTTATTTGTCTGTTTTGCCTTCCAAAAGAGTAACAGGAATAAAATGTTAAAAATGTTTCTCTTTCAAGGAGGAATTCTTCCTGTTTAATGTCATTGTGATCATAATTTTACTGGCATAGTAATGTAATATATAGAATATACTCATAATAAGAATATAAAACAAAAATAAAAGATTACAGTACCTAGCTTAAAATATTCTATAATATATTACGAATAGTAGTAAAATACCGTACTGTTTTTCGAGATATATAGACAATTTTCGAGATTGAGACAAAAGAATCTTGTTTAAACCCAAGACTGGAATTGAATTCGGAAATCTGTTTGTCAGTAGAAAAATCGGACATATGGTCATCTAGAATAAGTTAAAGATGTTATTTATTTTACATACTTATTTAATTTTTTAAAAAAACGTACGATTTTCAAACAATTTAAAAGTTAATATATATAAGCTCGCTATATTTAATAATAATATAATATTATAATAAATAAATACAATTAATCACTATGTATATATTTTTCTTGCTTTGGATGAAGCAAATTTGTCAATTACTTCATCAAAGTCGATCATTTCAAATTTTTCTCTTTCTACACTTAAAAATGCTAGGTCACTTAGGCGATCTTGTCCCATCGTTGATCGTAGATGTGTCAAAATTAATTTAAATTTACTGAACGAACGTTCACGGCTAGCAAATGGTACTGAAATAGTAAGGAGTATTTGTAGAGCGACTTTCAGGTTTGGAAAAACATCTTCTCCGTACGATATTATAAAGGTAAAAAGCTGTAATGGAGTTTTAAGGTTCAACTTTTTCTACTTGGTGAGTAACATCTTGTAATCACATTTTTGCATATGAGTTGTGTTCCATTAAAATCTGTATTATAAAATTCACCCAAATTTTTACAATTCTTTTTAAGATCGTTATCAGTGTTTGATATCAATGTTATCAATGATCGTTACCCTTGTTTAATAGTTATTTAACGTCCAGTAAAAATCTATATTTGGAGTTAAGATCACTTAGTCGTGTAAATCGCTTATTTATTTCCTTCTGCAGACCATCAAGAACGCTTTTCATAACGCGAGAAATTTCACTTTCTGCACAAAGGCCAACGTCTGTAGAGAATTCTCCGGGCATTTTTCGGCGTCTTCTAACACGAATTGTTGTATCCAATACGCCATTTTTCACAAAGAGACTTAGCGTTTGCTATTGCCTCTTTACAGATCTCGTCTCGAATTTCTGCAAGTTCAGTCGCTAATGACTCAAGATCATGGAACGCTTCTCTAAAATTCATTTTGGGATCTTGTAACCTTAGCTACACACGATCAACTCTCCTCAAGATTTTATGGACAAAAGTAATGAAACTAAAATTCAGCATATTTTGCAATAAAAGTTCAGCTTCACTTCTGGTGTCACTTGTAGTAGTACTATCCTCTGCTAATTTTTCTAATAGTTCTACTAATTCTTCCAGTTCTCCAACAATAACGCTAACCGCTTCTGCTTTGGCGCTCCATCGTGTTTCAGATTCATGTTTAACAGTTTTCTTTAAAGCATTTTTAATAATTCCCATCGTAATTTTGAGTGTGAGAAAATGAGATATATGTTTCCAATTATTCCAAAGCATGTTATAACGATTGGATCTTGCTTAGCTGCAATGACTTCTACTAAATTTAATGTGTGGTTATCATAATTTACAAATAATGATTTCTTATTTTTTTTTCCATAATTCTTTGTTGAACGCCAGGGTGTCCGCCGATAACATCGCGGCAAATACATCGCGGACGAAACCGTCGCGGAGAAAACAACGCAAGGCGAAAACGTCGTGCTACAAAACATCGTGGGAGAAAACATCGCAAAGAGAAAACATCGCAGTTCTAAAACATCGTCGTACAAAATATCGTCGTCGAAAATAAAGCGGTTCAAAAACTTCGCAGTTTAAAAACATCGCCGTCGAAAATATCGTGGTAAAAAATAAAGTATCTACAAATCATCGCATGACGATAACATCGCAGACATGCTTTTTTCAGGTTTTAATAACTGTAAATGGATATTCCCATAATGATTTATGAGCGCAAAATGGGAAGAAGGATAATTTTTACTTTCATATTTTTTATTAACTAAAAAATTTTTGCTGAAAAAGTAAGAAGGAGACTTAAGCATAGAAAATTAATGCAACTTATAGCACTTAATAGAATTTTAACTAACAAACTAACAAAGTATATATATAGTAGTAACAATGTAATATATAGTAACAAAGTAATATATATAATAGTTAACTAACAAAGGTCATTAATAAGTCATTTTTATAAAGTTTTTACTGGTATAATTTTTCATGAAAAGTATTATCTAAAAAAGATTAAAAAAAGGAATGGTAAGTAAGTAACTGCATAACCTTATTTTAAAAAAAAAATTGCTAAGTTAATTTTGAGATTATTTTCTTCATTTTTGATAATCTAATACACTTATAGAGAAAATTATTTCTTGTTTTGTTTCAGTTTATTCTTAAAATGACATTAAAATTTTCATGCACAGCGTGCAGTCAGTTACTTGAATGCTGATTTTATAGTTATGAAGAAAGTCAGCTATATAATATTTCAGTAGGTTTTATATTTATTAGATTATGCCAAAGCACACTACGGCTATCTGCTTAAGGAGTGGGATTCCTTTGTGGAGTACATTCTCAGGAACTGGTTCATATGCACATTATACTTTAGGAAAATCACGAAAATCTTCATGCAGCTTTTTTTTTTTTTTT